CAGTCTAAAGAAATTAAATCAAGACAAAAAACAACGAACTTGTGCCAAACCAAAGCCAGGCAAGCTTGGTTAAAATAGATTTAGTCCATAGTTGATTTAGTCCATAGTTGATTTGGACTCTAAAACATGTCATTAAATAAGCAGGCTACCCAGCTTTATTTCAGTCGTTTGCATCAGCAGACTTACCCAGGACTTCGTCCTAAAGTCCTTAGGACGGGTCTATCTTCTTTAAAACGATAACAAAGTGAGCGAATAAATGGAATGCCAGAATCAAATAAATTAGTTTTGATAGTTAAAAACAGGATGTTTCAAGCATGTATCGTTATCAAGACCAACAGTACATGACAAAGAGTACAAGCTCGAAACATCGTGTTTTTGATTATCAAAACTAATTTATTTGATTCTGGTACTAAATTTATTCGTCCACTATATTACCGTTTTCTGAATTAAGTACCACTTGCAACGAACGTATCTAATTCTATCTTCTATGGTTTTATTACTATCATTACAATGCTACTCATATAAAGATAGATCCTGGGGTCCTAAAACTCATCTTACCTGTTGGTGATCACAAAAATGAATCACCATACGGTTTGTTACCATTGCACAATTGGTTGATTGTCAAATTTAATAAACAATTTAGATGCATAAATAAGGACATATAGAAAGGAATGCACAAGAAAGGAAATTTTTGCAAGTTTTGACAACATTTAAGTTGACAACGTATGACAATATGCTATTCAAAGTAAGTCCGAATTGCATAAAGTCCTTTGACTCGCGAATTTGCATCAAGATGAATACCGCACAACATAAAACACGAGAAGTCAACTGTTAATCAGATAGGAAAACAAAGTCGGAAATACAAATGAGGCTTGCTACGGAAAAACAAAGGAACAAAAATGCACGAATTGAAATAAAACCAATCACTACGTATACCTGTAAAATAACATCCAGACATTTCATCAACTCCATGTAAATACAAGGACTTTGTTAAGATAGCAATAGCATATAGACACATATAGACAAACTTGATTACACAAAGTAGGAAGTTCATATTGGTTCCAACAAATGTCACTAAATATGAAACCAGACACCTTGCTTTGTATCTCGTGGTTTTTACTGGGATAACTTGATGTTTCCAAGACAATGAAAAAATCTGGATTGGCAGATTAAGTTTTGTTCTGTATCAAGAGGGAATTTAAATGCATGATTGTGCAAGTGCAGTCCTGCCCTTCTTGAGGAATTTAGCTCTGGGATTGAATGATATCTAGGGACAACAGAAAAAAGTAGAAATGGGGGACTGCATCTCTGACAACAGCTGCTAGACTTTTTTTAACTTCAATTATTGCGTAGTACTGGATAGGCAGTGATAGAAGTATTGTTCTTCTTCTGACACTGATATTCGATCCAGTCAGACTGTGCACACAATTGCTTAACTAAAAGCCCTATCCTGCCAAGGCCAACAAAAGATAAGAAAAGATGGCTATTTTGAAGATAATAATAATTCAATATGCTTTACCTGGAGTGGAGAAACACTTGGTAGCCCTTTCTAGATAGCAAAGGGTCCTAGGTGAGGGCTCTAGCTTTTATTTTCAGACAACAAAATGTCGCAGGGAGTGGAAGGGCAATCCCTCCTCCCTCTTACTTAGTATGTTACAAAAAATCTTAGAGTATGTGGTAGTCTCATTAATGTGGATATCTGTGAAAAAGACAAACCTTGTTCTGTGGAGTCTCCAGGTATAGTGAGACTCTTGGGAGCTTCCATTGTGATTCCTTTGTATCCTCATTGTAATAATATTGTCTTCCAGAGAGGTTATCAGTCAGTTTTTGCCAACCAGCAGGTAGGGTAGAAGATCGTTTGGTAAATGGAATAGAATCATCTCTCTTTGTCTATGAAGGCACAGAATTGTAACAGATGCAAACCGTCTATAACAATCTATGTATTATATATATGTTGAAGGAGAACAATTCTGCAAAGTGATATCCAATTTTCAAGTTTCAAAGAAATTGGCTTGATGAAAATTATTTTATTGCATGCCAATCATACTGCTGAGCTATTGATATTTTAATGGGTACTTTGTGGTTTTACTAAATTGAAAATAAACAACCTTTGTTTGAATGACCATAATAGGGTGACACCAAGATACCTGCCTAGAACAAACAATGCCTTGTCTATCCTCAAATATGACTTAAATGAATTCTGTGCAGACTAACACCTTCCTAAATCTGCATCCTACAAAATCATTCAGGTCAATTTCTAGCTTGATACATTACAGATTCTCATTTGCTAACTGAAAATTCCTTCTCAAAGCCTCAATAAAAAGACATTGTTCGGGCCAGTATAGTTTGCTGGTATATGTTTATTTTAAAAACATTATAACCATTTGGGACAAAAAATCTGTCTGTTGTTGAAAAGTTTCTGTTTACAGAGTGTTTGCTAATGGAGGCTCCACTGTATTAAAAAAAATGCAAAAGCTGTCATTGAAAATTACCAGAGCATTAGCTTTAAGGCCAAAATTCATGGTAAATATTATGAAAAGATCAGCAAACAAGACTAACTACTATTAGGGTCTATATGCATACAGTGGTCAACTAAATTTAACCTATTGTGCTCCTCCCCCCCCCCCCTCAATTCTTTAATCTGAGCAGGAGAAGAAAAACTACCCAGACACTAATCAGTGACATTTTAAAAGCACCTTCTTGCATATTCATTAATGTGTCCCATGACAAGTGTTACATGTATCTGCAGTAGCAATAGCTACCACCAGATTTATCAATGAATTGTATGAAAATACAATTGAAAAAGGCATACCCTGAAAACCACTGTAGATTCTTCCTCGTACTCTTTGTATGAGGGCTGGTTTGATTCCTCTAATGATCCATCCCCTTTTGTGGCTTCTTGTTTCATTTTCATTCCTCCCTGCATGAAAAAATATTTCTACTATGATATATGGAAAATATTACTTACAGGAACAAAATGCTTCAACAAAAAGTAACAACGAACTTCAGCAAGAACAAAATTTTGAAAATCTTTCAATAAAGTTAGTAGTTTGATAATTTCCTTATCCATATATGCTATTATATTCAGTGAAATAGGTAATTGACTTAAAAATTGTTAAGTTATGGCCAAAAACAAAAACGTTTGGCATCTGAATCTAAAATTTTATAAAGTGGCAAACCATAACTTAAAACAATTTTTACTTAGTTAAAGGTAGCTGGTCAGAGTACATTCATCTTTCAATAGAAGTTTAAAGAAAAATATAGGTAATGTGAAGGGAGATTTTGGAGGCTAGAGTTATGCAGATTCATAAAAGCCTCAATTTTTGGATTTTTCCAATTCTAATTGCACGATTAATTGGCATACATTGGGTACATATGATACATTTTGTGCTTGTTGGGCAAATGGCAACCTTTGTTACATCATGTTTCTGTGATTATTGGATAACTATATAAAATAACACAAAGAAAAATTACCAGAACCGCTTCTAAATTCAAACTCTTTCTTAATTCTGCTGTGTGTGATAATGGCTTTGGAGAAAAGCTACCATTGAGTACCCTAGGAGATGTGCCAAAGCTACTGGCAGTATCTTGGTCTGAGTAACTGTATTCAGAGTCTGTAGTTGAATCACTGCGAAACATGATTGAGCGAAAAGTATCAAGGTTCATGTAATCATGGCTGCTCCCAGGGCGAGAATCGATGTCTTGGACAGGAGATGCGGGACAGTCCGATTTTACTTCCTTTACATGATTAGCAGGAACATAAATAATATTGCTCTTATCTTTATTTGATGGTGACATTCTTTGCACCTTCCACCAGTCATCTGTGGCTTTTACTAGCAAGATAAACTGTTCACCTTTTTCAAATGAAACTTCTAAGCCATTCGCATCAGTATAAGAATATGGAAACTCTGCGATGACATGGTTGGCAGAGGCCATCATGACGACTGGGGACTAGGTGTTTACACCGCAGTTGGTAGCGGTTTGCCAATACGAACGAGCGCTGTTTAGAATGCAAAATATGCACTAGTATTTGTGATCAATCGTTAACATTCAATTTCAGTCCATTTGGTGTTATCATCTAGTTGAATTCACAGAATCAATTGTGCCTACTCATCTTACAACTGGTCTTGGGTGTTGAAACTACGTAACTCAATAGAAGCTTTCCGTTTAACAAGACCACATTTCTCTCCGTGACTTCACGATAAGCACCATTATACCCCGTAAACTGATTCCATATATCAACAAATATGTAAAGTGAATCCGTCAAAATATGGACAGCCGCATCAAGTCTGAGTGCATCAAGGACCGATCAATAATAGTCATCAGGCATTGATTGTTGATTTTCTTTGCCCTTCCTGTTGTTCGTCTTCCAGCTAAAGCCAGTCTTGTTTCGGAGTCTGGGGCGAGTTCCAGATGTGATGGGTTTTGCAGGCCAAAATTTTTAGTGAAAATCGCTGCATACTGAAACCAATTCCTCTTACTTTGACTAAATGCTTTAAGTGCCACAGGATTTTAGTTTAGAAACTATTACCGTAGGATAGAATTACTGGCGAGGGGTTGCCATTGTATGTGAATTTTAGGAACAAAAGGGATTATTCATTATAGAAAAAGGATTTTGGTAATTTTTTATTTTTTTGGGGGGAGGGGGGGAGGGGCAGCTTCAAACGATTTGTTGTTAGTCAGTCGAAGCAGAAGCAACGTAGCACTGGATAAAAAGCAGCCCTGATGTCATTGCCGATCCTTCTGCCTCCCAATGGCGTGGCAATGGCCCCCCTGAATATGGGCGCAATTGGAGATAGGGGGGCGCCAAAATTGCTTTTTTGTAATATTTGGCTAAGAACATCAACATTGATCGTACACGGGTAGAACACTTTGCAGTAACTTGCTGTGAACAATCTAATAAAACATGCGATTCTACAATCGAAGCACGTTGCGTTACCATGACACAATCAAAATTTGTTTCATATTTTGCTCCCTGTTTAGGTCGACAGACGATGTGTAGATTTCCTAGCTGCAGCTTCGAAGCCTGCTCTGAACATCGAGGAGGCGAAGGAAACAAGAAAGCGGAAGTAGTCTGTTAAGATGTGGGTTTTGAATGAAGTGAATTGAAGTGAAGAAAAAGTACATTTACACTCTTTTTTTATAAGAACCAGTAAATTTAAGTTCAGGCTGATTGTTCTTAATTTTTTCGAAAATCTGAGGCTGGATTGTTCTTAATTTGTTCTTAAATTAAGAGGGTGTAAGCAGTGCGATTGCTAGCTTTTTCGCTCTAAGGAGGTGTTCAGGCCTCATTTGTCAACAAAGTGAGTGAGAAAGCCTTAATTTGCTGAAAAATTTGAATATTCACCGAAAAAGCACCCACACATCGCTAAAAATCCTCGATTTTGGGAAAAAACATTGTTCAAAATTGCATTTTGCAGTAGCTCAGCCTTAGCTTGTTCTTAATTTGTTCTAAACTTTTGACCAGTTTTGAGGCTCGTGTTCTTATAAAATTGTTCTTATAAAAAAAGAGTGTAGTTGGGGCAACCAAAAATTAATCACACAGACGTTTTTGGAAACCGAAATATTTTGTTATCGAAATTAGATTTGGTGACAACACTAGAGAAAACTCGTTTTACACCGATTGACTTGCAAACTAACAAATATAATATTTTTTATACATTCAATACATTTCTATTTTCAATTTTTGGCACTCCTTCGTCATCATAACAAAATAGATATCCAGCTCGTTTTAACTATCTTCTCTGGCTGAGCTGGTGCTTCTTCGGTCTTTTCATAATTTCTCTTCATTTTTCTTTCTAACGTTCGAGCAGTTTCAACGCCTCGATTTAAAGCCCTAAGTTGGTCAGAATTTCTAATCCCCTCCTTGCGATAGGCAGTCGAAAATATTGCGAACTGTAAATGCCTCCAATTAGTTTAGCTCAATAGGCTATAAAAAATGAAAAATAAAACAAAATAAAAATCGATCTCTTTTTCTGCTTTATGTATCGAATGAAAATGTTAAAGCAAATGTTAATAAGTAATAATAAATACCTTTTTACCGTTAGTTAATCAATAGTGCGAACACTAATATATATAAACATGAAGCAATATTAGAGATTGTTTTATGGAAATTATTGACTGCAAGTGTTACAAGGGCATTGATTTTCGAAATACAAATCTTTAATAAGCCATTCGGATTGAATTGCATTTTTGGATGATTTTATTTTATTGGGAAGAAAAACCGAATCTTTGGACCCAAAAAGCTAATAGATGTTATACCATAACTTATAGCTATTGGATTTTGGGAGAAAGTAGTATCTCATAAATTTTTTTTGTGAATTCCAATCTGCTCATTTTGTACAGTCTAAAAAATCACTATCATAGAAGAAGGTTGAAGCGAGGTCGTCAGAGTCAGAAGCACAAGCAGTCACCGTGGCTGAATGACCGATATATATATATATAAAAACACTCACATATCATATTTAAGATAGTTACAATCACAAAGAGTTATAGATAAAAATGGGGAACTGCTTGATTGCGTTAACTTTTCTACTCAAAACTTTCAATGCAAGTTGAGTTAGATATTTTTCGGTAGTTTCTGTCTGAAAGTACTTTTTTGCTTTTATTCTATGAGGGGGCGGGGGGAATAAAAGTAAGTAATTTGCCCATAATTTACGTAGCAAAATAACTCACTTTTAGAGATTTGGAGATAATAGAACCCTTTTTAAGGTTTATGAAATCTACTGTTAGTAGCATGGAAGAAATCAACTGTTAATATTTAGCAAACATCGCTCTGGCAAGGAAGGATTTTGTGTAAATTATTAAGATTAAGGTTTCTCGACAGTGGAGCTAACTCATTTCTGTGGGAATCAATGCATTTTTGAGACCCATAGCTAGGGATTTTGAAGACTTCCAACCCACCCATATGGATGGCACGACCCTGTCTAGTTACACATAAGAGTTGACCCCTGGGTTTAATTCTATGTACCCAACCCTCCGCATCCTCTATACCCTCCCCATTTCTACTTCCCTTCACAAATTTCTGCCAAAGTATAGAAATCCCAACCAGAATAACAGAGCCAAAATTGAGTTATCTCTTAATTGAGGTTCAATAATTCAATTTTCATTGCTTTGCTTCTGCAGTCTATTGCAGGCCTGTGATATAGTATTATATTCAAAATAGTTGGTTCTTTCTGCAATCTAATGACGTGATGGTGGCCGGTTTATTGATAGAAAGTGCAAGCTAAAACTGTTTAGGGAAACCTGCTAATCTAAAATCCTAAAATCTGCTAGATTTTGAAAGGTCTTTGGCCACAAATAGGTGATTTTAGCATCTAAAAGTATCAATTGTTAAGCATTATTACACTAAAAAGAGTAACTATTAAAAACCGAAAGTGCAGTAATACACACTTTTTTATAAGAATACTAAATCTTTTGCGGAGCCTCAAGTTACATCAGAAGTAACCGTATTGCAATATGGTTTTTGAATAACGACAGATGCGTCTATATCAAGACATATAGCGTGAAACTCATGATTTTGCTTATATTCCATACGCTTGAGTGGATCCCGTAAAAACTTGTCAACCACTATGCATGGCGTCTGTGTGCTTAGTAGTTTTTTTTAAATCACTTCGAAATATGGACCCCTTTTACAGGTATAAGGTCGCTTTTACGCTAACGATCATAACAGGCTTTGTGTGAGGATTTCTGAACCTTTTCTTGAGCATCCAAAAGAAATGAATGAACATTTCTACCATTGAATGTAAAAATAGCCCCATAAAATTATACCTAAAAAAGCTATATGTTATGTTTTTTATAAACTTTTCACTAATAAAAATTGTGGAACTCTTTGCTCATTCAAGAATAAGATTCTCGTTTATATCAATTTCGCAGGTATACTAGATATGAGTACCATCTTTATGAAAGAAACGTTAAATGTGACATTTCAAGTCCAAAAAATTAACGAAACTGATTAAAAATGACAAAGTTGATTTGCATAAATACTGGTGTGACATCTTGAATACCTAAATTTTCAATACCATCGAATGGATTTTTATCTGGTTGTCAGTATTTTAAGAGAACTTTCCTAAGTGAAATAGCGTAGGTTTTCTTAAACATGTTTAGTTGATGACTGACTATTGTGATGAATTGCTGGTATGTATCTGTTTTCTTAATACAGAGGGCGCTCGTTGGAGAAGGGAGGTCATTCAAATTTTGGCTCAAAATGGGGCGCTTATAAGAGAGGGGCGCTCCATGGAGAGAATACAGTAAGTTTGATAGATTAAAAGTAACACCAAACAAGACGTATTATTTACCTAAGATGCATCTGATAATTCTGTGATTGCAGTAACTCATAACTCATATATTGGGATCTGATGGAATTGTAGTGGTTTTAATATTGTAAATTAGGCCATATTTCTACTTCATGCCATCACCATGACATCCACCTATGTCATTTACAGCACAACATCTATGTCATGCTGATTTCTTCCCAAGTCTAGATCTGTCCTTCCCCGTTACATCATCATTACATCCATCTTCCTAACTAATCCTTAGTCAGCAATTTGATTTCTGTATATATGTATGTTAATTTGTATGTAAGTCAAATCAGTTCAGTTCAGTTCAGTCAACATCAGAGTTACACAGACAACACACTGTCTCTCTCACTGGCTCCGTGTTCTCTGCACGTTAAATAAGATTCGGAGTAACACCAACGATGGAAAACAACAGGATATGATAGGAACCAAGGCAATTCATGCTACATAGTATCGTTCCTAAAGAATCACCAAGGATTTTCAAGCCTGTGCTGTTGTTTTGAGGTAGGAATGACGTGCACAATGGGAAATAACAGCTATGGTTGTGGGTGCATTCAATTCCCTAGGTCATAGGTTATATTATATAACTCATTAAGCCCTGATCAAACGATCCAACATTTCACCCAACATTTCACCCGACATCTTCAAGCGCAGATCGAAAAAGGACTGGGTAGGAGTTCGCACTGAAGGCTGCACAGTTTCTTGACATTTCGATCCGAAAACTGAAAGGCAATCACTGCCTTCTTTTTTATATTTTCTCTTCAGATATTTTCGCTGTGATCGCGGTCTTTCCGGACGAGCATCCCCTATCAAAGTCGTGGCCTAAATTCGTCCCCCTATGCTTTCTTGTAGCTCCTCTGTGCTTCAGTTTCTTCATTGACGCTTGATGCCTCTTCTTTCGCAAAGAAATCGTTTTTTTCGTTATATTTTCCTGAAATTGTCCATTACTAAAGTGTAACTAATTGTAAGAAAACGCAATTGTTGAAACGAATGAAACCAGCCCAAGAAAACAACAACGAAGCGATGAATTTCCTGAGACCGGGCTGTGCCCCCCTTAGCCCCCTTGTTAATGCCGAAAAGTAGCCAATTTCTACTTTTGCTATTGTTTTTCACAGCGTTTTGCGCAAGAGCCCCCCTTGTTATTTTGATAACACTACACCCCTTCCCAAAGCCATGTTGGGCGAAATGTTGGGTGAAATGTTGGATCGTTTGACCAGGGCTTTATTTACGATACAAACAATTTAATGTTGCAAAAGGTTCTAAAGTTGCCACTCTTTCGCTTTCGCCTTTGATTGTGCCGGTTTCGTTCCCCTGTATCGTGTAAAGGAAACCAGAGCCAGGATTGCAAGCTGCGGAGGAGGGTTTCACAATAGGCCATGTACCCGAATTGCATCTCCACCGAATAAAGTAGTACCCTGAGATATCAATAAGGAAGATGACCAAGCGAGGTTAAGATCATAAGGTAAACTATTTTCATTCTGAACTCTTTTTACTTCAAGCTTTGTTTATTATCAGTAATATTGTTTTTTTAAGAATCGTTGGAAGTTGAAACAGAGATGAGCAGCATCATAAGACCATGACATGACCCTTGGTCCTTTCAAATTCAAAATTGTCATGACGCACCTTTGATAGCATGGACCAAAAGAATCCTTGAACAGACATATTGCTTTAATAATAAAACAGATATGAAAGATGAAAAAACCACCCTAAATCCTCTGAAAAAGACCAATATCACAGAGTTACCAAAAATAAGGAAAAGCTAATAGACGATTCTGGCTATTTGTTTTACCTAAAACAACCTTTAGTTTACTGAGAAAAAGAATTACGAAATGATATGAAATTTACCATAATTATTGAACATTGTGTCTATTGATATATTTATATATTTAAATGTTGTAGGAATTGTAAAGATAAGGATGCATTGGCAGTCCATACAAACAACTGACTGAAAAATGAGCTCAAATATTGCTTTTGGTGTTTTGTTCTCCACGGTGGTGTTTGGCATTCTCATTCATAGACACTCTTTGTGGCAATATTTATTGTTTGAAGACAGAGAGGACCAGTCTTCCCCAGTCTTCAAAGGGAATTCAAGCACTATTTCTAGAAATAACTGTCAAAGGACTAAGCGCTCAGTTCAGGAAGAAATTTGTCCACAGTACTATAGAGTAACCTTTGATGCTTTTATGTACCCAGGATACAAAGTAGAGGTGTTCTGTGACCAAAAAGTCAAGGGGCGTTGTATCAGTGTGTGCCAGGAAAGGTTAACACATTTCAGTGAACCAAGGCGGAAATTTCTGGGTGCAAAAATGGTGAATGGAGTTATGAAGTACTATTTTAAAGAGATGTACGATGAACTGTTTTCTGCTGCCTGTATTTGTATTTAATATGCAAAAGTTAGGATTCTTAAATATTGATAAGGTTTCATCTCAAATAATATTTGATGCAAAATTATTTATACCTTTTCAACAATAAGATTTAGCATAACCTCAGAGAGACTTTTGCTTGTCATAATTTTTTTGCTATATATTCAATGAAACTATTCATTGTTGCCAAATTTTGGTCAAGTAACCACAAAGAACCTCACCATTAAAAGTAGTTCAGAGCTTAATCAATACCACTTATTTTAATGCTGTTTGTTTTAAAATTCAGCTACTTGTTTTTGTATCCAGTGGAGAAGCAGGTTTTTATAAACAGGGTCTTGGTTTTAATCAGGATTTTATGACAATTTATATTCAGGGAAATTTCATTGCCATGTTATTTTCAAGGATTATTTTTCTGGAGGGATGATTTAAGAGTATATTTAAAAAGAAGGCCTACCACAACCATGGTCAGTAGCCATGAGGAAAGAAAAGTATCTAGCTCAACATTGATTATGCAACAGAACTCTATCAGAACAGAGCAGAAAACTCTTGACAGAAATTTGAAAAGATAAGTGTATAGGAAACTTAATGGTGGGGGAGTAGAAACCTACCATTCCCTGCAGTTTTTAGCTGAAACTTGCTATTCCTGTGGTTTAAACCAAAATTCTGCTTCCCAAATTTGCTGATAGATGCTGCTGACCAGCAAAAACAAGATGTGACAGGTATCTTTTACAACAGGTGAAGAATATCACAAATCCTCAAAACTTCAAAACCTCAAAATTTCCGATTCTTTGTATCTTTATCGAGAAAATTTGCATCCAGCAAATGTGTAGATTTCTGTAGTTCCATCAAGAAACTGCTAAACTTTAGCTAACCAAAACAACTTTCCTTCAAACTCCATGTTCCATTACATTTGATAACCCCCAATTAGTTGGAGTTGACAACACATTTTTGTAGCTTTGACAGATAATCTTGCTTATTGCGCTGGGTTGTTGTGCTGTATCTTAATCAAGCTTAATCTGCTAAAAATATGTACATTCTATAAAATAATGCATGTATAATATTCAAATTTATAATTCACTGTATACATATAAATTTTTTGAATGTTGCTCATTTTATATGATTATGTCTTCTTACCGCTTGGTATATATGAGAATTATCAAGTTGTTATAACAGTATTCTTAGAAAAGATTTTCAGAATATTGATTATGTTTTGGCAGCACACAATGTCCTAATTTTATTTTATTAATTGAAAAATTAGATTGAAGAATGTGAAAACATTGTCCTCGTTTTTGTCTTTGCAGGCTGCCCATTTGTTTTTGCATATTACAAATTATTATTGCTTAATCGGCAAAAGTGCAGGACTCCATAAATTAAGAAATCACTCTGGCACAGGGACACCTATATATAAATCTGGGCCCCTCCAGCAATAGTTTTCAATCCCCTTTTATTAGCTAATCTAATAGTGTTGAACCTGCTGATCATGAATTTGTTATTTTGAATATTTAGCACAATTTTCAGTTACAAATGCCTGCATTTTGACATTTGTATTGAATCAAGGAATTTTCGGTTTTGACATCACATTGTATTTCAGATCACTTCACCTTAGTGTGCGAAGTTACATATCCGTACGTCCGCGAGTCATAAGATGCTAGTTAGTAGTTGTAGTGTATGTCTTCCCCGTCTTAAAAAGTGCGGGAGAAAATTTCAATTTAAAAAAGCATTCCTCGAAGAAGTGTACTGTCAGCAGCATCAAAGGTTTTTGAAAGATTAATGGCTAACCACAAGCAGATGCAGCTCTTTATTCAACCAAATCTTCCCAATCTTCTAGGTGGATTTCCGGGTATTTGTACAACCTGTGTTTTTAACAAGTATTACTATAGAGCAGGCTTGTCCAACGCGTGGCCCGCGGGCCACATGGTGGCCCGTGATATTGTCTAATGTGGCCCGCGCTTGGGTCGAAGTTGATAAAGAACTGCACTGTATTTTTTTCAGGTTGTAAGAGAGTATCAATAGCTTGCAAGTGCATATCACAAAGTTATAGTCCACCAAATTGCTTAGCAGTTCTGCCATATTTATCCAGAGAGTTTCCAGAAAGTGAGCCGTTCATTTGTACCAACTATTAGGAAATGATTACCTCTGTTGATATCTAAATCACAAAGGACATTACATCTTTGGCTGGCATGTCCCCAATACCCAAAAAAGCCCCTCCCCCGAGTAAATTGCTAAGGCATTGAGTAACTTTATGTACCCTAAAATATTGATAAATGTCTCTTGCTTATGGTGCATTAACGAATATTGCAATTTGGCATTCAAAAACTGCCTGTCGGTTATAAAATTCCCGCCCATGTTTTTAGGGAAATCAGAAAAAAACTAGCCTGCGTGCAGACTTTACCTGACTTCTTCCTTTATTAGCCCTCTTATTTAATTTTAAGGCCTAGAATAAGAGAATTTTTCCTTACGTAAATCTACAATTTTAAAAGAAAAACGGATTTTTGCTTTTCTGAACAGATGCCCTTAGTTGTGCTACAAGTATTTGATTATCAAGTGTGGCCTCGTATATCATATAAACCTCAAAATATCATATCAACCTCAATAAAAGCTTTTTCGATTTTGGGCGATTTTGAGTATGTTATAGAGGAAACAATTCTGCATAGGATGGTGGAAAATTCGCTTTTCTACAAATTTTTTCCCGGTTGACCTTAAATTGAACGCTACACGACCTCACTAGTTTGCTTCTGCTCTTAAGCATCTTGCCATTTCCATGAGACTTCTCCAGCTTCTCTCTGATTTGCCCTTTTGAAAGAGAGAATATGGCATTGTAGATGTCGGTTTGATGTCATTGTTGAGAAGCACTTGCGTAAAAGCTTGACTGAGATATTCTAGAGCATTATCACTGTGAAATTCTTTTACTCTTCCAATAGGGGCTACATTTGCTATAAAATTCTTTAAAGCAGTAGGTGCTTTATATTTCGCATTACCGTGTTTCCCATATTGGAAAAGATTGTGATTCTCCATTAAAACTGATGCGGGCTCTGGGCCCATAGCCTGTTAAGAATTGTTGCCCCGAGATCATTCTAATACTAGAAGACATTTTGTAATGAGTTCCATATCGTAATATCAAATTCACCGTTTTATAACTCAACTACACTCATTTTTTTATAAGAAACAAAGGTCGATGTTGAGTACTCCAGTTTATTAATGTTCTGGAAATTTCAATACTCATTGTTTCTTAAGAGTTTTTTAATTATGATGTCAAAAATGATGTATGAAATGTTCGTGTCCTTTTTTATCACGTCAAGAGATTCGCTTCCGTTCCGATCTGATGTATTTAGATGTATATTTTTATCCGTTGTGTCTTATGTTCTAGGCCAACAGGGCAATCTTGTTCATGGATTTTACAGAATTTAGTTGTTCTCAGTTTTATCACAATTAAAAAGTTTCTTCATTTTTTGCTTCGAGTACTGAAGTTTCTTATTTTTTTCTGACTGTTTAGTACTCTTTTCTTATAGCCAGTTTCTTATAAAAATATTTAGTGTAACTACCAACAGCAAAAGGTGCGAACATACGTAAACAAGTCTTCGTTAAGAAATCTATTGTATAAAATAAACAATGCGGGTTCACACTTTGTGTGAAAAGAACTATAAAGTGACACTGTTTTGTTGATTGTATTATAGCTAAAGATTGTATTCTTAACAGATAAAAGGCATGTAAGTGCTGGAACTGAATTAAATTCGCGTTCTCTCTGAATTAAAATGTTTAGGCAGAGTGGCCAAGCTGGATCTTATAACTCTATCAATGATTTCTATTCTGACTGGCAAGCGACAAAGCTTAAAATAAAGGATCGTGTGACTCATTTGTATAACAACGAATTGATGAGTGATGTTGTATTTATTGTGAAAGATGACAACAAACTCTCGCCCAGTCGTGTTCCTGCACATAAATTTGTTCTGGCGGCAAGCAGTTCTGTGTTCTTTGCCATGTTTTATGGGCCAATGGCTCAGGCTGACAAGGAGATCGAAATAGTGGACTGTGAAAATGCCAACTGTTTGCTTGAACTTTTCAGGTTTATATATACCGACGATGTTGAACTGAATTGGGAAAATTCTTTTAACATTTTATACTTGTCAAAGAAGTACATGATTCCCTTGTTGAGAAATCGTTGCTGTGAATTTTTGGAGAAGACCATAACGAAGGAAAACGTCTTGGCCGTGTTGCAGCAGTCGTTAAAACTGGGTGAAAAAGGACTTTCAAAAAAATGTATCGAATTCATCCAGCCATTAATATCAGAATTGGCGAAAATGGAGTCATTCTTGGACCTTGACGTGAATACACTGGAAATAATCTTGAAGGAAGACGTATTGCATGTTGCTGAGATCGATCTTTTCCTTGCAGTTCTAAAATGGTGCAAAAGCGAAGCTCTGAGAAGGGAAATGGCAGAAGGGCCCGAATCCTGGAAAGAGGTTCTCGGGGATGCTATCTATCTTATCAGGTTTCCTTGTATGACAAGCCAAGAATTTGCCACTCACTGTATATTTTCTGGACTCTTAACTTTGAACCAAATTCGCGATTTATCGTACGTGACAAGCTTACCTGACGGAATCCACCCAGTTGATATCATCGAACGGATTCCATTTGCATTTAACAAGCGGATCATGTCCTTAAACCGACTTTGCCAGGGTAAAACGGTTGAAACATGGAATTATGGGGACAGCCCAGACGCGCTTGATTTCACCGTAACTAAAGAGGTTTGTATATGTGGAATCAGCCTATTTGGTGAGCCGGCCCTGCAAAGTCTTGAGGTTTCCATTAAGACTGGAAAAGAAATTGTCAAGCCCGAGATATCCGCTGGCTTGCCTGATTCCGGACCAACCGAAGGATCATATCGTGTTATGTTTAGTCAACCGGTTCGCATTTTGCCATTCAAAGTCCACACATTGGTGGTATTGATCAAGGGCCCCGATTCTAAGGGTGCGAACTATAAAAGATCTAGCTGGTGCCATGATGTTAAATTCAATTTTAAGTCCAGCGACGAATCCAGGACTGGCACTAGCGCTACTTATGGACAGTTCCCTGAGTTTCTCTTCACGATCATCAGCTAATTAGCAAGTCTTGGCGAAATAATCCCCTTCAAAAGAATTAATTTTTGTGGATGGTTGTACTTTCTTCACAGCTTTACCTTCGGAAATTTAAATATAATCAAACGTGTAGTAATATGAGGGGGGATGAGGGGCTAAACATGCTCAAAATCAAGAGCAGGGCGATTTTTGCATGGTTTTAAGCACATTTTGGAAATTATTTGGGGGGCCAAGCACAAATTCTTTGCAGGAAATTGTTCTTGTTTGCAAGGAAATTTTTAATCACTTTACACAAACATTTCTGAAGATGAGGGTATCAAAGCTTCTCTCAATGCCATCAAAAATCATTATGGGGAAATTACCTGCTGCATATAAAATACAGCAAATGGCTATTTTTCTTAAACACAATTATATTGCCACTCTCTTTTTTTATAAGAACAAATTTATAAAAACACGAGCCTAAAAACTGGTCAAAAGTTAAGAGCAAATTAAGAGCAAGCTGAGGCTGAGCTACTGTAAAATGTAATTTTGAACAATGTTTCATCTAAAAAACGAGGAGTTTTTTGCCATCTAGGGGTGCTTCTCCGGTGAACTTTCAAACTTGCGGCAATTAAAGAAAGTCTTCATGTCTTACGCATTTTGTTGACAAATGAGGCTAGAGCGCAATAGCTAGCAATTGCACTGCTTACACCCTAATAATTTAAAACAATTTAAGAACGATCCAGTCCAGCCTTAGATTTTCGAAAAGTAAGAACAACCAGCCTGAACTTCAATTTTCTGGCTCTCATAGAAAAGAGCGTTGTGGTTAACTTTATTAACATCCCTTAATTAAAGCACTGCAGTGGGGAGACCCTTTGCCCCAATTTATGCCGAAATATTCATGACAACAATAAAACAACATATCTTGAGCAATGCCCTGATGGGGCGTAGCCCAATATTTTGGGAAGAGATTATCGAAGACATAATTTTCCTCTGGCAACACAAGCTTAAAAACTACTGGAATTTATACAATACACCCTCTATCATCAACAAAAAATTAAATAGATATTAAAAACAGTATACAGTCGACCGCGCTTACAGTAACTCCGTTTAAAGACACACTATTGGTTACAGTCAGATCAAATTTAGAAATTATTCAAACAAATTAAGACCCAAATAGCCCCGTTTACAGTGTCACATTTGGTTTACAGTCACAAGCAGCATTTGATGTGACTGTAACACGCTGCTCTTATTTGGGCACAAACGATATCATTTTACGTTTGGAACATACAAGTTCCAAGCATAACCTACTTTCCTGTTGCATTTATACAAGAAAAACAACAAAGCAGATCCATTGGCAGAGAGCATTTGCCCTGCAAAAATCAGTCTTGCCCTGCGAAAAGGTCCTATTTTTCGTGGTTCATACCCCCTTCGAGTGACGCCCCTGGCCCCCTTTTAGCATTCCTAGCTACCCTCCTCCCACTCTTGATAGACCTGAGTAACTTAACATATGAATCTCAAACGAAATTTTACATTTCTCTCAAACTCCTTACAAAAGCATGTCTCTTATCATCCACGTTGGCATAAATGATTTTCATCTCTTTAATGACGTATCTGGGAGCCTGGGTAGGAGCAGCATGATAAAAATTTTGGCGGGAAATCTTTAGCTTCGCGTTGACTTCCCTTTCGAGACGAACAACGTGAAAATGCCATTTTGGGAAAAAACCACACCAGCTGTTGATAAACTTGAGCAATCGTTAAAATGTCACATTTGGTGAGTATTAATATTCGTGAATGAAAATCGCACGACCGATCAGTAGGCGGCCGCATCAACTCACAGTTTCATTGTTGATACAAAATTTAATGTAATTTAACAACATTCTTACAATTAATCGAATACATGTTAACCAAAGATATGTTAATAAAGATAGAAAGCTAAAGACTGGTTTATACAATCTACTTTATCTAATCAATTTGTAGTAGGCTGCCCAGGACACTTGAGAGAACCAAAACGTTTTCATGCCCAGTGCAGGCCTAGGTATTTTTGAAATCAAAACACACGCAGACTCTTCCTACTTTGTTTATTAAAAAATGTCTTTTTTTGCTTGCGTTTCTTTGTTCTTTTCTGACTGCATGAAGCGAGAATGAAATTTACTTTATAGTGTATGGAATGGTTAAATTTCTGTGCACAGGACAAGAGTCTCGTCAACCGTTTTAATGCACCATTAGGTGTGTACAAGCTGGCGCAGCTAGAGGGGTTCCGGGCATGCTTCCCCGGGAAATTTTTGGGTTTACTGCATCTAGGATACACCAAGTTTTGCTTTTCTTTGAACTGGAGCTGATATACTGAATTTTTTCAATGTTTGGATGAAATAAGTCTATGTAAAAAAGTTTGCAAAAATGCTTTAAAAATGTTTGAAAAAACTGATAAGCATCTACATAGAAGAAAAATGCTTGATCTACTCTTCTGTTGTTAGCAATTTTTGGTGGTTCAAAAAAAATGGCTAAGTTGAAGAAAGCAAACATTTTGAAACATGCTAAAGCTTTTCATCTGACACTCTTCAGTGTATAATCTGTCAAAATTTAGAGCAAAAAACTACAAAATTTTATGAAAACTTATATTTACAACTTATATTGATACTTATAAGCAAGAAATTCTCACAACAGGCAAGGAATATTTCTCTTATCTGCAATGTTAGGAAAGGATTGAACAGAATGTTATAAACTCAAAATTACTCTCAAAAAATGCAAAATGATTAAAAGTCTAGAATAAAAATATTTAGAGAAATTTGCAAGCTAGAAAAACTGGGAGTTTCTTCCACTCGTAGTCTGAGTAGGTCAATTACTGAAATGTTGGTATTATTTGTGATAGGCACTCTCCTTCTCACCTGCACAGAAAAGACCCCAAGCGGTCAAGCCAGGCAACTATATCCAAAAGACCCCTAATATGTTTTACTTTCATTCTTGAAGCTCTTCAAAAGCTAAAATTTGTTTTTTGAGGATTTCTGAAAGATAGCCTTTGTAATAGGAAAATAGGCTGTGTGCACATCTTGAGTACTCTGTGTGCTGTGGCATGCACTATGAATGGCTTTTAAATGCTATCTTCCATTTCTCTTATACTTCCAATCCACCATGTTTCATCTAAAAAGATTCTCAACACAAATAACTTTTATCATTTAGCCAACATTTGATGAAGGATCCTTACTCCATCAAAAATTGTGACCACTCCTTCTGCAGGTAATGTTTACAAAGCTTTTTCAAATGCATGTTAGTGTCTAGGACATATTAGGTCGATATAAGTATTCCACGATGTAAGAATTATTTTTCCTTTGCTATTCTTAAGCATTCTTTATTTGGAAAATTTTCATGTTATTAGCTGTGATATTTATTTTAAGTCATACACTTTTGTGTGGAGAACAGGACAGTGATGTTAGGGTACCTTGTTTCAGAGCAACAATGGTAGATTTTAGTAACTTGCCTCTTTTGCTACGGCAGCAGCAAGGAGAAAAAATATTCACAGTTTACTAAACTCTCGATAAAATTCTTATCCAGGAACTGAAGATACTTTTGTTGCTGAATAGTATAATTTCTATATCACAATGAAAAAAGAAATACACTGAAAATAAACATATGAAACTTCAATTTGTGAAATCATTGCTTATGAATACAACCTTTTTAGATCATGCATCACAAAGGCTGTAAATGAAGATTCAAAATGTCCAGAGTGTGGATCTATTGCATGGGTTAAAGATTTGCAAGTGAATAGAGAGCTAGCTGGTACAATTGAATTTTGTCTTGGAATGAGAAATGTAATTGCAAATCATCAGATACAAGGTGAGGTATTTAAAACGCCTATTTCATCACATGTAAACTGGCTCTGAGGTTGTTTGATTTTCCAAGAAAAAAAAAGTTGCCCATTTCTTGCTAATTTAATTGTTCTAGGATGGATTGATAGAAGCTTTAATTTTGGTACTCCCCAAAAATTCCACTTGAGTGAAGTAGCTCACAGAGAGGTGAATAAGTCTTTAGCCTGTTTCACATGCACTTGTTTGCTTACTATATTTTATCTGACATTTCTTTGCCGAACTTTGGTTTAATGTATTTTATCAGTTTCTAAATTCAATTGACACTTATGTTTTCAAACATATGCAACCTTCACTGTTTTTAGGTCCTAGTATAACTGATGAATCTAGAACCAAATCTTTTGACAATGAAGATGACAAAGGAGATAATAGGAAAGATATAGAAAACAGCCCAAGCTGGCCAATGTCTGGAGTACAAGCAAAAAAATCAACGAAGACCTATGGCAAAAAGAAGAAAAGATCTGCAGAAACAGCAGCAGAAACAATGCCTGCTTTTCAGGAAATTTCTGCTGAAAAGACTGATTTTGTCAATAGCAAGAACTTTGATGTTTACAATGAAGATTGTGTTTTAGACGTTGAGAACAACTTTTTTAAAGATGTGCCAGCTACAGGTCAGGGAGATTGTAGCAGCAAAAATTCAGTCAATGAACAGTCTGCCTCCAGTTCCACAGACATAAAGTCAGTTATGCCAATCGATCAGAAGTGTACTGAAGCAAATCAGAAAGATGGGTCTTTCAAATTGAAAGACAAGATATCCTCCGCAACCAAAAAAACTGCCAGTCATATTCAAGGTATGTCTGTTTACTGCCTCATCATTGTGGCTTTTTCATCTTATTGGACTGGTCTCCAGCTTGTGTTATGAATGTGGGGAAAATATCCCTGCTTTGTAAGATTGTAAACTATTTCATGTATATATTTAAGATAAGATTTAGCTTTGGTTTTGTAAAAGTTGTCAATAATAATAACATTCCTACAGGTAAACTTGGTTAGGTTTAATTAGTTTTATGTTTAAATAGGATAACAGGTGCACACAAACAACCTTTGATTCTAAGCTCCTTACCTATATAATTGCTATATATTTATATATCTCTTAAAATTCATCAGACCCCTTCCCCTCTGAAAATTATCTTTCAGGAAGTTAAATAATTGATGTTTAAAGAAAAGTTGCTATCACAGTGTTTTCTCCCCAGAAATTTCTTTTGCAATTGTACATAATTTAAGTTCTGACTATAGCAAATTAAATGAACAACAATTTTGTTGCAGGGAGGAAAGAACGAGCGAAAAGATCGGTTCGAACAAGCAATCCCAGCCCCAAAGAGGCTTGTCGTTCTGTGTGCTCTGTGACGAAAGTCAACAAAAAAGGCGAAACACCTTTGCATGTTGCTGCTATTAAGGTCTTTGTCTAACTTATCTCATCAAAATCACCGAAAATCCTCTCAAGTCATTTTTTTCTCATCATTTGACTTCAAAATGGCCTACAATATCCGTTTTTCTTCACAATGTAGCATTGATGTTTCTTTCTGTTGCGTTTTATGACACAAACAAATTTATGTTACCGTTTTCTACAAGAGCAGAGGGAAACGCTAGGTTTGGCAAACGCTTTTGTTTATAATTGCTCAACCTATTGAAGGTGCCTTTCGAATGGTACCGTTTTTTTACCTCCAAGCTATCTTTTTTCATGCAGTGCATCCATTAAAACCCACCATTTTTAGGAACTTCTTCATCATCATCATCATTACATTTACATTTTACAACCCTTTTGGGTCATACAAATGTCTACCCAGTCAACTTCAAAACGTTTTTGAAAGATATGCAGCTTGTCTTTTTAGGAATTTTATAGCTGCCCCTTTTTTATACAGCTGCAGCCTAAAGGCACTCATAGAAATTACTTATTCGCTCCTTTCAAAGTTTCCTTTTATCTGTTTGTAAAGCAGTTTTGCTGATGTAAGTTGTTTGTTGCATTCAGTTTGTGCCGAATTTTTAGGGCAAGTATGACCAGGTTCGAGAACTGCTTGAGAAAGGAGCTGACCCAAATGCCAAAGATTTTGCTGGATGGACACCTTTAGTAAGTAGCCTGTTCTTTCTAAATCTCTGATGATGAACACAGAGTATATATTTCCGCGGTGATTGTGTTGTTTAGGGCCAATTTTCGTTGTGACGGAAGCATTTATACACTCAGGATTCTTATGATATCCTTGCTCCCTCTCTCACTTATCTTATTCTGCTTTCTGCAGAGACGGCGCCACGAAATTGAACCTGGGAGGGCCAAGAATCAAGTTTAGTGACATAGGAGGACCCACCATGATTGGGTTCGACGCGAAAGAAAAATTTTGAAATTAATCCTTCTAGAATGGCTAAAAATGCATCCCAGGACTAAAATTTAGCAAAATACCATACCGCTCAGAATAGACAAATCGACGATTCTCAGAAAAACATTGATTATTGATTTTCTAGAAAAATTTGGAAGGGGAGGAGTCATGCTAAAACTCTGGTGACAAACGTTGGGGAAAGGAAGAAAGGGTGACCAATAGGTCAGAGTGCACATCGCAATGACGTTGAATTGACTGATAAAATTTTACTTCCTGAACACCCATGTGTATCTTCTTTTTCTCGAGTATTTTCAGTAGGCCATGATTAAACATCAAAAATGACATTGCAATGATAGAGAGAGTTAACTACTGAATTGATGCTGACAAAAGACAAATAATAGAAATAGACCTCAATAAGTTAGTAAATCGATCAAATAAAATCAAGAAACATATAAACATACTCCGTTTAATTTCATACTCTGTTTTAAAAAATAAAAGAAAGAACGGTAGAAAAAGTTTGATCTCTGAAAAAGTGGGAGGGTTTCATCCCCCAGCCCCCCAGTGGCACCGTGCCTGTTCTGTTTTTATCACTGTGTAGTTACGGTAAAATATTTTTTTGGAAATGGTGAGATTCCTTTACTTTCGAAGTTAATTTACAACTATTGTTTTAAAGTATTTTGCCCAAGGAATAGCTGTGAGTGTGTTTCAGTTCAAACTTTGAATTTTTAGAAGTACTCAGAATCAATGTTGTTGATATGACAAATTGATTTAGAATCTGAACATTATTCAGATGCATATTATGTTAGAGCTAGCATTCTTTGTAACATATCAGCAAATAATAGTATATGGAATTTTGATTGGTATCATGACCAAAAAAGCTCGGTATCTTTATTGTCAGGTATACACACAATTTTTTGTTTCGACAGCACGAGGCATGCAACCATGGGTGCCTCGAGATCGTTCAGCTTCTGCTTGATAGCGGGGCTTTTATTGACGTGCCTGGTTGCGACCACGATACTCCACTTCACGACGCAATCGCAAATAGCAGGCTGGAAGTTGCAGAGTTTTTGATATCCAAAGGTGCATCTCTGGATGTGAGGTGAAAGGACGCGAACGAAAAGCGCGTTTTTATTATTTGTATCCTTTAACCCTTTCAACGGTCGTAGTGGGTTGATAAATCAAAACAGAGCCAAATGGAATCCTTGTAACCTTTTTATTTTAATATCTCATTGGAGTATAAATGTCTTTACTCTTCGAAGGCACATATGCACTGAAGGTAAAATAGCACCTCTAATATTTTTCTACATAGCTTTCCGTTTGATATTATCATCTTTGTATATTATAAAACTTATCGACTCTTTTTACTGTTTTTATGTAGCTTATGCAAATTTTTCAAGGTTTGATTAAAGGTTTTGAGAGGAGATACAGGAAATTTATTTTGGTGAAAATATTTAAGACTTTTCTCTAATTATTTTGTAAATGACATCATTTGAGTAAATGACGACCTCTGATACGTGTAAGTGCGCTAGGAAGCTAGAAATATCAAGTATTCGTGTCAGCTTCTAGTTTCATCACTTAATTTCCAGATTTGTGCAAGATGCATCTACCAATGATTTTTAACTGTTTTTTATTTCAAAGATTTCGCACCTTTATAAAGTTTCGTTAAGCATGTTTGATTTGTAATTCCCCATCATCATAGGTAACTGTGGAGTTTAAACGTTATTTATGCCTTTGTTATATTTACTGAGTATCCTTTACTCGGATTTTAGCCACTGAATGAAAAGTGTCATGATGATGATGATAATTTTTATTACTACTTTTTTACAGAAATAAACAAGGACTCTTACCGATGGACTACGTAAGATCTAGTGCAGTGAAAGACCAACTGATGCTGGCAGCCACAATGGCTCAAGAAAACAGAGAGGCGAACGTGTCAATAAATCTCTCTGGCAAGATTGTACGTATTAGGCCCATGTAGCGGATCCACATTGATGCACGCCTGTTTCAGATCTTGACCTACACAGACCTATGCTCTATATACTGCAAGAACTGACTGATTTGTACCAAGCCTTTATCTGGCTCTATTTAGGATCGATCACTTGTAGCAGCGGTTTTAGGGATTGGAGGGCCTTTGTTCTTTACAATTCTACATTTTTTCTTTGGTGCGTGGCCTCTTTTGGCTACCTTAAGCGAGTTGCCTGGGGCCATGACCCTCTTTGACCCCACCTTAAAACCGCCGTTAGTTAATTGCATTGTGCATTTAAACAATAGACTGAACGAGTTCCGATTAATTACATCTGTTCCAAACAGGGGTCAGTTTAAAAACTTATTGTTTTGTATTCGCTCAAGTTTTTATTTGGCCCCAGAATATACTTTTTAGCACAAAGCGAATTCAAAAAAAACATTGCTAGAGCAGCATGTTAAATATTGCCGAGAAGTGTCCGACCATTTTCTAGATAAACAGCTGTATAATTCTTTGAACAACCTCATATTCTGTGAACATTTTTCATAAGGAATCTAAAGTTCTCGAAACAAAGGCACTGATTTATTGTTTTTTGTTTCTTTAAGGAATATTTAGTGAAAAACATTATTTATTTTATGCCATAAGCAATGGGCTTGAAAAGAGATACATGAACGTCTTCTACTTATCAACTCTCTTCATCTTGTTATATTTTTGCAGAAAACAAACCATTGCATGCCAAAATGCATCCTGCAAACTGGCCTTGATCAGAACAAAAAGGTGGATATATTGTCTCATATATGATGTATACGATCTCACAAGCTACGTGTGACGATATCTTTCAACTTTAATCTCGAATACTTTTGTAACAAATTTTGTCGATGATCATTATTGCGTACTGCAATCATGTTATCGATGATCCTTCTCGCCATTGTGTACTGCAGTGGTCATGATCATTATAATCAGACAATAAACAAGTATGGTGACAAAAAATACATCGTTATAGTAGTATTCCAACTTCTATTGACATGAATCCATTTGGTAAAATTCAAAAAATTGACATTCCATTTGAGACAGTACGTGTAGCTGTGTAGATTAGTCAAAATCCATGATAATTGCGTTTCCCAAAGTCAAGATCACTGTAGTCACAGAATGAAAATATTGCTTTTAAAGAAGCAGTAGCTTCTGTAGGCAATTCTTATCCATTTCCACTTAGAATCTTTCGAATAATCATGTATTTTTTGATACAATTTTTAGCAGAACAAAGAAATTATAGTCAAAGGGGGTGCAATCTGGTTGAGGATGGGTTCTAGTTAAACGACTAATCCCATAACATGAAACACTGTCATATTTTTTATTTAATTTCTTCGTGAGTATTGAGGTATGATAACTCAAACATTTAAGGCCTCTTCATGGATGGATGTTTTTTCAAGGAAATATTGGCAAGATGTACAAAGCGCCTCGGCTGTGAGCTTGTTGATGAATTTAGCAGTCAAGGTATCACATTTTTTTGTATAGTTCTTATATCCTCCGCTCTCAATGCCTTAGCATTGGTGCTTTTTTGCATCAGGTATTTTATTAACGGGTATTTTCACGTTTTATTTTATTAATCAACGTATATACATATGTTTCACTTTCATATAGACAACGTAGCTGAAATCAGGCAACAAATCTCATTTACTTCTCATTTTCATTCCTGCTCATGATCTATATATTAATTATTTTATGAATCGCCTGTAAACGAAAGTCGGTTCCATAACTAAACAATGCGACCATCTTTGGACAATCGCCCGCTTAAACCCCGTTCATATCACCAAGCATCTTTCGTTGAATGTTCTCAAAGTTTTCTTTTTTTATTCAATTCATTATTGCCTCTATGTTTTAAGAAATTCTTGTGCACGATGTTTTTGGTAACGTATGTATTTCAGAAGAAACTAGTATAAAATTTGTAAAAGTCTATTTTTGAAATCCACTTACAAGAGTCTTTTAGAAAAATCATCTTTATCATTGCTATTTTAATTTTCAGCACTTTTATAATCATACCAGTGTTAGCCCTTTCATCAATAATTAGATTTTAGAAATTAGGGTTATTTTCTAGATGTATATGTAGACAGATTTATTGTAATGCTTGTATGTCTCGTTCTATCTGCAGTCACACACGTGGTCACCAATGTTGATGATCAACTCATTTGCAGCCGCACCATCAAGTATTTTCATGGAATATTGACTGGCAAATGGATAGTTTCCTTTCAATGTAAGCTTGTTTAGTATTTACTTCCAAGAATGAGTAATATATCAATGCTATTTTGCCATATATCCTTTATATCCGGCTTATACCATATCTGCCATGTATCTGGTTTTAAATTCGTACTTTCCTTAATTTTGACCTATTTTCTGTTATCTATTTATGAACATTGAAACACATATCGTAATTCCTCTAATTGGCCCCGTTGTTGGTATTAACTATCTAAAAGGGGCAGGGGCTTATATATACTATTTAAAAATCATCGCACTAATACTTTTTTTCAAGACTTTTTCAGTTTTTTCAAGTTCACATTGAGAAACACATTGTGAAAATCTATCATTTTTCGTTTATCATAGACTCAAATCATACCTTAAAAAATTTGCATGTTAGGTTGAGGGCTTATAATCAATTCTACCTCCTGGATGGAGGGCTAATTTGAGGGAAGGCGTATACCCGAACAGGCAGTTCTAGGTACGAGAAGAGACGATTTGAGGTTCAAAATTTTTTTTCCTCTAATATTTCCTACATAGTTTATAACATATATGTATATTTGTCGGTGTTATGGCATTCTTTACTTCGTAAAAATAGAAAATTATCCACTGTTGTTGGCCCCCTTCCTCCCTGTTGAGTGAAATCTTAATAAAGAACTAAACTGTGTTAACCATGCTTTTCATAACAGCTGATCTTTATTAGCCTCTTTTAATTAAATCGAATTCATATTGTAAAACTTATTCTCTTATAGGGATAGCTGACAGTCTAAAGAAACATCACTGGGTAGACGAAGAGCCGTATGAAGTTAGGGGCTGCCAAGAAGCCAGTGAATCAGCCCCCATGAAAGCAAGACTAAACGCAGCCAAGCAGGTTTTTGCTCTTTTGTTTTATTGCACGGTATTTTCCTTATGGACAGATTATGTTGAGTAACTGATAAGGTTATAATGGCACATATGACCAAAGCATCGAAGGAACAGTTCCTTTGGTATTTATCTTGCGAGAAACGTCATACAGAGACTTTGGAATTCTTAACGGCAGTCAGCACCCATAAATAGAATACGTAAAGATAGTATCCACTGAGTGTATATTTATGTAACCCTAAACTTAACCCTTACTCAAACCTATGGTTCGAGCATAGCTCATTGTCTAGAGGCGTTCACTACAGATCCGAGTGAGGAGGGTCACCAGCTGTCTGTAATTCCAGGAGTAGGAATAACGAGGTATGGTCACTTCGAGAGGCAGGGCCAGAGCACTGCTCGATACGCACAGCTTCTCAGTGTCTAAGTTACTTTCGGATGCTAAGGTTGTAATATTTGAGGCATCGCACAAAAATTAGAAAATGGGAACTTTGCCAAGGGAAATAGTTTCGACGTGAAAATGTAATGTTTGCTATAGAATCAAAATTTTTGTTTTCTGTATGTAAGAGAGGGCCTCAAGAACCTCAATCAAAAGGTGCCCAAATCATACATCCCCCACCCCTGTGCTCATTTCAGTTCTATATCATATGGGTACTTGGATTTCAGAATATTTCTAAAACCCCACCGTGCGTTTCAAAAGCAATTTTTTAGTAGGCCCTCTCTTATTCCGCGAATTAATGATAAATATTATATATGTTAGTAGAGTAATGTGCCTTGAATATCTATTTACTTCTTTTTCAGTTCCCGCCACTGTTTGATGGCTGCTCCTTCTTCTTCAGTGGCGATTTCAAATCACACCCATCTAAGCCTGATCTTCTTTCCCTCGTCCAGTTTGGAGGAGGAACCATACTTCATCGTGAACCAAAGCCAGAAACATCACATCCACTCATCACCCCGTCCTCCCCGGCGGTCATGAAAATGATGTCATTAAAAGTGCAGGAATCGCCAACAATAGCATACCACGCAAAGCCGAATACGTCACAGTCTCATTGCACCCAGTTTATCATCTTCGATCCTGTGTCTTGTCCTGATCACAAGCGGCTTAGCACCCCTATAATGTGCACAGCCCCTTCCACTTGGATCTTAGACTGTATCTCAAACTTTGAGCTTTTAGAGGTAAGGGATGCCTAAGGTCCACAAAAGAGAATCAGTGAAATTTTCATTTGTTATTAACAATTTCTAAAATAATCCGTTTTGTAAAATGAATATTGTTTTTTCAATCTCATTTGACAGTGACTACAACACTCAAATTTCAAGTCGTGTTTGTGTCTTCAATATTACATTTGACCTTGGTCAAAGATGCAGTAAAGTTTTTAAAGTTATCGCAATGGTTGCTTTAGAAATTTCTCAAAATTATCTGCATTGTAGCTGCGTTTTCTAGATGAATCCGTGGTTGTTTAACGCATGTACGCTTGACAGGCAGACAAGACATTTTTCTATTTCCATATTTGATCACATAGAATAAAAATCCTCTAGTTTTATTTGATAATCGAGGCAGTTGTGTAAACAAATCTATTTGACAAATTTTCAATATTTGTCAACTAAATTACATTGGATTTCAAAAGTTTTGGTAGCTTGTGTATATAGTTAGCTCAAGCAAAACATTGTAGCGAATTTCAGTCAGATTCATTTATTTAGCTTAATGACAAAATTCTACTAGTAGGATTTCTTTCACGGCATTTTTTTTATATTCTGAACGGTTTTTATGTTTACGCTATTTTTTAACTTTTTTAACTTTTTTTTGATTTTCGTAAAGATTACCGCAACGAATGATTACAGAAACGAAACTTCAAAGAGCGCGGCAAAAGATTTAAGTCCAACCCTGCAGCTAGTGACTGCTAGTGAATTTAAAAAACAAACGCAAACAGGGCCTCCGACGAAGGGGGGGCCAGGGGGGCCTTGGCCCCCCCCCTCACTTTTTTGCAATACAATAGAGTTTTTTTCAAAATCTTTTGTTATGGGTGTTTAATTTTCCCTTGCCCCCCCCCCACTTTTCAACCTTTGTCGTAGCCCATGGCAAATCATTTCCAGCAAAAGTATTCAATAGATTTAAGCTCATAATTAAAATAAGCCACATTTTATAACGCAAGATCTCGTCAGCCACGGAATCGTACAACTTAATTTCCAAATTTAATACGGGAGGTTGTTCTTGAATGTAGACACTACTTTCATGGGGGTAGGCATTGATTTGACTCCATTTCAAAAGCTTATTTATATGAAATGAAAATAGTCTCAACTTTATTTTCGTAATATGCCTTGAGCCCCTTTTACCCCCTTTTAAACCCTTAAAAAGTTCTTTCCAGAAAAAAATTTTCTCACTGCCCTGATGCGGCTCAAGTGTTATGCCTGGAACATATCGCCTAAAAAAGCTCAAGTCACGCCCCTTCTTTGGAAGTTCTACTCGACTTTGTTTTCAATATTGGGTTTCCTATTTTTTACTTTGCATTTTATTAACTTGATTCTTCTTCTGGTGAAGGGGTATTTCACTGGTAGAATTTTTTGAGCCTATTTCGTTAGCTGGAATTTCGATTGGTAAAAATTAATTGCTAAGGATTTTAAGTATTAGAATTTTATCTGTAAAATTTGTTTTTTTTTCAATTTTGGTGAGGTAATTTTATCTAGAATCATGTTTAGTTAAACCTTCTTAACAGCAATTTAGTTAACAAAATGTTTGTAAATGAAAATTTGGCTGATGTTGAAAATTTCCTGGCAAAATTCATGTAGAGGAACTTTGAGAAGAGGGTAGACTGGATGATGAAATTTTTATAGCTGACAAAATTGGCTGGCAATAAATTTCTACACAAGGGTTGGTATGGTTACCATATTTGAATTGTGAAAACGGAAGCAAACGAAACGAAGAGCGATGTAAAAGAATTGCGGTTTGTGACGTCGCTTTATGTCAAGCTCTTTCTCTCTGCATCTACGACCGATTTCAAAGTCCAAAGCAGTGAATCTAAACAAGAAAACAGCCTTTGATTGAGCCAGCGTTTTGTATTTGCTTTACATGTGCTCAGTTTGCGTAGCTATTTTACACACAAAGCCAGATGAATCGTCAAGTGCTTCTATTTGATGGCAGTTAATGCAGACCTGTGGTTTTGAATTTGGAACTGGTTCATAATGAAATGTCTGAAGACTGAATTAACTGCAAGCTAGAGGTCTTTCTCGAGAACGTGATATTTTTTGACATCATATGTTGACAAGAGTTTTAGTACTATCCGCATAATTGTGTGTATAAACAGGGACAGGTTGGATCACGGAGGCGGTGTGCCACTGGCATGATTTTCGTTTTGGAAACTAAGTTAAAAAGATATTTTATTATCAACTATTTTCAAGGAACATTCTTTTTCCTGTCATATGTATTGCAAAGATTAATCCATACTTGCGTTCAAGTACCAGTTTTATTATAAATGCAGTGGTGATTGCAGACACATACATTGTCTTTATCCACCCCAAGATTCTGTGGTTAAACGTAACAATTTCCTGCAGAGACGTGCGCATACCTTGCTGGTGTCTTATTTCGAGATGGATTTGAATCAGAGTATTGTGCCAGAATATATGCTCAAGCTACAGGTCAACCGAACCGGTCCTCTAGTTATCGCGGCTACGAGTAACGCCACCGAAAACGGATACATCGAGTACCAAGTCACTTTTAAGGTCGTTCAAGCTTGTTTTCTGGCTTCCTTTATGCTTGTGGGCATAATTGGAAACATCTGTGTTTGTGTATTTATAATTCGCGCGCCCGAATTGCGGACAAAATCTAACACATTTTACATATGTCTGTCCATTGCAAACATTGGCGTTGCCGCTAACTGTATTCCATTTACATTAAGTTCAATTTTTATGGGAAGATGGACTCTTGGTGCCAATTTATGCTACTTGAACGGAATAGCTAATCCATTTTGGATAACTGCAACGTGTTATTCTGTAACAGCCTCGACCGTTCATAAATTCATCTCTGTCACAAGGCCAATGAAGCGTTTGATAACCCGTCGCATAGTTACTCTTATGGTTGTTGCGATTTGGACTGGGTCAACATCAGTTAGTATATGGCCTATGCTCAAAAGAAATCAAATCGTTTACAAACCAGTCGCGGGGCATTGTGGGTACAACCTGTCTGAAAGAAGGGAAGAAGTTCAGTACTTGATATTCCTTGCCTGTGCAGTGTTGATCTGCCCTACTGTTATAAATATTTACTGCTATGCGAGAATGTTCCGCGTTCTAAATGTACACAGGCATAGGATGAGGCGCTCGTCAATTATCGACGAGGCTGGTGTGCACGCACACAAACGAAACGTCATCACACTTTACGCGGTCTTCGTTGTCTTTTTCATCACTTGGCTGCCTTTTAATATTTACTCGTTATTCTTCATCACAAACAACGAAGATGCCATTCCAGATTGGCTTTTAGCTGTCGGCTATATCTTTGCATACTCAACTTGTGCCCAGGTTCCTGTTATTATTATCTGTCGCAGCGTAAAATTGAGAAGTGAGTTTAAACGTCTTCTACGCACAATTTTTGCTTGTTTAGTTTGCTGCCGAAAAAACGCCAGGCGTCGATTTTTGAATAAGGATAGTGATCAAGTTGAAACGGAGGTAGAAAAGCGTGTCTCGATTTGGATAGTTTCGACTGAGGCTGAAGCAAATGCCAAAACATTTACTAACACCTATGCTTACGAAAATCGCACCTTTTATGAATCACAGCTCTAAATGTAGTTTTATCATCTCTTGGAGACTTAACTTTCCCTTCGCACAGCTATTCTTGCAAGGAACTTCCAGACCTTATTTATTTATTAATTATTGATTAATTTCGAATTTGATTATTAAGATTCATATAATCAATATCCTAACCAGGTATGACGTCAGATTTTGCGTAGTGAAATTTCCATATAATCGATTAGACATTAGATACAATATTGAAATACATTGAGAATGATTTGCTGGGCTTTGAAGTCATTTCTTCGTAATTTTATGTAAGAGTTTGTCTCTGTTTCAGTTGACAGTCTTTATGGCTCGGGTGGCTCTGTAGGTTCTGGTGGCAACACAGCTAAAAGCAATTAAAAATATAGACTTTATTATGTAAAGTGATTGGAAATATTCTCAAATATCTAGCTATACACACAAGAATATAAACAAAAACCATATATCTCGAAAACTGGCATTTCTTGGTATTACCAGCTAAGAGTTTAGAACAGAAGCCGTTATGATCTGCTGCTGTGAATGCAATAATTTTGAGTTTACTGCGAAAAATGGGGAAAATAGCTACTTCCATCCACAAGAAAGGAACATAGGGTGGCACGAAAAAAATTTACGTTTAAAAAATAACCACAAAAAGTAGCTCAAGATTGAAAACAAAAATGCAGTGACGTTAAACAAAAATCTATACGCCGTTTTCTCTGTTTTGTTTCTGACAATTAAAATGCAACTTACATGTTTCACAGAATGTTCCAGTGTAACCAGCAGGACAGGTACAAGCCCCTGTGACATGATGACACTGTCCCCCATTTTGACATCTGCAAATTTCTTGGCACATGTTTCCGTATCGGCCGGCCGCACATGCTGAAAAGGCAAAGTTTAACTCTTTTTTTAATAATATCACAACATGCTTTTATTTCGTTCTGAAATTTAAAAATAAATATTCTTAGGTGGTGGAGAATAATTGTTCTAAGAGGAAGATATTCTGAATTTTTCAATCATTGCCTCACCAGGAGTGTTGTGCCAAGAGAAGCTCAACCCTCTTGCTTATGCCGGAGCCTGGCCTATTTTACTTCGTGAATTACTTCGTTTTTTTCGAGTTTTTATGCGAGATCAAAGGTTGCTCTTTCTACAGCACTGCATTCCTTTTCATTATAACCTTTCATAAGTTATTTCAGTTACCTAGCCTTCTCTTGCCTTTTTCGGTGAATGCCACACAGATTGCATTTTCTAAGACCATTACCTAGGGTGTGGGTTCCAATAGGGTCATAGTGGAGAGGTTCTGAACCAAGGAACCAATCAAAGGCACCATTCTTCCTTTCGCGTGACTTTCGATCCGCATCTGGATATATATATTTCCGCTTGACTTTTTTGCCATTATTCGATGTTTATACGCTTAGGAGTATCAAGCGAAAAATACTTTAGTATAATCGAGATAACCTTGGGATGACCTGTTTGTGTATTTCCGAGATATTTTCAAATACTATGTAATGTTATTGTTTCTGGAAAGTCCCTTACTCCTCCCGCCACCTTATGGGTGTGGCGTTTCAGCTTCTCAATCATTTCACCCTGACATTTTTTGATTGGAAGCCTGACAGCAAAGAGATTGTCCTAAAATTCTGTCTGATCGCGGAAACGAATTCTCGATGTCATGATAATTTTGCCTATTAGATATGGAGGTTTTAGATATTTTCTTGTGCCTATCCTAAGACGATACTTTAACCGTAGAAAGTGCTGATTAGAATCTTGGCCTAAAGAGTTAATTGAAAGATGTTAAAACATGTCATCGACATACGCTTGTCGCAACTGTTTCCAAACCATCCTGGCTTGCAAGTACAGTAGCCATTCTGTTTGTCGCATTTTTGGTGCTTGTGTGGGCATCTACAGATACCTTTGCAATCGAATCCATAATATCCATCAGGACATTCTGAAAGAAATGTTTATGGGAAACCATGAGAAAAATGCATGAAAGTTGCGTGAAAGGCAGCTTCTTTAAGCATTAATAATAACAGTAAAATAACACAATAAAAAGCAAACAAAATTTTGAATAATCACGACAGTTGTATCTTTTGTTTTGTTTCCGACACCTACCGAAAGTTGACCATCTCTATTCTGACATACTGCTCCTACGGTCAGCGGTAGATTACTGAATATATGCGCTGCCAGCGGATGATAAATTTCCTGTATTCATGTGCTTTTTTCATTTAGAATATATTTGATTCATTCCTTCGTCGTTGGCAAAACTCCGCCTTATTCTGTAGAAATCGATATCACCTTTACAGAAAAACGCAGTTGGCTGCAAATTTTCTGCCAATACAACTCATAAGTGAGTCTTCTACTGCGATCTTCAAACACTGTTAAATAGATTGGAAGCAACCCTAAGCCTGTACTTACCGAATTCACAGTTAGTACCGTTAAATCCTGCTGCACAGACGCAGTAATATAGGTTGACGAAATCGTAGCAGTACCCATTGTTCTGGCATGGCGTGGATGCGCACTCGTTAATTTCCGTTTCACACAATCTACCTGTGTACCCTGGCTTACACGTACACGAGAATTTGTTCACCCCATCGTTACAGGTTGCGCCATTCTTGCAGGGTCTTGATGCGCACTCGTCTTGGAAAAAGAAGACAACGAATAAGATTACATCAGTTTCAATCCACTGGCCATAATATTTCAGCTAAAACAATGTGGAAATTTGTGGAAAGGAACATGTCCCAGTTGTTTGAGATCAGTTTGAAGACTGATCAATGATTTTCATTTTAAGACAGTCGCAGCAGATAAAATTGCTAGATTTTAATATGTTACGTCCGCTTTAGTCTTAGAACACATCTCAAGTCTCAATTGAAGGTCTCAGTACCCCCATTTGCCATATGTAGTAAATAGTAAGGACTCAATTAAACCAACTGAACATCGTACCTCGTCTATATATTAAACCAAACCTTAACCCTTGAAATCATGGTGGTTTAGCTCTAAGAATCATTATTATTACACGGCACGTTTCTGCTTCAGCTGCAATCAATGCTAATACAACCGGAACTTTTTCATAACTCTTAAGAAAAGGAACCAACAAGCAAAAGCTACCATCTATAAGATATCGCATAGGAATTACCAATATTGACTTCGCATCGTTTTCCAGTGTAACCAATGTTGCAGGTACATCTGAAATCATTCACTAAATCTGCACATGTGCCATTATTAACACAGGGGCTGCTTGCACATTCATCTATATCAGTCTAGAAGAAAGATTAACATAACTGACATGGAATCTAGACGACAGTATTAATAACCAAGAAATCTCAAGACGACATTGAATAATGGACATATCAGTTAATTTTTGAGCCACAACACTAACCTCACAAAACAGCCCTGAATACCCTGCAACACATGAACAAGTAAAACTGTTTCTACCGTCATTGCATGTCCCACCATTCTGGCATGGACTTGATGCACACTCATCAATGTTGACGTCACAATTAACACCGGAAAAGCCCGCAGCACAAGTGCATGTATACTCATTGATTCCATCGTTGCATGTTCCACCATTCTGGCATGGGTTTGATGCACATTCGTCTATATTGACATCACAATGTATGCCTGAATATCCTGCAGCACAGGTGCAAGTGTACCCATTGACTCCATCAATGCATGTTCCACCATTCTGGCATGGATTTGATGCACATTCGTCTACATTGACGTCACAGTGAATGCCTGAATAACCAGCAACACAAGTGCATGTGTAACCATTAACACCATCGTTGCATGTTCCACCATTTTGGCATGGGTTTGATGCACATTCGTCTACATTGACATCACAGTGAATGCCTGAATACCCAGCAGCACAGGTGCATGTGTACCCATTAACTCCATCGTTGCATGTTCCGCCATTTTGGCATGGATTTGATGCACATTCGTCTACATCGACGTCACAGTGAATGCCTGAATAGCCTGCGGCACAAGTGCATGTGTACCCATTAACTCCATCGTTGCATGTTCCACCATTTTGGCATGGGTTTGATGCACATTCGTCTACATTCACATCACAGTGAATGCCTGAATACCCAGCAGCACAGGTGCATGTGTACCCATTAACTCCATCGTTGCATGTTCCGCCATTTTGGCATGGATTTGATGCACATTCGTCTACATCGACGTCACAGTGAATGCCTGAATAGCCTGCGGCACAAGTGCATGTGTACCCATTAACTCCATCGTTGCATGTTCCACCATTCTGGCATGGATTTGATGCACATTCGTCTACATCGACTTCACAGTGAATGCCTGAATAACCTGCGGCACAAGTGCATGTGTAACCATTAACTCCATCGTTGCATGTTCCACCATTCTGGCATGGGTTTGATGCACATTCGTCTACATCGACGTCACAGTGAATACCTGAATATCCTGCAGCACAAGTGCATGTATACCCATTCACTCCATCGTTGCATGTTCCACCATTCTGACATGGATTTGATGCACATTCGTCTACATCGACGTCACAGTGAATACCTGAATATCCTGCAGCACAAGTGCATGTATACCCATTCACTCCATCGTTGCATGTTCCACCATTCTGACATGGATTTGATGCACATTCATTTACGTTGACGTCACAGTGAATACCTGAATATCCTGCAGCACAAGTGCATGTGTACCCATTCACTCCATCGTTGCATGTTCCACCATTCTGGCATGGGTTTGATGCACATTCGTCTATATTGACATCACAGTGTATGCCTGAATATCCAGCAGCACAAGTGCATGTGTACCCATTGACTCCATCATTGCATGTTCCACCATTTTGGCATGGATTCGATGCACATTCATTTACGTTGACGTCACAGTGAATACCTGAATATCCTGCAGCGCAAGTGCATGTGTACCCATTAACTCCATCGTTGCATGTTCCACCATTCTGACATGGATTTGATGCACATTCGTCTACATCGACGTCACAGTGAATGCCTGAATAGCCTGCGGCACAAGTGCATGTGTACCCATTAACTCCATCGTTGCATGTCCCACCATTCTGGCATGGATTTGATGCACATTCGTCTACATCGACGTCACAGTGAATGCCTGAATACCCTGCAGCACAAGTGCATGTATACCCATTAACTCCATCGTTGCATGTTCCACCATTCTGGCATGGATTTGATGCACATTCGTCCATGTCGACGTCACAGTGAATGCCTGAATAGCCTGCGGCACAAGTGCATGTGTACCCATTAACTCCATCGTTGCATGTTCCACCATTCTGACATGGATTTGATGCACATTCGTCTACATCTACGTCACAGTGAATGCCTGAATATCCTGCAGCACAAGTGCATGTGTACCCATTAACTCCATCGTTGCATGTTCCACCATTTTGGCATGGATTTGATGCACATTCGTCTACGTTGACGTCACAGTGAATGCCTGAATATCCTGCAGCACAAGTGCATGTGTATCCATTCACTCCATCGTTGCATGTTCCACCATTTTGGCATGGATTTGATGCACATTCGTCTATATTGACGTCACAGTGTATGCCTGAATATCCAACAGCACAAGTACATGTGTACCCATTGACTCCATCGTTGCATGTTCCACCATTTTGGCATGGATTTGATGCACATTCGTCTACATTGACGTCACAGTGAATGCCTGAATATCCTGCAGCACAAGTGCATGTGTATCCATTCACTCCATCGTTGCATGTTCCACCATTTTGGCATGGGTTTGATGCACATTCGTCTATATTGACATCACAGTGTATGCCTGAATATCCAGCAGCACAAGTGCATGTGTACCCATTCACTCCATCATTGCAGGATCCACCATTCTGGCATGGATTTGATGCACATTCGTCTATATTGACATCACAGTGTATGCCTGAATAGCCTGCGGCACAAGTGCATGTGTACCCATTCACTCCATCATTGCAGGATCCACCATTCTGGCATGGGTTTGATGCACATTCGTCTATATTGACATCACAGTGTATGCCTGAATATCCAGCAGCACAAGTGCATGTGTACCCATTCACTCCATCATTGCAGGATCCACCATTCTGGCATGGATTTGATGCACATTCGTCTATATTGACATCACAGTGTATGCCTGAATAGCCTGCGGCACAAGTGCATGTGTACCCATTGACTCCATCATTGCATGTTCCACCATTCTGGCATGGGTTTGATGCACATTCGTCCATGTCGACGTCACAGTGAATGCCTGAATAGCCTGCGGCACAAGTGCATGTGTACCCATTCACTCCATCATTGCAGGTTCCACCATTCTGGCATGGGTTTGATGCACATTCGTCTATATTGACGTCACAGTGTATGCCTGAATACCCTGCAGCACAAGTACATGTGTACCCATTGACTCCATCGTTGCATGTTCCACCATTCTGGCATGGATCTGATGCACATTCGTCTACATTGACGTCACAGTGTATGCCTGAATACCCTGCAGCACAAGTGCATGTGTACCCATTCACTCCATCATTGCAGGTTCCACCATTCTGGCATGGGTTTGATGCACATTCGTCTACATTGACGTCACAGTGTATGCCTGAATACCCTGCAGCACAACTGCAAGTGTACCCATTGACTCCATCGTTGCATGTTCCACCATTCTGACATGGATTTGATGCACATTCGTCTACATTGACGTCACAGTGAATACCTGAATATCCTGCAGCACAAGTGCATGTGTATCCATTCACTCCATCGTTGCATGTTCCACCATTTTGGCATGGATTTGATGCACATTCGTCTACATTGACGTCACAGTGAATGCCTGAATATCCAGCAGCACAGGTGCATGTGTACCCATTGATTCCATCATTGCATGTTCCACCATTCTGGCATGGGTTTGATGCACATTCGTCTAAATTGACGTCACAGTGAATTCCTGTGTAGCCTTGTTTGCAAATACAAGAATAAAAATTGACTTGATCAACACACAGTCCTCCATTTTGGCATGGATTTGATGCACATTCGTCTATGTCGACGTCACAGTGAATACCTGAATATCCTGCAGCACAAGTGCATGTATACCCATTGACTCTATCGTTGCATGTTCCACCATTCTGGCATGGATTTGAGGCACATTCGTCTACATTGACGTCACAGTGAATACCTGAATATCCTGCAGCACAAGTGCATGTATACCCATTCACTCCATCGTTGCATGTTCCACCATTTTGGCATGGATTAGATGCACACTCGTCTACATTGACGTCACAGTGAATACCTGAATATCCTGCAGCACAAGTGCATGTATACCCATTCACTCCATCGTTGCATGTTCCACCATTTTGGCATGGATTAGATGCACACTCGTCTACATTGACGTCACAGTGAATACCTGAATATCCTGCAGCACAAGTGCATGTATACCCATTCACTCCATCGTTGCATGTTCCACCATTTTGGCATGGATTAGATGCACACTCGTCTACATTGACGTCACAGTGAATACCTGAATATCCTGCAGCACAAGTGCATGTATACCCATTCACTCCATCGTTGCATGTTCCACCATTTTGGCATGGATTAGATGCACACTCGTCTACATTGACGTCACAGTGAATACCTGAATATCCTGCAGCACAAGTGCATGTATACCCATTCACTCCATCGTTGCATGTTCCACCATTCTGGCATGGATTTGATGCACATTCGTCTACATCGACGTCACAGTGAATTCCTGAATATCCAGCAGCACAAGTGCATGTGTACCCATTGACTCCATCATTGCATGTTCCACCGTTTTGGCATGGATTCGATGCACATTCATTTACGTTGACGTCACAGTGAATGCCTGAATATCCAGCAGCACAGGTGCATGTGTACCCATTCACTCCATCATTGCATGTACCACCGTTCTGACATGGATTAGACGCACATTCGTCTATATTGATATTACAGTGGGTTCCTGTGTAGCCTGGCTTGCATATGCAAATATACATATTTACCTTATCAACACAAAGTCCTCCATTGTGGCAAGGTGTAGAAGCACACTCATCAATATTCGTTTCACAATTTGTTCCTATGAACCCCTTTGCGCATGAACAGGTATATTTATTGACACCATCTGTACATGTGCCCCCATTTTTACATGGCTGTGAAGCGCATTCGTTAATATCTGTTTCGCAGTTCACTCCAGTGTATCCTGGTTTGCAGTCACAACGATATTTATTCACAAGATCAACACAGCTTCCGCCGTTTTTACATGGGCTTGAGGCACACTCATTGATGTTTGTAGCGCATATCTTTCCTGTGTATCCTGGCAGGCAGTTGCACTGAAAGTCATTTAGCTTGTCAATGCATGTGCTACCATTCTTACATGGGTTGCTTTCACACTCATCGATTTCCACACATACTAGAAACGGAATAAAACGTAATGAAGTTGTTAACTTGCCCCCAACATATCAAACATTGACGACATCTTACAGAAAAGGTTTATTTTTGAACCGCTGCTTCTCCCCGCTCTGGTGTCAACGAAAAGCCAATTTCTTTCCTTCTTTCTGTCGTCTAAATTCAGAAAGGATTTACAAAATTTTGAAAGAGTATGAAGAGCTATACAAGTTTTTATTGCATTTGTTCAAAAGCAATAACACTTTGACAGAGAAACGTTAATTTCTTACATAGTTATACAAGAACCTAACTCGACTTTGTCCAAACTTGAACACCAGTGCCGAAGCTTCTGTTGTTCCTAGGGAGCTGGCACCCCCTCAAAATAATCAAATCATTTGGTTCCAATGAGCAATCTTTTTTCCCATTGTTCTTAAAAAATGGGTGCACATTTGTCTTTGTGCCTCTCCAACAATTTATCCTTCCCGCGGTTCTGTTACTTGTTTGTCGTTAGGGTATTGGGCCGAAGGTCGACTTTTTCAAACAATGCATACCTTACGAATATTGTTAACGCTCCTGCCCAATCTTTCTTCGCAATTTTCTGCTTCTTGGTGGCATGTACGTATTATCAAATTTATTCTATAATAGTTTTTATGTAGTTGCCTAGTTGTGTGTGGCTCAGAGTTAATTTATCGTTGAAACCTTACCTTTGCCATCACTTTTTTCCTGAGCACACAAGTGATTGTTGCACCAACCTTCTTTACTACCTTTTGGCAATTTCCACTTGAGACATCGTGAGTTAGTGCTCCCGTGGACACCTTGGTTCTCCCAACTGAATCTGTACCAAGAATTATGTGGCACACATAAGAATGGACTCTGCCACGTGTAGTCGGTTGGTTCCACAATGCGGATACATCGCTTCGAAGTGATGTTTACGCTGGAGAACTGTATTTGAGGCATTGTCTTTCCCTTCTTTTTCTTGATGCACAAGTAAGGCTTTCGGAAATACTGATAATAAAACTTTGAGCTAAATCTCGAGAGGTCTTGACATTCCCAGTCTTTTTCACTGCGAGGCTGTCCCACCCTTTGTGGTGGATTGTCAATAGGGTACTCTCGAATCTTGAAATCACTCGGCCATTTTGGAAGCTCTAGAAATAACACAATCGGATGTCTGAAAAGGACTTTAGCTGGATAAAAAGAGCAATGAAACCTAAAGTGTGAGAAGGAAGAACCGCAGGATAGGCTGTTCGCCGGATTCTGTGAATCTTGCAATGAGATTTAAAATGAAAGGTATACAGGAACAAAGCAATACGACGACGAGAATCCAATGTCACGAAATAAATTTTCAAAATAAATTAAATTTAAGTTTAATTTATTTATTTTGAATTTAATCAAATTTCCTATATTTTTCCTATAAATTTCCTATATTTAAATTTAATTAAATCTCTTAAATTTAATTTATCTTGAAAATTTATTTCGTGACATTGGATTCTCGTCGTCGTATTGCTTTGTTCCTGTTTACCTTTCCATGAAACCTAGTCTTGGTCTTTTATAAACCCTGGCTTTTTAGAATACATACAGTCTCTAATCTAAGTAAAGGAATTACCTATCATGACGCAACGTACAGAAGGTGTATGCACCAATCTTGAATGCGAATGCTTGGTTATCAAAAGCATTCAATCATCAAATCAGGTTCTGCATTTGTAATTCAACTAGCTCTTCTAGCTCTTTTAGTTGAAGGATTCGAAATCATTCGAGCCTTCAGAGTTTACCGGTATGAAAAGCGCTTTGCACCAAACCATAACTGCATTTGATGCCACAAAAGGAGCGTCATTTGGAGACAATATAAAAAGCTAAGGAAATTAAGGGAAAGTAGGTAATGAACGTGCAGTAATTGGAGTAGAAGTTCGAAAGAAAGCAGTGCGGATAAGTTGTCGAAATTCTAAAAGTAGTTTGCAAAGACTTTATTTTCAAGACAACAACAATTTTTCCAGAATTATTAAACGCCGTCCCAGTCTTTAATTTAAAGGTGCTTTTCATTCACATTTTCATTCGTTTGATGCAACAAGCTCGACATGATTTCGACTGAGGGAGAAAAGAATAACTCTGTCTCGGGAAATATTTAAATTCAGGCTTTCTGATTAACGTTTTCGGTTAAAGCACTTGTGAAGATTTGAGACTAGCAAGTGTGAAGTGACGGGATAGCTCCAGTTTAAGAATATCTTATTGTGGATCAGTTTAGTTGGTGACTTGCAAGGTTGAGACATTAGAGAATTGTATTAATAATTGAATGAGCAAGGCATTTGTCAAATAATCTTCTTTATCAACTTACCGACTTGCTTGTACCCCAGTTGGCAGTAACAGTGGCCTGCATTTGAAAGAGATATCATGGTTGAACTTGGTTTTTGCAGGGTTTTGATGATCATATAAAATGTAAATTCTATAATTGATAATTTACAATTTAATGATAAATGTAAGACTCTTGAATAATTGCAGAGTCTTAAAAATTGGCCTCTGTAATTAAAATCCCAGTTTGGCAGTAAATTCCAATTTGGTAAATTTCTAACATAAAATTCTACTTCCGTTTATCATTTTCCTCCATGCATTTCACAATTCTTCTAGTTTCTCATTCATTGTAAACCAACCGCCCTTAAAATGTTTTTCCAAGTATTTTAACACAAGCATCCTTGTGACAAGGTGATATTATAAATTTACTGCTTTTCTTTTCTCGAGGCCATCATCAAACACCAGAAGAACTATTAAGTGCTGCTCGAGTTCAAGGCGAAATATGCTAATTATTACGTGCGTTAGATAACGCTGGGTTACCATGCTAAAACTGGGACTTAAAACTTTAAAGAAGGTATCTTGATATTAATAACCTAATGGCTGAGAAGATATTTTAGAAACAAAATTTTTTCTTTTGTTAAAATCAGTGTTTGATAGAAATCTGCAGTGTAGTTTGGCATTATTTTCAAGAAGCTTCTACGCTACGTTTACGGTCATTTTAAACAGCAATTTGTAATCATTTCCTTGTAAAGTACATGCTTTATACACTCGATGTTAAACCTACCATAAAATACTTATAACCAGCAGTATTTTGCGTTGTGCCACTTCTTGGCTGAAACGCAAAGCATGTATTTTCCAAAGATTCCCTTCCACGAGTTTGGCAATGAGCAAACATCTAAAACTATAGCTTTATAGAGCATAAGGTGTTCCTGTTATTAGATAATGTCATGAGATAAAACCTACCCCTTCTGCAAGAAGATGACGATGACCCGCCATTGGAAGATGAAGAAGAATGTCTCGATCTTCTGGTGTTTGATGTTCTTGTGCTGGATCTTCTGCTGTTTCCCCGCTGGCTGTTTGATCGACGTGAACCTGAATCAGGATATGGATGGGCGTAAAGCAGTTCAATAAGTAGGACTAGCGCAACTAGGAAAACCAGTGCTTTCTTGACGGAGACCACCATTGTGAAGACAAGCCTTGGTTCTCACTTCTGGCTCTCACGATTAGGTGTGAAGTAGCAATTGAATCCAACAATGAAATTTGAAGAAAAATAGAAGTAAACACAAAAACTAGGGGGTTGGCATTTTTTAGCATGCAAATCGTTTTGCTCAAGATGCTTTTTCTAGGAAGGTTTCTCGATCTAATTTTCTGTCACTGAGACCCCCTCGTCGTCAATATTTATTTTTCGTGAGAAATGGCGAATGATCTGAATTATGAGGCAAAATATTGACAAAATAAACTTAATAAAGAGAAAAAATTATTTTTCTGCAATGAATAGTAACTAAAAGCTTATAGATAAAGTCCACGAACTGAAACTGGTCTTTTGATGCTAATTAAGGTGGCTATTTGAACAGTTGTGAGAAATTCGTGGCTTTTGTCATGTAGGTTTGTAAACAAAAGCATACTTTGTAAATCCACTGTTTATATATTAACATTGGAAAGTTAATGGAGTCAGAAGTACACGGGATTCTTTACTGGGTAAATGAAACCTAACTTAGAATCCAAATGAATGCAGTCAGAATGCTGCATTTTTGCAGCTAGAAATCAACAAACATCGAGTGTGTGCGTCCGCAAATAGAAGTACTGCCTTTTTGAATACCTGAATGTCGACCTCCACAATATGGTATGATCTGTGTCATCTAATACGCCCTCTGACAACGCAAAATGAATCCTTTTCTCGGTGCATTCAGACCAAAAGTTTTGCATCAAAGAATCAAAATCTGTAAACATTTTCTTTCAGAACCAGATGTGTAGAATTTTGAAATGAAATGAAATTTAATGAAAACCTTTGCATTCGACGTATTTTACTTCTGGTGAGGAAAGTTTAGTTCTTGGGGAGTTTAGTTCAGGAGAAGTGTTATCTGATCGTTTCTTTGGCAAAATGATCACAGGAATCCAATAGAGGTTTCGTAGCACAATATAAGAAGCTGTTGGTAACAAATTGTTGCTTTGACATGACAAATAATTGAACACGATAACCAGGGCTGGTCCCCTGGTTAACACCCCCCCCCCCCCCCCCAAGAATAGCATATGTGTTTTAGTCGTTAAAGTTTGAATTTAGTCGGTAAAATTGGGATTTTGACGGGTAGATAATCTTTTTTAAATTTCCAAACTGTCTTCATGTAATGTTGAAAAACATTAAAAGATATTTAAAAGTTCTGCAGTTCAGCTTTTCCGTTGCTACCACCTTGGGATAAAATCAGTGAAGAAATGGCGGAAGAGTTGGATCAAATGTTGGGATGAAAAGTTTCAAGCGGTAGCCACGTCAAAGAGCTCAGTGTTTTAAAAGAGGAATGCCTTGATCAGATGTTGAAAAACATGTCTATCAGTGAACTTGCGAAGTTTGTATGTAATCAAAGGCATGTGTTTCCGACCAGCAACATGGCAAATGCATTTCTTCAAACGGCATCAGTTACTGTGGCTTCAAATAAACGATCTTTCAGAAAACTCAAATTGGTAAAAATTAAACTGCAAAGCACAATGCTCCAGGATCGTCTGGAATCTCTTATGCTAATTTCGTGCGAGGAAGACTTTTCGCAGATCTTAAATTTGCTCTCTGTTATCAAGAAATGGGTCCAGCCAGTTGGAGAACAGAAGAGTTCGATTTAGTGTTTCTTAAGGTTGAATAAACTACGCTAATATTTTTACAGCTGAAGTTGCTTTGTAATAGCTGAAAATTTATTACAACAATACTAAAATATTCTGATTGCGTTAACGTAGCGTAATGCTGCCAAACTGTACTCGGTAGATAAGAACTTAAACCCCCCTAAAAAAATTCCTGAAACTGGGCCTGATGATAACAAAAGAACATGATTATAACTGAACAGGAAGAGTTTCGCTATGGCACCATTCAGTAGCCTCGTTCTGTTTAAAATTTTGGCGCTCGAAACGAACGCAGATCACGTCAACTACAACATGACCAGCCCAAAAGTATTCATAATGGCGTTTCTAAGAAGGCACCGACTCTAAAATGCTGGGAAATATCATCTAGAAAGCAGAAGTAGCACAGTGTACAATGTTAAAGTTTTGATATAGGAATGGAATTATTGAGTTTCCGCTTTCAAACCCAGGATATCATTAAAATTTCAAGAACCAAGGAATAGGTATGTTTTGTTATAAATATAAATGGCATGTGATTTGCTTTTTAAACAAGGTATACTCCACGTATAGCACAGGTAAGTTATGCGTATAAAGTAAAAGGCACGGTTTGAATGCGAGCTTGCATTTAACCGAGCTCACAAATCGTCAAGTTTGAAAAATACACGTATTTTTCTATAAGAACTAAGGTCCGGTGCTGGTAGGCAGTTTATTAAATTTTCTGGCCATTTTGCTATCAAAAGTTTCTTACATGCTTCTTAAATTTCTTAGGTGATGAATTTTTTAAGTTTCTTGGGTTGGTGTTGACTATCCTAAGAGCTATCCTAAGAATTTGCTCCAAAACGATTCTTATTAAGATAGAAGTGATATTTTGGGGATTTGTAATTTAACTGACATAAAGAAAAGAAATACGTATTCTCTGCCACCGATAAGATGCTATGTTTTATGATATGTTATGCGTTATATTGTGTACGTTGCTTGAAGAACTTTTCCTTACACTGCATTTCTTAGCAGCCAACTTGAAACACATTCTATTCTGCACGTTTAGTGGTGCTGGTTATGCTGTCCAAATTCAAAAATTCTAAAAACAGATTTTTGTGACATCGCTTTGGAATTCGATTTAACATCTTGGAAATTGAAGTAACGTTATGAAATAGTGTTACGATATTTCAAGCAGATCTCTCCATCAGGTGAAAAAGAATACGTAAGGCAACGGTTAAAAAGAGGGTAGTTTGAGTGTGATTCTATCAAGAGAGTTGTGCGCATGTTTTTGTAAGCTGCATAAATCATTTTAAATATTTCGAGTTTAATGTCAAGAAAGGTCGGATACTCAGAAACAAGAGGTTTGTAGAAAGAAAAACTATAAACGTATGATTAATAGCCTTTACCCCGTTACTAAAAGCATCCCTTAGCCAATACGCCCATTACCAGCATATAACAAGAGAGATGACACGCATGTCAAGAGCTTCGTCGTTAAGATTTCATCTACGATTTCTGTTCCTATATCACAAATGTAAAACTAAATCACAAATTAATTACATATATCATTTCTTTTAGCAACAAAGTCTCACATCTTCTAATAAGTTACAATTTACAGCGGCAAAATAGTCGAATTGATTAGGATGGTGATAAATACGATTTTTTACAACATTCACCAATCTTTTAAAAATTGAAACTCGCTCTTAGCCAAACATATTAGCCTATAGGATCCCAGGTTCCTGCTTCCACATAGCCTCAAGTTTCCTGTCTTACGTAATGCAAAGCAGCCATAATTGTTTCTCTTTGATCGTAGTTGAAGGCTACGCAATCGCCTAACAGTTGTATCTGCGACTCTTGACTACAGTTTAAAAATTTCAGAGTTGCGGGGTCTTTATAAAAATTAACGGTTCTTTTGGTTAAATGGTTGGATCTGATTATGTCCAGTATATCGCTGTTTCAAAATTCCTGTTATGGGAAGAAATCGAATCCAAACTACAATAACACCTGTACCAGAATCGCATAGAGAAACTAAAATTCGTTGCGACACTTGAAAGCATGGCTTGGCGACTGCGTTGAAAAGCGCTATCTTGGAAGATTTTCTTTTGGAAATTATTAAAGCATTATTAAAGAATTAATCAGTTTTGGCCCTCTACGAACTATCAATTTATTTTCTTGAATTTTTACATACAGAAGTAAGTTTCTCCATAAATCCCTTTGAACAGTCTATCAAGTGATGAAAATACATCTAAACACAGGTTCTTTTAGAGAAGCCATGCCTTGACTCTATAACCTATCAAAAGGGAAGGGTGGGACCATTAACAAGGTACATTCTTCCATGATATTGACCTCTTCCTCTTGTTCTTTTTCTTCATTTTGATGTTGACTACCTATTCTCGTACTTCAATTGGGCTTGTAAGCCCCAAATCCTTTGAAAAATAATTCCCGAGACAAGTTAGCCTGTTTTAGTACTGAGTAAAAGAACTCGCTAACGCAATAGAGTTGTCAAGTGATGACGTCACAAAAATCTATTTTCAGAATTTTTGAAATTTTTTCCAATAGCCTCAAAGAGCATCATAAAATACCTCTAAATCTGCAAAATTAGTTAAAGGTATTACGAATTGGCTGAGATATGACCAGATGGGCACATGCTCTGGTCCCATCAAACCTCTGTGATTTGGTCTCAGTTCATAAATTTATGAACTGAGCCAAAATAACAGTAATCCGGTAGCAAACTTCAAATCTTCTATTGGCCATAGCTCACCAGATTTTGACAAATTTAACTGATTCTGAATATACGAGAGTATCTTATGGTGTTCTTTCATGTTATGTGGTCAAAATTCGGAAATTCTGAAAATATTATTTTGTGACGTCACACTTGAGAACTCTATAGCCAAATTATACTGAAATACCTTGCAAACGATAAAACACAGCATGTCGTGAGAAGTCCTGCAGTAAGATACCACCCGGAAACAATTGAATAACTAGAACGTAGAAAAGAAAAAAGAATTAACTTTCATAACCTGCTAGAAAATACGGGCTGTAAAGCATTTAGGAGCAACGATGTGCAATGGTATTAAGCAGCCATCAAATATATTACCATCACTTGCTTTCAATGCCCCCAAAAAAATACTTCTGGCAAACTCTTGTTTGAATGGTCCGCATCGTGATGTGTGATTATAATGATTCAATGTGCATAAGTTTTTCTTGTTAAGCTCTACATAGATTAGATACACCTCAAAAGTTACGCGTATATTCAAAACAAAGGCCTTATGAGGCTCAGGATCAATTTGTGTTACTTAGCTAAATAGCTAAATAGTTTACTATTGGAAAAGATTAATGGCTTAACAGGTTTTTAATACAAGAGAAGACGGACTGTGGCCTTCTTGCATAAACACTATTAGCTTGTCGATTGTCGGCTTTTGTCATCCTTCTTCGAGCTGTAACTGCGATCAAGCAATTCCTGGCCATTGATCTCGAGCACAGCATAATCTCCATACATTGACTGGGAAAACATTACTCCTAGATCAACACTTTTGGCTGACGGGCTTTGAGGTGTGTCTAGAAGGTGTCCCAAGTCAATGTCTGTGCCGATCCCAAGATCGAGGCACAATGAAGATCGCAACGCACTTCGCGTAAATGGCTTTGTCTTCTTAGATAGAACTCTCTTGATTCGACTTTCGTTCCATGACAAACTCAAGGCTTTATCTGAGATTTCATCGTTGTCATCTGCCTCTGCTCCGATGCATTCTTGCCTTGGTTCATTTGGCACACCATCTGCGGCTCTCTTCCGCTTTTTGTGTATCTCCTCACTTATCTGCTCCAACTTTTTCAAGGCCAAAGCATAGTTTTTCTTTTCAGTTTCATAAGAAAGCTCCAAATTTAAGACCTTGTCTTTTTGCTCCTAAAAATTGATGTTGCTATTATTTAAAACAACCCTTTCATAAACTTTATGCTTCATCAGACAGCTCTTTCAGTATTTGACCAAACGTTTTCATTACACTACTCGCATAAAAAACACTATCAGCTGATCGTGGAACTTAAATTGAATTTCTGGTTTTTTCCGAACCTAAATTCAAATCCTGCTTATTCTAAGGGTTATTTCTCCTTTTCCAAAAGTTATATTTTTACAGTCTAACACAAGGATAGTTTTCCAGGGCATCGTATGATTTTGGACACAACCATTCACAAAAGATGAATACCTAAGTACCACGTAATCGCGACTTACAAGACTAATCTTAGAAAGATTTTGTGGAAACAGGCCCACAAGAGAACATCCATCAAAAAATGGATAGAAATTGCAGAGGTGCTTTTTTCTCAAAACATCAAATGGCAAATCGTCAAATAAGTTATCAACAATCTTTTAACGAATAGATTATTGAATAATATTGGACAAATGACAGTAGCATTACTTTTTTACCTGTAGAAAATCCAAATAGGTTTTCTTCTGTGTGTAGTATGGTCTATAATGTGAAAAAGTATGTTATGCAAGCATTTTGAAATTGGATAGAAAGAGAAACACTTCATTTTGAGAAATGCTTTACAAACAATGATCTTTGATAAGTTGCTTTGCTTCCTGTTAAATTTAGTGAGTGAGAGGTAAGTGACATCAACCACTGTGAAAAAACTTTTCCTTTTAAGATTTCTACATTTCAAGTTAGAAATTGATTCTGCTACCTTAGACTTCCTGCTCATGCTTGAAAATCTCAAATTACAGCTTTTAGCAAAAAATACATGGTCTTATACTAATGGAATAAGAAATGAATGGTACAACCAAACTTCTAAAAGGCCTATCATCTTTATAACATAAATATTTTACGAGACTCAAGAAATAATAGGGTAATTGGTAGAGCCCAGTCGTCTTCTCATCTAGCAGTTTTGGAATCGATCTACATATAAACGAAAAAGCCACTATTGTGTAGATGGAAGGAGTTCGTTTTCTATCTTGGACTCCGGTGGTTATTTTTCTTTAAACATGCAGCACTGATTGGTCAACTATCGGTCAACTGATTGGCACTGATTGGTCAACTATACCGGTCTTGTGCTTGTGTTTTTCTGATTGGCCTATTTCAATCCACAACTGGGTATATATTTTTCATCGTGTTCTTTCGGACCCTTATTCTGATATCTTATGCTCTGAGGAGTATCAGACAAAAAACTTTAAGCCAATATGTTGTAAAATGTTTGCTTTTTCAAAGCCATTTTCAAGTTCTGTACCGCCAAAAAAACTGTTCACAAATAACAGGGTTTTTAACACAACTTGCTTTCAGTAATTCAACCAGTTCCAAACAAACAAGTTTGTTCTTCTGGAAGAAGCATCTAAATGTTGTTCCATTAAAGATTGTCTTAGGCCATCTTTCAATCAATCTTAGCCAATCAATAAGCATTTGAGTGGATCCACACACACTGATGGGTCAATTTTTTATCGAAAACTGATTCTGTTGATTGCCTTTAAGTTAGGAGAAAAGTTCCTTTGTGCAATCTCTAGAGAATGGCCTTCAGTCAGTGTCCCATGTCCCAGAGACAAATAATGTGTGTTGGAATTTTGGTATGAATCAAGTCAGTGAACTTGAAAAAAGGATGAGCTGGATAATAAATACTAAACAGCAACCAATTTATGCTATGATACCTTGCTTTTTTTATATTTCTTCTCAATTTTCTCTCTAAATCTGCTGCTCTTTTTTCCAGCTCTTTAAAAGCCACAGTTGCTTCTTTATGTTCCCTGTCAGCTTTCCCTTTGGACACTTCAGATTCCATCAGCTGTGATGATAAAAATTTATTCTGTTAGATAACTACAAGGAATCAAGATGACAAAATTCTAACAAACAGATAAATTCTGTTATCTTAAAATGCAGCCAAAGTTAGATGTGAGCTTATACAAAGACCCTGTCAGACCTATGGTTGAAAAATATAAATGGAGGTCTTAATTCAATTTGCTTTTAGATTACCTTTTCATGCTTTGTTATACCTGATCATGTCCCAGCACAACTCTTTTTTCTTCACTCCCAGTGCCTTTTATGTTTCATTGTCAACCCACAATTTGGAAACTCCATAACTTGTCCCAGGTATAGAAAATGTTATGTCTACATTGATGGACCCCAGGGCAAAATTTTAGCCTACATTGAGAAAAGTCAATTGAACTTGCTCTGCCCTGAGACTCTTCATACTACTGATAGTAGCCTCAAAGACAATGCTATTTATAAAGGTTGACCCAAGTTAGATCAGAATATTAAAAAGGCAAAAAAAACAAAAGCATCAGAACATTTATGTAAAATCTACAAATCCATTTTTGTCCACAATTTTTGTTGGAAAGATAGCCCCTTTTGCACCTGTGCTAAAACAGGAGACTAGGGCCCAGCCAAGGTTTATGACCACACTGCCATACATGTTTTTTTAGTACATACTGGGATGGGTCTTGGATCATTTAACCTAGGCAGAGTATTTAACTAAGGGCTTAGGCTCACAAAAATACAAAGTACCTTCATGTCCGCATGATTTAACATTTCTTGCCATGTCGAGTCAAAGCCACCAGATTGACCTTCCAATTTTTTTTCTGTGATTGAGATCATCTCCTTTGCACCTCGAAGAAGACTACAGGCTTTGTCATATCTCATTGCAGCAATCTGGCATTCTTCTTGTGCCTAAAATTGGGTGAACAAGTAAAAAAATAATAACTGATTTAGAATCCCTACATGCCACTGTGAAGGGGTGTCTACAAAATTTTCCGCTGTATTTAAATCTTCTCCATTACAACCACAAAAATCTAAAAGTTTAATCACAGAAAAATATCCAACCAAAGGTGGGTATTTGATGATAAATCAATGCAGATACTATTTAAAAGAATCTACATCATATGATATGTTACTGGCATTAATGAGCATAACATAAAAATCATAAACTCTGAACTGTAAACTCATTCAAACTAGGAATTACTGCTGTTTTCCAGTCCAATTGACAGCATAATGCACCTCATACCTGAGGCTATGATAAGCCTGACTAGAGGCAAAACAAGATGACAAACTTGATGTTAAATGGATGATTTTTGAAAGAGTGTACACTGCAACCAAATGTTCTACCTTTTTAGACTGTTCGATTGCTTCATAGTATGGTCTTGCTTTATCTATGCACTGTCCAAGATGGTTCGCTAATGATTTCAGTGCCCTAGTTGCATCTGTTAAAAATGTTCTGAAAAGAGCCCTTGCTTCCTACAACAAAGAGAGGTATTTGCTTTTGATTAAAAAAACCTAAAGAATCTCAAAAATAAAAATAAATTGTACATATCACTCCTTATACTTTCAAAAATTCCTTTTGAAACAGGGGATCATAGTTACTAATTATTTAAGAGCGTTTTGGACATCTGTTTCATAAATCTATATTAGTCATATGTTAATACCAGAAAACAATTCTACAAATAACTAAAAACCACTCAGAAATCTCCCATATCAAAGGGTTTTACAAAATTCTATTTTAATTGCAAAAATTTCAAACATTTTTCTGCAAAATTTACACAGCTATGTTTCGAAACATTGCTTAATAAAAAGCACTCATACTTGCAAAACAAAGCCATATACCACTGAATCTGAGTGAATTGAATTATGGGCTGAAAATATCAGTTATTTTTTAATATGCTTACATCAAGTTCTTTCTCCAAGATATTTATTCTGTTGGAGGCTGTGTTAAGTTTCTCAAGCTCCTCCTGAAAAAGAAAGATGTTTTTGGTACTTTTACTAAATACGTACACAAAGTTTGTAGCTCTGTTGGTATAATTCTTTAAGCAAATGGTATCAAGAAACACATTCTCAATCATTTCACTTTCACACACCATAGAGCAAAAGATAATATGAGAGTGTATATAAGTAAAAAGATACTCTTACCGAAAAAACAAGCATTTACTTGAAACAGCATTTACACTCTCTTCCGGTGAATTCTCCTTAACAACTCTTTTGTAAAATTATGTTTCTATCTCATCTCATGGTTACTTGTTCTTCCGTAAATACTTTAAAAGCCCCTCCATACTTTGCATTTGCCCCCTGTCGAGTACAATTCAATTCACTCTTCCACCACCTCTCCACCTCCCCCAACAAAAGCAGGGCAGATTAAGACCCCCGAATGCATCAAACACATGCTTGATCAAGTGCCTCCATGTGCATCTAGAAAGTTCTATGTGATCATGCGAGACATGTTCCCATAATTCTGTCAGTATACAAATAATTAAAATTCAATTTGCAGCCATTGTGCCAAAGATGAAAGCCTTTTCACCTGGCATTAAAAAATGGAGCATCCAAACTTGTCATTATACTGCTTCATGATGACAGAAGCAGCTCATGCAGTAAGACCTGCAACTTGCCCATGGGTGCACAGTCTAAACACAGAGGCCTATCTGGTACCTTCACATCAAACCCATTCATTAGATATAACGCACCTGAAACAGAGTCTGGTCTCCCCTTGCCATACCAAGACCACAAAAAAAGATTACACAGTGAATATCGCAAATGTTTAGGTACTTCAATGATCATTACAACAATCAGCCAAATTTCATATTTCTTGATTTGATGGCGGCCGATCCATTGGTGTGCCAAGTTAATGACAAGGTATATGTCCCATTTATATCTTGATTTCTGGGAATATTATCTCAATAGATGAAGCCATCACTTACCACTGAAAGACCTTGATGTTGGTGTTAATATGATAAAATGTTTATGAAAAACTGAACATTTGACCAAGCTTTTTAGCAGATAACCAGAAAAGGTTCTACCATTCAACACAGGACACTCAATAACATTCCAAGACAGTTATCATTATGCCTTGCTGTCTATGAATTCAACCTTCTACAGAAAAATGAATTGTTTAACATTGCATTGAAAGAGTTTATTTTCAACCATTTATTGATCAATTTTACTTACCATTTTTATATCAACAATAAAGAATAAACTAGTAATTAAAGCAGTCTACAGTCCGACACAAAACTACTTGCAATCATTTCAAAATCACAACGCTAACTCAAAAAAACAGAGAATTAACAAATCAAATAATTAACTTCATAATTTCACAATGAAAAAATTATCACCTAGACGATACTCTCATCTAATTTTAGGGGAAAACTTTACTAGAACAACATTAAAGACTCTGGAAAAAATATTTAGTGGTCCTATGCTACGTATAAATCCATACTTTTCAGTATCATTTTCAGCCCTTCCTTCATACTTGATTACAAATCAAAAGTTAATAATTTGAAAAACACAAGTTTGAAAAAGCTCCGGGTGAATTTTTAACCAACCTTTGCACTGCAATGCGAAAAGTAACTGACTTCGCCTCCAGGTGTATGAAAATATTTTGCTGAGGCCCTAACATTGCACACATACCTGAATTCGAGGATCTAAAAGGTCTTCTTCTTCACCATCAGAGCTTGAGGAGTCTTCAGCTTTCTTTCCAGTACCCTCCATACTAATTTTACAGAATAATTAGGCAGTTTTATCGCTATAACTTTATGTTTACGGTATCAACAAAGATTTCCATATCGCAACAGATTTCTATTTTACGACACTACTTGGTGTTGTTGTTGTGTCCTCGCATTGCGCAGTCAGCCTGATGGTAGTCTCTGCGCATGCAGGTGCAAAAAAGAGGTATTTCGGTCAATATATCTATTTCGGCTTTGTAACGAAAAATAACGGCTTTTCAATAATTGTCAAGGTAAAAATCTTTGCTGGTACCGGCTCTACAAACGCTTGCAAACCGACTGGCTCTACAAAGAACGCAAAATCGCCTACATTTTAGGAAACACCACACGTGCCAGAATCCGGAGTTGCAGGGTAATTGCTTTTAGCAAGCAAGAGCTAGAATTTGCATTCATAAGCAAGGGGATCTATGACTTTAAAAGTACGCAGAACTGAAACTTATTGCTAGAAGATGGCAAGTTTGATAGAGTGTAATAGATGGTTGCTATCATATGCCCCTAAATTGTATGCGATGAGACGCATAAAAGACATTGCTGCAAATGTAAATAGAACTGATAATAAGGATTTCATAGGTACTAGTGTTAATCAAGATTTTCACTGCATTATATCTGCCTTTCTGTCGAAGCATGATCAGCAATAACAATTCTCAACAGGGATTTCGGAATTGGAGTGCACCAGGAGCACATTTCCCAAGTTTTTGGAACAATCACTTTTTTGAGAAGAGACCTCTTTGGAAAGTTCTCCAATCATGCAGCATGATGTCCCTTCCTACCAGTTCCCTTCCAAGTATGAATTGACTTCACCGTCCTGTGATTCAATGCATCTTTCTTCCAAATTAAATGCTTTTAAGGAAGCTTGTCGAAATATTTTCCCGAATGATGTATGCAAAGGGCCAGCATTATCTACCAGTCGGTATTCGGGATTTTTAATGTACATACCAGTTGACTACCCTAATGCTCTGATCAATCATTTCAAAGTTTTCCATCATGGCCAGCCATTGGTTATCAAAATAACATTCTGGCTATTTAAATAGCAATTTTTGCGTTAACCACTGCTGCAAATATTTTTCTTAGTTTTGAAGGCTTTTACCGTAACTCAAATAAAAAACTGCCAAATAAACCTAAACTGAGGAGGGACAAACAAGAAAATATCTAATTTCAAATGACTCTGGCATATACTTGACAGCTTTTGGTAGTTAGTGGTCAATGAGGTCTTTCTTAAAGTTTGGTAGCAATTGGATATGAAGTTCAATTAGATATCAAAAAGATTTTGTAAGATCCATATATTATGACAATTTGGTCAAGGTAGTGAATGAAATACGGCTGCTTTTGCGTTTGCAAGAGGTTTTGAAAAGTATTAGGGTCATTAAATATTTATTTTAAGTACTAAAGTTTCTTACTTCTAAGGACGGATCCAGCAAAAAACTTGACTGAGTTTTTCAGAAATCTGAGGCCAAGGCTAGGGTCTTTCAGATAATGCATTGATAATTGTTCCTTAGACAACATTATTATTCATATTTACGTGAATTGTGGTACCAGGGGGAGGGGTAGGTGCTATCCACTCACTAAATATAGATTCTAGATTTCTTTTTGACAGAAAACAGTGCCTCTGTGAAAATTTTTGCAACCTCCTCCTTTTCTCAATACCCTTTTGTTTGTCTTGGATGTCACAGCAAAGTTTGTCCCTTTTGTTTTGCTCGCAATTTGTTGTTTTGCCTCCGTAGACACCAGCATATTCATCAAAATATGGCGTTCCGTCTGAGCATAGGTCTCCCCTGCCATTTAAGACTGCAATTTAAAACCAAGCTAGTTAATGATCCTGAAAATTAACGATATTTCCTTGTTTTATCTCAAAAGCTTAATAATCTGCTAGAATGCTGCGATGGTCGTGAGTATAAGACATTTGCAGTCGCCATTTCGATTTCAATGTTTTGCAGTTCCACAATAGAACAGAAACAATAGGTAGCCAATAAACTACGGGCCATTGTACAGCTCTCTTACAAATATGGTATCATTTTCGAGTTCCAGATGCTGTTTTGACTGAGTTCCATCCGTGTTCCAAACAAAACAAAAATTTCATCGTTTCAATTCATTCACTTCCGAGGCACAAAACGTTTATTTCCGGGCTCTAGGATTGACTGCTGTTGTCCTCCACAGCGTCTGAAAAAATCGTTTCAAAATCACGACAGAGAAGAAGGAAGGAAAAGGGCGAAAGAATCATATCAAACTGGCAATTTTAAGATTTTGAAGAGACTGCGATAAAACTAAAATTTTTATTTTTCACCTTTTTAGTTCAAGTATTACTTATATCAGGCAGCACTTTTTTTAGCTATATGTTGGAAAACTGACTGAGTTCTGTGCACCAAGGAATTCACTCTGGATTCACTCTGGAAGTTTTATGCCTGTTGCTTATAGGATGCTTTTTGTTAGAAACTGGGTGTGTTTCTTCTCATGTACCAAAAATTTAGAATTGCTAAAATGAGATGCTCTGTTCCGTACGTCATGCAGTACAGTACGTCATGCTCTGTTCCCGTTCATGTTTTGCTTGAAATAGAGAAGAAGTAGTCAAACACACCCTTGGGTAATGCCTGTGACATTCTGACTTACATTCTGACCCTGGTTTTAACCCTGACTATGGCTCGATCAACTTAAAAGACGAGCTGATATCTCAAGAATTGTTATGTTACAGTATTTGTCTAGCTTATATACCCTCATTCAACCATGTATTGCTGGCATTCAAGCTGATATCAACTTTTTGTGTTTTGTTTAATGTTAAAATTTTATATAAGGAACGTGTTTATTGGTCACCTGTTTGACATATACTGCAAAATATCTCACAATTTCAATCTCAAAAGTAATAAAGTTGCAACAAAAAGTGGTGCAGGAATTTATACGAGTAAATTTTCCTCTCGTTACGGCACTTAATGTTCATCAAAAGTATGACATTTATGTGCTAAATTTTTGTATCTTAACTACAACATGAAATTACAATCTTAAAGATAATATCTACAGAGTTTATACTAATAACAGTAGGAATGATTACACTATGTACCGCAAAAAGAAATGCTCTTTTAAGAATTTTTAGCAATCTCCAAAGTCCAAGGATGTACATTCAAAAAACCTCAAAAAGGTCTTATTTGTACACAACATATACCTTGCATTTTTTGTGTGAAACTTCCTTAGCTTCAGGGTTCATATCTCACTCTATGAGAAATTCTAAGCAAATCCTTTAAAAGATACGGTCCCTTTTTCTTTCAATACCGCGAAACTATAAACCTATCAATGTTTAAAGCGAGTTACATCGACTTTTGCAATATAAACTTTTTCCAAGAATTCAAACAAATTTTGTTAATGACTACTGTATATTTGGTTTGCTCAATGTTTGGCACTGGTTCCCTTCCCTTGTTTGGAAATTTAGCAATGGAAGAGACCCCTAATGCTCCATGATGTTTAAAATTCGAAGCAATCCCCCTCACCTTCGCAATGTATAATAAATGCAGCTTAAGATACATTCCTGGAGTAGCATTACTTTAATTTTTCTTACACTTTCGTGATGTTAATTCACACGTCGTTACTACATCATACCTTTTTAACTTTCACATTTACAATCAGTATAAGTTGCCCCAAACCTTTTCATCATTTTAAACTCAAAATATACTAACTTTACAATTTTGTTACCGTTTATTTACAAGCTGACAGTCACCGATTACTAGGGATAACTTCACACTTAATGTATATTAAATCGTCTTTAATGTACTCGTTTTGGTCTATGATTTCGTGTGAGACGAAGCTTGGGTTTCCTATTCCAAGGTTTTCCTTCATGGTCGGTCGGTTGAATACTGCCTTGACATTTGGTAATGATCTATTCGGGCTGAGCTGATGCATTTTATGCTTTCGCTGTTCTCCTTGGTCAAGCAAGTAAAATGTTATTTTCTGGTCAAAAGGCCAGTCAAGAAGAGCGTCATATTCTCCTTTCATTATAATGAGGTATAACGAAAGGTGAGTTCCCTTTCCTCGATCTCGTCCGTTTAGATATATTTTCAGTTTCAACTTGTAACCATACTGGGAAGTATAAAAAGGCTGGCTAAACAAAGCAGCTTCTTCATCGGCATTTCTTGCAGACTCAAATTGCTGTTTAAAGTTCGTTATACGCCATATGAAGATACCGTTTGTACAGTATGACCGGGCCTCGTTCTCTCGTACCTTCTGCACCGCCATTGTGAGGTGCTGGTTCACAGTCGCTTTTATGTGCTCGTCCAGAGCATCTTTCTTTCCCTAAAATGAGACAGAAATCTTGACCTAAGCTGGGAAAAAAAGATTGCTTAAAACGGGACATCTTTTCACTACTCTACTGAAATGCTTTCATTCTATACATAAATGCCTAACAAGCATTGCATTTTTATGCATTTTGCATCTTTTATAGAATTCTTTCCAAGAGTCTTTTCTTGAAATCTTTTGAATATTCATACCTTAAATGAGCAACCAATGTCTTTGTAGGTGCAAGGTAAAACTGACAACGGGCATTCCATCAAGTGGATGGTCATCTGTAAGAAATGTGGAACTTTGTAAATATGAAAACTGGGCGCAAAGTCATTCGGAGAAAAGTAATATTCCTCTCTTGTTTTGTTTATATCATGTGCTATGTATAAGCAAAATCTGCATTTTGACCATGTTTCAATTAAGATCTTGGTGGCTGGCCAAATTTTACATTCGTAATTGGCATTTTTTCAGTTTTTCAAGTTATGAAGCTAACTTTCTGATGATTAAATGTCGGAGTTTAAATGGGGACTGACAAGAAAATTGCTATTAGTATGGGTAGAATATCACTAAAAAGAATAAATGATAGCAGATAGAGATATGAGTATATTTAAAGCTTGTGCTTTATTGCACAGTAAGCATTTTCTGTTAATTGACATACTACGAGTCCTAGTCAAAAGAGTTTAGAGAGAGAGAGAGGATGAGAGTTATAATTGCTGGTGGGTAAAGTTCGTGGAATTGGTAGAAACACCAACGCTACTTCTGTCGTCAATTTTCCTGCCACTAAACACTCAATAAACTTACTCTAAAAACATTGTAAAGCATTTATCTAATCAAAAATCATTTAAACTCTGTTCGAACTTACTTCTTCTCTTGGTATATCTTTAAGCCCGCATTTATTGATACACTCAAGTGGAAATCTTTTGCACGACTTGGCATGGCTCTGTGAAGAATGGAAGTAATTATTTCTTTTCATAAAGAATAGATGTTGCATCTTAAGTAACAAGTTCTTCATCGCCACTTATTCTGTATATCACCCTGACAAAAATCTGACTCGATTCGTTAATGGATCGAGGTGCCAGATTTCAACTGAATGCTATTCTTACGATGTTGATGTTTTAAGTGCCACGAGTTAAAACAAAGTACTCATACAATACTGCAAAGAAGCAAAATTTAGAAAAAAATTTCCTTTATTCATGGCGAGGAGCTATATTCATGGTTATCTGCTAATCGTGCAACCTGTCTGGAACCACGTTTGCTTGTTTACATTTAGTTTATGAATCAGATAAGGTGGTGCCACCATACCAAAGATTTGCATGCAGACACAATTTCGAAGACCTTGCTCATTATATCTGAAAAAACCTTAGGCTGGGTTACCAATAAAAAATATCTTAGGCTAGGTTACCAATAAAAAATATCTTAGGCTAGGTTACCAATAAAAAATATCTTAGGCTAGGTTACACAAAAAAAATATCTTAGGCTAGGTTACCAATAAAAAATATTTAAGGCTAGGTTATTCTTGGTTGTGAATAAATATCAAAGCTTTTGTTGATACAATATGGTGTTGTCTCTCTAAATCCTGCACAGCCCGGTCCACGATATAAAGTATAGAACAATAAACATCATGTGAAAATTGACTGATCAGCATCTGTTTTAAGCCCTATGACTTGATCGCGGTTCTTTAGCTTGCATTTCATTGTCAACATCTCTGCCAATTTGAAACATGTTTGTGCAACTACCCACTTAATGGGACTACCGAAGAAATTTTCTCTAGCACTTTGGTTCTGCAACATTTTTGCAGGTCTCGTTTTTATGATAGAACAAGACGTAAATTACGACGAAAAAATATCTGAATCATACGCATGAGTATTCGTAACTAGTTGTCTATTTTAAAATGAAAAAGAATAGAATAAATCTTTTAAAAATATTTGATTTTGCCCTCGCGATCTGTAAGAGTACCAAAACAATAATTCATGAAATCAGTAAAAGCCAGTTAAAATGTGGCTAAGATTGTAACGTGAGGACAGTCATTTTCAAAACAATTAACAAAGCAAAGATCTTTAACTGGCTTTTTCTTTGTTAAGTTGCAAAATAGTTTGTGTCCTTTGAAGTTTTTCATTGTGTTTTATTTCAGTTACATAGGTCAAGATAAGAAATTCTAGAAATATGTTTTCCTGACCTCATCATTTAACAACTATATTTCCACTTCACGGACACGTTATGCTAATACATTCTAGATTCTGCCTGGTGTCATTCTTTTTTTCTAACATTATCTAAAATCAAATCTTCACCACTAAATCCCTACTTGTCATTTCTTAAGGTAACTTGCTAGCCATCAAATCTAATTACGCAATCTTTTGATGAGAACAACTTGAATTTTTCTGCCTGTTAATTTATGGCATTTACTTGTTAGGCTGTACAACGCAATGACATTATCTGGTCACAGGATGAGATCACAGAAAACCCAGGTCATAAGATTAAAACACACAGCTTCGTAATTTACAACATTATAACATTAGAAGCGTCCTTATTTACAAGTCAGTTTAGCGAAAAAATTATTCTTCATAAAGTCGTACATTACAAATTTTAATTCCTTTGCAATTCAAAGAACATCTGGTTGAAATTTTGCCATGGTAATACTTTCTGTTTTCATGAAGAGCATTTAATTATTAATAACTTGCTAAATTGAAACAATAAACCTTTTATAAAATCCAATCACATGTCATGCAAAACAGTTTGAACAATTTTCCTGGCATTAATGGTTTTTCATAAAGAATTAATTCGTGAACAATACTTTTCAGTCTGCAAGTGGAAAGTTTGCGATATGCCAGAAACACGTGGCCCTCTGAAGATATCTTTTATCATAATTAGTGATTTCATCCACATCGAAATTTGAAATTTGCTAGCATCTATTGCATTAGCAATCTTTTTAAGCCTGAAACCTGAATCATTGCAAGAGTAACATACAGTGATAAAACCACGAGAGTATATCTCATTCAAAAAAATAAAATCAAAACCAGTTTTTAGGCCCCTGTCCTGATAGAATTTTATACATGCACCTTAACTAAAGAATGATTCTTAAGAAAAAATTGGCAATTGAAACAACTAAAAAGATAACCGCCATGTTTTACGAGCTCTTCTTTAATACTTTTTAAGTTAAACCTTAGAAGATTATGATTAAGGGCCTAGGATCATAGTTCACTAACTGGGAGGATAATTGCCTCTCTAGCCTCAGCGACTTTCCATTGTCATAAAAGATAGACTATTGTCCTCTCTTTATATAAACAAAGGCTTGTCCCCGCAGCTAAAATCCCTTTCGAATAGGCTTTGTCATAATATACTTTGTTTTAAAACTTTTCCATGTTTTTAGATTTGATCTGTAGAGCGTCACCGAAATCTTTTACAGGCCGCGCCACTGAGAGGCCATGCCCCCCCCCACTTTTTTGCGAAGCAAGTGCTTTTTAAAGCTGAAGTAAAAGGGGTAAGAATCCTTGGCCCCCTACTTTTTTTGCCTTGCTCCCCCCCCCCCCACTTTGAAATTCGTGGCGTTGGCCCTGTACTAAGGTTCAGCAAATATCACTTTCATGCATAGCCTGCGAATAGCATATTTCTTGCGCAACCCCCTTGACAAAAGCATACAGCTTTTGTTCTTCACTTTAACTGCCATGCAGCTAATCAATGGTTTTGAAAACTTATGACCAATATACGAAAAGAACTGACTGCTGGTGGAACTCCTTTGAAAGGTAAACACTGTGATAAAAACAACACTATTATGCCATGATAATTGTTGACATATAACACATGACTTTCCCTCTTTGATTTCAGGTGCCGATGTGTAATTTTCATGCAGTCTTTCGCTGTTCTGTTGTGAAATTACCTTGTTTCCATGTAATACTTCCAAAACACCAAAATTATGAAACTTAAAAACTTACTGTACATTATTTGATATGGAAATCTTGATCTGCCAGTTCTACGTTAAAGGCAGAGAGTTGTGCAACAACGAATATGCTATGTTACAAAACTTTCTTAAAAGATGCTTGGAAAGAGTTCTCTGCTCATCCCAATATACTGAGATTTCAACAAAAAAGCAACTTGCTGCAATTGATTTAAACTTGGGCTCCTAATGAATTCAAAATTTGCATTTTCTTGACTTTTTACTTAACAAACAGATTTTGAAATAAGCCGTATCATACTCTATAGATGTTTGTAAGTCATTTACCCATGTGTAAAATATCTTTGGCTTTTATCCGTTTACATTTTCAACTCTGATTTACGTCTGGATTTCTCTAGCAGCTGCTGTAAGTTAAAGACGGTTGGTTTTTTGTGCCTCTTTTCTATCAAACCGGCTCTTCTTTTTAATTATTTTAGTTGGCTTTTACAAGCTTTAAGCAGCTTAAATTTTTCGGCAGAAGTAAATGTAAAATAATAATACTGGCACCACTCCTCACCGAAGATTTGTACAGCTGAGTAAACCAGAAGTTTCTAAGTTTTTTTAAACAGGCTTGAATAAGTTAGAAAAAGGCCATATAACAGAAGCAATCGTATTGGAAGCTATGATTTTAGCTGAATCAAGAAAGATACTCACCCTGCTGTCCTTGTGTATATACTTTTCAGAGCAATACTGGCAGCTAACAATGCGCATTTTGCACCTTGTTGCAAGATGTGAGTTCAGGTTTCTCCTTAGAAAGGACTCATCGCAGCTCTCATTTGGACAAACGATTTCCTCGTACAAGCACGATTTGATGTGGTCCTGAGAAACAAACAAAATAGATCTAGGCCAAACCTTCTCTATTACAACGCACTTTGGTACCTTGTATTAAATGATAAAATTGATATGATATTTGAATGAGAAAAACCCTGTATACAGAACTGTAGATACTTGGGATACATAAATGGACAGCAATCATAGTAGCATTGTTCCTTCTTGGAACACAAAGCATTCCCGTTTATGGTTTATGAGGGTCAAGATGTGACTGACTGTCTGCTAACTACTCTCAAAAACATTGAAACCAATCGATTTTCTGTAAACAGTTTAAAAGAATTTAAAGGAGGTCGCTCAACTTTCAGGGCAGGTAGCACAACTTTTCTTCTTAATAATGGTGCTTCATCAAATCAAATATTTGTTTCTTTATTGGTTCATTGCTTCACGGCTCCGTTGTACTACACAGCTGTTTTGATGTTTTTTCATTGCATCTCTTTCCTGCAATTGGAATCTCTCTCCATTGCTTTGACAAAGCTCCTTTAATTACAACCAGATGCAAAGTCCCGCAGGACCTGACAATGCAACTTACAGTTTGAGAGGAAATCATGGTTATCAAGACTGCACATACCTCTAAATTTCCAAGTTCACCTGACCATTCGCACTTCTTTTTGAAATTAGTGCATTTGACACTCAGTGATAATACTGCCCGTTTTGCTGCCTTGTCAAGAAAAATCTGAAAGAAACAAGATTACCTTGTAAGCTGCACTCAAAACCCAAGTCCTTGTTGTCTCATGTGTCTAGGTTTTAATCATGTGGCAGAAGTTCCCTGCTGAATCAAGCTAAATAGCCAGGTTAAAGCTAGAGCACATGTTAAGACGAATCAAATCAAATTTATGGCGAGCCAGAATACTTTAGAAGATGTTTGAATGTAATGGTTATTGACCAGCGAAACATGTTTTGTATAGAAATTATTTGCAAATAAAAAAGCTGGTGCTATTCTCGCGATTTTGAATTGATCACCCGTACTGAGACAATGTTTTCTTCCTTACCCGGTTTATCTCTATAGAAAAAGTGATATTTATTTGTATACTTATTGGTAAAATGAAGGACTTGAAAGAGCCTGATTTATTAAGATGTAACATAGAGATAAGTGTGATGCTTGTTAATGGGGGAGGGGGGAGGGGGGAGGGAAGGGGGCTTGTAATAAACTGTAAATGCAGGACATAAAAAGGAAGCGATATTTTTCTCCCTTCCCTGCGTCTTGAATATTTTGTCATATTTTGGAAGGAGTGGAAACGAGCAATGGCGGCTCCAGCCTGGGATAAATGGGGGGACAAAAGGTGTGTCAGGTTCCACGCCCTTTTAGACCACGCCTTTTTTCCCTGATTGAAACATTTTCTTCCGGAGGATACAACTATTGTCTCCCAAATATGGTCAATTAAATTTGACGATCTAGATAACGTACATATCCCCCCCCGAAGTTTTCTCATCACGTTTGCAAGAATCTAAAGGACTGACTTTCTGAAAAAGTGTAACATTCCCATCCCCCCCCTCCCCACTGGAAACGAGAGGCTATTGCTTAGCGTTATCTTATGGAATTTAATATGCAGACACGGATATCCATAAACGACCACTGGTTGAAAATAAAATCAAGTAAACATGAATGGGGCAATTTTTCCCATTGATGAATAGTTTATTGAAGCTGCTGGTTATGTTAAAATGATTTTGCGACAAATGGTTGTGTCCTGAAGCGATTTGGCTTTGTAAACAGAAGGGATGTTAAAGATAAAAGGTCCAGATGAATTTTAGCCATCACTTAAGGTTTTTATCAAATGCTTAAGGTTCATGTTACCTTGCATTCAGGAAAGAAATAGCGCTGAAAGAGCAACCTCAGAGAGCAAGAAACAAGGAGGGGCACTGGCAGAGAGAAAAAACAGCCGCAAAAATGATCTGTTTGAGTGGCAAGGCAAAGCAAAGTGATTTTTTCCGAATCATATTATCCCAAGCATTTCTGCTACTGGCAAGAAACGAAAGAAATTCAATATTCAAGATCAAACTTGTAGGGTTGATCGAGGGGCAAATCACTCTATGGGAATTTTGTACAACTTTGGTAAAAATCATTTTGTTTTTTTACAGTATTAATAGAATTGGATCAGTTTTGCTGGATACCTCGTATACGCGTTTTAGAAGAGAGAATTGCTCCACGGGGATGGCGTTTGTGGAAAGAATCTTAAGGAGCAAAAAATTCTCATCTGGCCTTTATTTTACTGGTTAGTGACAGCCACCTCGATTACTGACAAGATTTCGTCCCTTTAAACAACCTCCTTTGCATCTAAAACATTTGGTAGCTTCGTCATGTGCGTTATTAAATATGGCTTTTTCGAAAATATCGAATTCCAGTTTTGCTTTTGGAAAATAACTTTTAAATGCCTGGCACCAATTTTGCAAACGTCGGTAATTTTATAAACAAACACGAAGATATTTTTTTGAAGACTAGCAACTTTCAAATCAATTTGAAATTCTTAGTGAAAAAGCTTGCCATTAAATAATATCACTGCAATAATATCAACATCTTGTCGCTCTTAAGGCTCTCTCTATCATAAGTTTTCTATATTGTTACCTTACAGTAAATATGCTTCAACGTTGATCCCTTTTATCATAAAGATAATTGAATAGATAGGTGTTACTTGTTCAAAGAAATCATGGCTGGTACAAGCCTCTAATTGTCATGTTGTAAGAGTTGCATGCAGGAAAATATCTGAATATCAATGGCAGCAAAGTGAAAATAAGCATTTCTAGAATAAATATAACAAATGTTGGAAATAGCACGGATGAGTGGAACATATCATACTAAAGCACTTTTTGTCTTATGCTCCTCAGAGTATACATTATATTTTATTTCCTGTGCCAGGACTTAATATGTGCTTGATAAAGATATAAATGCTATTTTGCTTATCACTTTTCGGTTTTTCTGTTGCTATTCTTTCAATTTTCAATTTTCGCTAGTATTTTTCTTGAGTTTTGTTGAATTTCGGCCTGCCTTGTTTCTTATGTTGTTTTTACCTTTTGTGGAAATCTCAGCCTGATGTTTTTTATAAGGATTGTTCTTATAAAAAGAAGGTTGTAGACGTCGGATGATGTCCAAAAAAGTTGAGCAGATGATAGGATAAAACGGGTTGTTCCAGCGAGCATCAGGCAAAAAACGGTTCTGAAAAGAATACAGCCACAGCGTATTTGAAAAAAACAAAATGTCCAGACGAATTGTGATTTGGCTATAGGTCCAGTGTGCGCCAAACATATAGTGACGACAATTTCGTATTCATTGGGCAACGGCGTAGGCTAGGTCATCTTTTCATTTAGGCGTTTTGTAATATATCTACATCAAAACAAAAGATCCCGACTTGTGTAGACCAGTGCAAAGACTTCGTTCCCTCTCTTGGAGCCCTCTCTTGGACTGTTTATTTTAAGCCAAAACGCAATTGCAATACTATCAGGCAAAATAATGAATGCACTTAAAGTAGCAATTCACCCATTTCTTCTCTTTTTTAGAACTAACAGAAAGAAATCTCGTGGTCAAATATACCTGAGTTATGCTTTGGAAAAAAAGAAAGCAACAAAGGTAAGGTTTGCATTGGTTATCATTGGCTTATCGTAAATCTTACTTACCTTATCGCCATCAAGAAGTCCTCGATCTAACGGGCAATTCAGAGGACCTTTCAGCCTGCAATTAAATAGCAAACGGTTAAACTTGGTTTTTCGATTTTTCTGTTGAAGAATTTGCTTTAACTTTAACGAGTTAGTGTGTTGCTACGGGAAGTATAAGGTAGGGACATTCCCAAAGAATTTCGCAAAAAAACAATAGCAAGAAGTAGGAAAGGTATTCAGCCCCTCCCCCTCCCCCTAAATCCCCCAGCTCTACACATCTGTCTGTATGTACATCTCTCAAATTTTCCAAGCAGGTTCTTTTATTAAAATTCTAAATTTTCAGTAATTGACATCATGTAGTGCAACTCAAATGTCTTCTTGTTGGTTAATAAAATCTTTGGCCTATTAACACACTGCTAGACAGAAAAAATGGAGTGTGCCAAATACCAAATCAGTGGCTTTGGATGCTGGTGGAAGGAGAAGCATTAATTTCATGCCATTAATACTAAATTGAATGGTTTGAATCGCAAGCAATACTAGCTTTATTCACACTTATCGTAGATCACGTGTTTATGACCTGTTAAGCACTTCATATTCAAACGAATGTTGAATCTTCCCTGAAATCGCTGACATGGCTTTAAACGAAATTTTTGCAGAAATTTGGAAAAGGCTTTAAAAGTTTTATAAAAAAATATAAACATAAAACAGTCGCTATTTATAAAATCGCAATCGCAAGCCATCACAAAATTGATTTGCATTTCTCAGCGAAAAATAACTTACGTTATTCGCTTCCACAGCTGTTCAAAGGACAATATCCTGAAAAGTTTGGTAACATAAGCAAAATAGCTTTCATTCTTATTGAAAAAGGCCTTGAACAAAAGTTGTTAAATGAAAAAATATTCTAGCAACAGACGTGCATCAAACAAAGTAAAATGGGTGTCTATTTGATTAAGAAATCCTAAGACATGCTGGAAGTGCTTTAAAGAGAGACAAAAAAGTTTGGTTTCAACAGCTAGGCTCTATTATACCTGCTTCCTAGCCACAAATGATTATAGCTTCAACTAATTGTATTGAAAATTACTTTTACAACGATTCAACTGTTTCCTTAAAAAACCTAAACTGCATTGTACTTTGCCATGCTGTGAAGCTCTTTCACTATCTTTGAACTATTTCAAAATTTCTATGCCAAGTTTAAAATCTCAAAACTTTATTAACAATTGCAAAATGAATTCTTAAACTGTAATACTATCTCGGCTATTTAAAAACTGTTTTACATTGGCCTAATTTAACTGTTTTAAAAATGAGCTTCAAGGTTTTGAAACACCTGAGTTTGTAAAACAACTTTTGCAGTTCTTACAAACGTTAACTTTTGGTATAACACATAAAACTTTTCCCCTTTCAATTGAATTCTCTACTATCAAAGTCCTCTACTTTTAAACCGCTAACGATGGTTCTTAACTGTTAAATCAAGACCATACTCATCTATCAAGCCGTGCTCACCTTCCTCATATGTCCTAATCTTTTTCTTCGTCAAATTGCTGAGCAAAGACGAGATACAACCTGTTCACGACCGTTGTTATCTGTTGTCTTCGCTCCACAAAAGCAAAGAGGTGAAGTATAAACGAATGTGAAGAAGAAGAAGATGTTTTATACTTGCTGGTGGTATAGCAACTACACTTAGACAAATTACAACAATCTGCTTGATTTGCTGCACTGACGGGGGCTTGCTCTTGCGACGGCAAATCTTGCCAGATTGCCTTTGTTATGGATAGATTTTCCCGTTAGTGCATAAACACGAGGCATATCGGAATACAGATTTCATTTTTTGGAGTTCTGTTTACTTCTTGCCTCTGTCAAATTCCACTAGCATTAGGTATTCTTGCTAGGCAAAATCTAGCAGCCGATTCTCTGAATTCGCCTCTGTCAGTTGTCAGCATTCATAAATCATTGATAAATCTTTTATATCGTTGCTTAGAAGATTTTTCAGTATAAACCAAACATCTTTACTCCTTTTGTGTAATTCGCTTAAAAAGACAGTCAAACTGCTTGTGCGAAACTCTTAAACAATCTTTGAAGAAGAATGATATCAGTGAATTGATCTTCTGCAATGCCTGACATCTCATTAGTTTAAAAACACATTACTAAATTCCTGGAAATTCAGTGATGGGTCCTAGAGGCTGGGTTTTGTCCTCGATTTATATCTACATCATATTTGCCGAAAATTCAGATAGTTTTCACCACTGCCCTATTATCTGCAAAGTTTTCTTTGGTTATAAGTCAAATTTTCTTGGTCGTATACGGAAATCACGACCTGTTAATTTGCTTTGTATAAAATTCGCATTTCCATTCCTGATTCTTTTCATCATTCAGTCGTTATCTGAAGTTTATTGCTGAAATGTGCGATAATAATATTCTCAAGCAATGTCGGCAAGAATGCTATCATCGCACATGTTATTTTTTCCTTTGCATTTTCAAACTACAAAAGAAAGGTAGACAGACGCTTTTTTCTTTCTGTGTAATCTTGCTAATTCCTGACAAACCAAACTCTTTGAACATGAGCTTCAGTAGTATATCCAGGATAAGCTTTCTTGTGAAACGATCCAATCAGCAACGAAGGTGCAAATCCCTTCTAATTGAATTTTCTTCTTCAAATCAAACTTCTGTGTTCTTCCTTTCAAAAGAACCCATAAATTGGCTACTTTATTAGATCTAATGCTAAAATCTTCCTCTTTCGAATATCTGTTGTGGCTAGTAGCTGAACTTAAGAAACAAATCTATGAAAAGCAGCAATTATACAAAGCTAAGACCAATTAATTACCTTTAAGCGGAGATTTTCTACAGAGTCTTCTTTCAATTTTATACTTTAAAGACTTTCCTTGTGAAATTCAGTTCACCGAACATTAACAGCATCACAGTCATCTCTCCCTTTTTGCAGGTAGATAGCATATTTATTCGGCGTGGTGTATGTTTTAGAATAAATCTTTATTGACTGATTTTCCATTAAAACAAAGCAGCTGCGATTGCCTTGATGTAACGGAGTCCCTTCTTTTATTGTAAGGAAAATTCAGCTTATTAAGCAGGAAATCAACAAAAATTGACAGTCGTCCAGAAGAGATAAGGCTGCGTAATTAAAGCTGTGAATACTTTTGCTTTCTGCAAACTAACCTATAGTCTTTTCTAAGTTTCTTTGCGCTTTGGGCAGCTGGAGAAACATTCCTCGTGCCTTCACAAAGAGCTTTGCTGTGCAGAAAATACGAAGTGAGGAACTTAATTTGTCCTGCTGTTAATTACAGGTGCTGTTAAAACCTGCCGCTACGTTATTCGCTCATCAAAACAAATACTTCATCGCGATTATTATCATATATAACAACTGGAACACCAACAACAATCTCTTTTGTGAAATTGTTTATCATCATCGCGAGCTTCATCTCACCATTTGGTACTACTATTCGTCGTTATCATTACTGCGATCTTCATGTCTACCTGAGCTTAGATTTGAGCTGAAATCATATGATGATGATAGCAAAAAAGTGATAATGATGGAAACACAAACCTCCCTGTATACGAAATCCCTGTGTTTTATTAAAATCGGTCCTGTATCTTACGGCTATTTAAAGAACAGCTAGTTGCCCTGCTTACAACCCAGTGAAACGAGGCCAGGTTATACTAGAGGGTGAAAGGATATAAGCGAGGTTTGATATAAAGATTCGAGCGATGCTATTTAAAGTGTAAAATGGCCTTGCTCGGATATGATTTAAACCTGCAACAGCAGGGAGAAGAAATTCAAGGAGAAGATAAAACGAGCAATCTGAAGGTCGACTAGTGCTCCGCAAAAACATATTCTAGCATTGAGGGGACAATCATTTATTTAACTTGCAGTGAAATTGATAAAATTCGAATCTTTTGTTATAGGTGTTGAATTTTTCCTTGGCCCCCCATTTTCCTACCTGTGTCGGAGCCCATGGCATTGTGAAGAAAGCTTTCTTTTTAACTCAATATGCGTTAATATTTAACGTTATTCTTTTCTTTGTTTCTATATTGTAAAGTTATTTTTTTGTTTCTATGTTTGTTGTAATGAATTTTCAAGGCGTTACTTGTGCTTTTCTACAAGATTTGCATGTTTTGGTAGGTAATGCTTTAAGAGCATTGCGAAGCATAGTCTTTCGCTGAAAGAACGTTTATAATTTTAGGTGAAAGATAAGTAAATAATTCTTTTGATAAATGGCAATACTGCCTAAAAGCAGTAACTTATATCGAGTCATTTGTTGCATTTGATTGTCTGGTTTTTTAATCATGTTTTTGCTAAATCAAATATGTGCATTAAGATTCAAAGTTATTTTTGATTGAAACAAAGTCCTTGTACAGACAGACTTCCGGGAGGGAGAGGGCGACTGTAAGTTAGCTTAAACATTCGGAAAGGATTTAATTAGTTAGAGATTTTATTTGAATGTTTGATTGCTCACAGGAAGGTCACGAGAGTGCATTTGCACCAAGAAGAACCGTCCGGTTTCTTATGAGAAACTTAGACACAGATTTCAAGGAACAGGTAGAAATTTATGCCAGGCGTTACACATTTATCAACTCTCTTGCTTTCCCATTGGCACTATCTCATGAGACAGTTAAGGTGTTCTTGAGAAGCATCGTCTGTAACCTGAAACTGTGAGGTAACAAAATAGCACTTTCTTTAGAAATAGAGAGTAAATTGAGTTCTTGTTAAGAATTTTTTCTTGTGACTCAAATAAAAGTGTCGAGCCATATTTTAAGAAGCAGATGACATATATAGTTTCCTTGGAAAACATATAGAAAGAAACAGCATTCTTTTCTTTCCTAACCCAGCTATCATTATTTTAGATCTTACCTCATCTATACTTCTTTTACCAACTCGCCCCCCCCCCCCCACAATTTTCCATCTCGTCTTCCGTTCTACGGCGTGTTCCTACCACCTTCCATATAGTTAATCTTTCGGTTCTATTCTTCTAGTCTCTTTTAAACCGTTACTACTCCTATTCTTTTTACCGGATGACGAGTTTTGCTCTAGGCCTCGTTCTTATCTTTCATTCATGTACAAAGACGTTGACTACATTTATCATCCTATCTTGGGCTAGACTGCAGTTTAGCGAACCACATTTTTGTTTCCTGGTTTTGAAGCTGAGTTGAATCGCTACTACCTAGCAACGATGTCGCGAGCAACAGTGAGAATGAAGATTTGAAGAAACGAATTCATTCTTAAATGGTTATGGAAGAAAATGATTCAAATGATGATGAATAAACGGGGGTTTGGGGGCAGTAGCCCCCAAGACAGCAAAACAATTCAAAGAACGAAGTCATCCAAACTTATTTTGAAACTGATGTACGAGAATGAATCCTTAACTGGCTGAACTTCAAACTTTCGATTGTTTAAGAAACCAGGCTAGATCGAAAGTTTGTATTTCAATTCAACTTCTGTCCAGGAAACAAAAAAGTGGGTCGCTAAAGTGCAGTTGTACCGAAGTGGTGATGCGGAAGAGCGGAAATGTGAAGAGCGGAGAAGCGTCTAGATGAGAAGAAGGCTTGATCGCTTTGCAGCAATCATCATCCCAACCTTAAATATTTAAATTTATTAGATTTATTTATTAAATATTTTTATTTAAATGATTCATTTATTAAAAGACAATAACGCTTTGGTTTAGGAAATATTTTTGGAAAAATTGGGATGCAAGTTAATGGAAAAAGTTTAAATTGGTTTTCTCGAATGGCTGTTTTCCAAGTGAGGTACATGGATTGTTTTTTAAAAGAATGTGGAGATCATGCGCCATAACTAAACCGCCTTTTTGCTTGCATCTCATGTTTTGTTTCATCTGTCACGCAACGATTGTTGCTAAGCAAAGATCAAGGTATCAATAATATATATGAAACTGATTAGGTATGTTGCTTCTAAAAACACATCTTCCCATTGAATAGCAACAACAATTGGAAAGCAAACGCACATTTGAACAGTTACCTTGTAATCAAAACCATAGTTCACAGGAAAAAGCAACCCATAATTTTGTATGTTCTTTATTACGTTCAGAATAATTAATTACAAGGAATTTATACCACATTTTGGTCGTATGCATAGGGTTTTGGTAATACCATCTTTGTAAGTCAGCCTTCTCATCACAGTAGCTAAACAGATTTAGATAGAATGATATCCATATGTAAAACATTAAAATCTGTCTATGTCGAAATGGAATATGCATTCGCACTAGGCATTATTTGTCGACAGGGTTTCTCTATCGTTGTGACTTTAATGATACATAAGTCGTTTTGTATATGTGTAACATTAAAAAGAATCCTTTGTCTTAAGTAACAAGGAATACTTTTTAAATCTTATTACTTACTACTTATCAAAGCCTTATTACTTATCAAGACCTTATTAATGATCAAAGATGGAAAATTCTAGAAATGGGATGAGAAGCTGAATTTTTCATCCGAGATTTCGTTGGATTTTGATAAACTGTATGTAAAGGTGTTACGTTTTCATAATTTCAACTCTGACATTAATATCGAGGATCTAGCCAAGTCTGAACTTCAAGACACAAGCACGAAAGGACATTGTATAATATACTTACACGAGGGAAACTTTACGGAATCAATTTGTAATTGCAATTGTAGTTTAAAGCATTATAAGCGTTGAAATTCAAAAGTATAATAAGCAGACACAAAAATGATATAGCTGCATCAGGATTTGCTGATGCCTAGGGCCTGGGATTTTTCTTTCTGTTGAAGCGTTTAATTATGTAGAAGCCTTAATACCAACCTTTTACGAAGCTCCGTTAAGCAGCTTTGACAGAACCGATGACCACATTCTTCTAGTTGCACTGGATCGCGAAAAGCAAGATGGCAGATCGGGCATTCATATTCAAGCGGTAGTGGAGACGAAAATTCATAGTCGTAGCCACCAACACCGCGATCAATACTATCCGCCATATCACTGTAAGATTTTAAGCCCAGTCGATCACAGACCCAATTAAAAAGCCGAATGTAGGGACATTCAACGAGGCCAATAATTTGCCAAGCTCATCAAACTGTGAGACTGCATGTATGTAAACGCTCACGTATCTTTGATAGTTAATGAACCTCTGTATTGTGGTGTAATTTTCTAGAAGACAACTTACAAAGAGACTTGGAAATAACTTTTCGCCTGTTAGCTCTTTCAAGTACGCCACCAAGCGGTATTCAGCATAACACAATGCTTCGCCAGCAGGTACCGGCTTTGACTCAGTGCAGATGTTTTTCAGTTTAGAAGTTTCGTTAAGCAAAGATAACAGCAAATCGCAATAACATAGCCACTTTTCTGAATATGCTGTCAGAAAATTTATGCACAAATCGTGCTCTCTTTGTTATGTAAGACGAACTGATCATATATGCTATAGTTTTTATGACATGAATCAGAAGCATTGGCATGAATTTATTTGGCCTGCTTTAACGATTCTTTGGATGGGTCATTATTATTTTAGCAGCTGAAATTGCCAAGTGGAATGAAGTTGTAGGCGTAATGAAAGGAAAATTAAACAAAAAAACAGAGTAGAAAATGTTCTAAAAAACCACAAGCGTTTTCCTTCCTTGAAGTAAACGCAACATACTGTCACCGAGCTGTTTAAATACAGTTAACAATACGAATATTTTCTTCAATTGTTGAATAATAAGTTGCCATAAAATTTGAAGGTCTTCCGTAAATTAAAATTCTTACCATATTGTTACTTAATGACCGCAGAAAGATGAATTTTTGGGGGAATCGGCACTCTTTATATAAAAGAAGTGGTTGTAAAATCAATGAAGAATGGGTAGCCTCAATCATTATTAAATTTCCAAAACAATTTGCTTACGCAACTAAAATTGATTTTAGCATTTCGCTGACATTTAAAGTCACAGAAACCAAGACTTGTCTATCTTGAAAGGGAAACTTGCAAAGATAAATACAAAAACAGCGGAGCATCTTCCTAAATTATTGTTTGCAAGCTCTGATTTAACAAAACTCTTTTGCATTATCAACCTGTTACTAAAATTCCACTTTAGGTAGCCAAAGTTGGTTCTGAACAAACGTTGATTATCCATAAAATTCCAAGAGGACTTAGTAAACATTTCCACTTCTTTCAAATTAAGTAAATAGTACATTCATTTAGATATCATCTTTGAAGTAAGATTAGAACACAAACGCACTAGGACTTGCATGACTTTGATAAAGCTCTTCTCAGCCATATTAATTTGTATCAATATACCACCGGTAGTCTTACCCACAAATGAATGGGCGGCTAAATGAATGAAGGTCTACACAAGCGAGATGCAAAAATTACAAAATCTCAGTAGCGAATTTTTCAATGGAGATTGTTCCTTACAAGCAATACTATAGCAGTTTTCGTTTAATTTTGACCGATACTTAGCAACGTCTTCTTCAATCTGCTACGTTATTAAGGGTTTCTGGCGTGAAGGTAACACGGGCCTCCAACAACAAAGCTACTGTCTTCAACCAAGAGTTAGATAAAAATTTCTTGTAATGAGTTTGTAATTTGCAGTTTGTAATTTTCAATATACCTTTTATTCAAGTCAGTGAAACTGTGTAATGGTATTATTTGCTTTTATTAATCAGAACCAACCCAATTTGTTACGTCTGCAGACTACAGCAGTCAGTCAGTAGAGAAGCTTATGCCTTTCCACTTGGTTAATGAACCAGCTTCGAATGCCGTCTTTCATCTTTTAAACCTTAACTTGTTACACTGACATAATCGATAGGATTTAAGCTTATAGGCGCTGATTTGCAGCCAGCAATAATCCGTTGTTTGGGTTGTGAAGGGTCCTTTAAATCAGTATCATGGCTACTGCAGAATCATTGATCTCGTGCTTGTCGTAAATATCAGTTTATTGACCAGTTAGGATTCACATCGATGAAATTTCTCTGCTTTTTTTGAGCAGCTCTATCCAGTTAAAAACTTTTAGCAAGCAAAAGTGCAATCAACGGTTGCCGATTCTGGTAGACCAGCCTTTGGGCTCAAGCCTCAAAGCTTATTAAAATTCTTCTCATCCTTATATCAATCTCACGCAAAAAGATCAGCATATGTTTGGAATGTCCATGAAAATCTGAAGGGTAGAAGCCTACTGTCCGTCTTCTCAAGAGTTCACAACTGCATCTCTAGCAAGGAGTCGTAGTTTGATTGATTGGCTTTAAAACAATTTTAATGAACTGAGCCGTTTTTATTGGCTTTAAGACAATTAGGAACTGCAGACTTCAGCAAGTGCATCATATTATACCCAAGGGTAGGATTATTAGAGCTGTTTTGGAGAAATATAGTCCTGTACCTAGGAATTTGAAAATATAAGAGGTTCTTGACTATCAATTAGAGTTGGAAGATCTTAGCAGTTTCTGTACAACAATATAGTTGGGCTTAGACAAATACACTAGGAAAGTCTGTTATTAACTCTATCATCCAAACAACTCAGGTAATAACTGACTGAAATGGCTAAAAATTTTATCAAGTCCCACAGCTGAAACATGGAGAATTATCTGCTTTGCAATTATCTCTGTCTTCGCAAGATAACCAAACAACTTAAGGTTCCAAAGATTACACACTTTACTTGATAATATCTTGTGGTTATCACCAAAATAAGGAACCTGGAGCCCGATCACTTAGCACTTACAGGAACTCTGGGCAACTTCACAATTAAAGATAATTTAGCTAGCTTTTGATATCGTTGTCATTTTCAAATCGTTTCAAAAGAAAGCAAACTGTAAAAAACATGTGCAGACAATATTACAACTGAATCATTGTTTGAAATTTTGCATCAAAGACAGCAAAATAATGGTGAAAATAACGAGGCTATAAAATAACATGATGAATTTATTAAATATCATTATTAAACCTCATTATTAAATATCGTTTCGTAAATATAGCCCAAAATTGTAGATGTTAGCAACCATATCTTATTGAAAAGTAGTAAAGGAAAAAATACTTGTAAAATAAAAAAAGGGTGCGCTATCGTAACGGATATACTAGGATAAATCTGGAAACTGTTTAACAAAAAGATTTCCAACTGTTGTCTACAAACTCCATTCTAGAAACAGGAGTACGCGCTAAGGTGGGTACGCGTTGCAACGTAGCATTCCAAAGTACTTTTCCAGTTGGCATTAGGTTTCACTTAGATCTGCTTCGTTTAAGCTCATTACTTTTATAATTTATTATTTCTGGCAGTATGCAAGTCATGGGTCTGCATGTAACGGGAAAGCAGGTGAATTTATGACATACAATCTAACAGAATCTTACAAGAGATTAAAAGAAACTCGAGCAAGGTTGTCAATAGATACCGAAATTCAGTAGAGGGAGGCTCGGTCGAATGTTACTTATGTATCTTAATATTTTTAATTTTTGTAACTGCCAGATCACAAAATTTAATCTCAAATTTGGCTCATATTTAAATACCTATTACCTAAAGGAACCCCGTAAATACGTTAGAAAAATATACTTGTTAAAGATAATTTCTACGAGTAAAATGTAAGGACACTAGCTTGGTTGCCTCTCACGAACAGCACTGGCGGTAGCCTGGCCGACAGCGTTTCCAGCCAAGCCATGAACATCAACGGGGATACGACAGTTTTTCGAGGTATCGGCAAGGTGAGTACGACTAATTTCGAATCACTGGAATGCTCTTGGAGCAGCTCACCAAGGCGAATCTGTCGTAATGTCTTCTTGTCCAAATGTTCTGAATCAGGGACTTCATTCCTTATTGGCAGCTCGCGGAATCGCTTAATACTCTCAGGTTTTGGATGGGCATTGATTCCTGATACTTCAACAACGGCAGAAACATCTATGCGGAACTTTTTCATAAGGCTGGCCATGCGCACTTCGTTCGATTTCAACTTCCGGTTCGAAGCAGCTGTAAACACTCGCAAGGAGCACTCCTTCCAAGTGCGGCTTCGCATCAACAAATAGGGCAAAAGGATTGTCAACCCACCATCATCAAAAAGCCACCAGACATCAATGTACCCTGCAATGCGAATGTAAGCAACATATCAGAGCGCAAGGCACGAGACAATGCATCAGTATAAATCTGGCATAAACTTTGAATTTTAAAATTTTAAATTTGATTTATCCTAACTGCCTCCAAAAGTTACTTTCCCGATCTATTGCCTTGTATGAACATTTCCCCGATTGAATATTGGAGAGGTACAGTAAGAGAGTAACTGCAATCTTTCTTGTACCTTCCTTTCGAATTTTCAGGGCGGAATTAACACTTCAAACGTAACATACATAGCATACATAACATAAATACATAACAAAAAATTCACAAAAAGGACGAACTGACAAAATACTTAGATTTGTTTCTATAACAACTACAGATCCGCTATTTGTGGGATAACTGTAAGCAAACTTTAGAACAAATATAATTATTGAGACTTTTAAATCTATTGAGACAACTGTGTAAATAACCGCAAATTTACAGACCCTTCCTCTTCTCCGTCAATGGTGCCATGATTTGTTCTCTTTGCTTTCTTGATGATTGTGGTCGATTGGTCTCTTCTCCCTCTTCTTTGCCAACTTTCTGCTTCGTATCTCGCAGGATCATAGGGGTGGCAGATGGCGTCTCCATCTCGGCTTCGGTATCAGTTTCCACTTCAATCTTCACAGAGCTTGGCTTGGACTGCTTGGACGACGACTCACGCGCATCTAGGTCTACATTTTCCTCATCTGAACAATCAGCATCACTTTCTTCTTCAAGATGTGTGCCTCTTGGTAGCCTCAGTATGGCAAAACCATAATTCAAGTCAAATGCATCATGTATCACATCAGAATACTCTTCTATACTTTCATTGGAGGCTGTAATCCAATCATCTTTGAAACCAATCACCATTATATTTGGCCTTAATTTGCCAAGGCCTACATTTTGAATCATTGCTTGCACTCCAAGCCGAAAAGAGGGCGCTAAATACAAAGAAAGGTTTTACCTCACTTTTACTACTACACTATCATCTTTTGAATTTAAATATACTTTCATATAACAATAGAATAAAATATGGTTATAAACCAATTATCAATATCATAAGTTATATCATATAATGTTCTAATGAACGGAACTATATCATGTGAGTAGAAAAAGTCAAATACACGGTTACAGCAAGCTGGTTTATTAAGGGTACGTTTACAAATGATTTTATTGTATTACAAGGATTGGTTATATTGCCATCTATGCTATTTACCAGTTCTTTGGGGATGATAGCTCAATTGCAAGCGCATATTGACGTACCTGAGCACATGACATGGAATGCCTTGATCTTGTTGCGTCGAAGCCATTTGTCTTGATTGACAGCTGGCACTTCGATACCGTCTTTTGATATTGTCACTTGCCCGCAGATCATGAGCCCAACATGTTTCGTGATGTAAGAGACGAAATGAACCAAGTCAGTACGAGACGACGGTAGCCCAGTCAAAACAAGGCACTGGGGACGAAAGTTCTTGACATGGTCCTCAATTGAGTTTAGGGTGAATGCTAATTGTACAGCCTTACGGTAGGTATGAGCTTGGCCAGAAGATCCCCAATTAATCTGTGAATATGTAATTTTCAAACCAGTAACAATCCACTTACAATAATAAATCAAAATCAACAAAGAAGCATATAACTACACATCAGTAAGAGCAGAATCGTTTGAAATACACTTATCAGAATAGTCTTGTCGTGTAACTTCTAAAGGATTTAGCAAACATACTGAACAAGAGCAATGAAAATAGCTTTCAGCAATGATGTGACTTGTTCAAAGTGTCGATTGTTTCAAAAGCCATAACTTTTCTTCTTACTTTGTGTCATGTTTTCACCCTGTAAGCAACACATTAAAATTGCTGGTACACCCCTGCAGTTATTTTACTCATTTTGCTATTATAGCACAGCAGTTATTTGATATAAAAAATCATCAAGAGCAGATACGAAAAAATACAGTTACTCGTTGTGAATACGAACAATGATTAATTACCTCTGGTTTCTTGTATGCAACGTACTTGTACAGAGACATAACCATCACAATTGTGACAAGGGATGCCCACCAGTTGATTAGGAACATGATGGCAATGCAGATACCACAGCCGAACAGCGATAACCACATGTTATGGTACTTAAAAGAAGGCCTCCAACCAGGAGACTTGCCCAGCGATGCAGCGAAAACGGAGTAGTTTATCAATGCATACGACATCAGAAAGAAGTTTGATATTATCGGGGCTATAATATTTAGTTCGCCGATTGCTATAAAACCAACGCTGATAAGAAAAGCTAGCACGTATGCCCGCCTTGGCTCATCATTGGGTCCACTTCCCTTGCCAAAAAATGACAGTCCTTCAAAGACACCATCTTTGCAAACCGCCTGGAATGTTTTTGGTGATCCTACCAAGCTTGCCAACGCAGAAGACAGCGTAGCCGCGAAGATACCAGCAAGTACAATGGGACCATAAAGCGATATCTTCTCCATCATCTACAATCCCAAAAGAATCAAATTATTCATCAGTATCGTTTTATTCATTAAAGATAAATCTACAGCTTTGAAAAGACAAAATCGATTCTTTAAAGGAATAAAATTCATGCTTTGTTTATGACAAGGCAGCTTTCAATGACAACTTGCTGCAATTATAGCTAAAGTGTATAAATTTTCATTGTCAACTACATATATAGCTTCATTAATATTTTTGTCAACTATTTATCTCAGACGTACAAACCTTGTAATCATTCAATAATCCATACTTATTGGCTTCAGGGGCACAACTAGGCAAAGCTGTTGCGTTGAACGTTGAATTTCCAGCTGCAGCACAAACAAAAGCTACGTCTTTCAGAGTAGTGGCACCAATGACCCACACCAGTGCAACATATGAAATAGTGGTTATCAATATAGCAAGAAGTGTTCCTTTTGGTACAGCAACCTGCGGATCTTTAAGATCACCTGATATATTTGCTCCAGCTAAAATACCAGTGGCAGCAGGAAAAAATATAGAAAAGACTGTAAAAAAGTTTTCACCACGAAATGTTGGTAAGAAATTTTCCGAAAATGTAGTCTTTGAATATCCAGTATACCCTTGTGCTTTAATAACATCTGCTTTGATGTCAAGTGGACCCCAAATTGTGCCAAAAACATAATTTGCCATTGATAACAGGAGAATAGCAAGCAGGACAATTTGTGTACGCACAACCCATTCAAGACCAATTAAGGTAATACAAACAAGCAGAATAACAACAATGATGCCAATGATCCTTATATCATTGACTGGGTCAACAATTACTGCACCATGGCTTGCCATTAGCTTCTGTATAGTTTCAGCGAAACCGACAACATATAATGCAACACCAACAGCATTAGCAAGAGAGAAAATGATCCCAATAGATCCACCAAATTCTGGGCCAAGACTTCTTGAAATGAGATAATAAGCACCACCTTAAAAATGAAAATATAAATCAGAATAAAGAAACTGACAAAATTATGGGCTTGATGCAAGTTTGAACAGTATGAGCTGCTTACCTCAGTATCAAAGTATAGACTTGAAATATGTAACTTGTCAGAGTAGAATGTTACAATACAAACATCTTAATCGTGGTCTGCGTTATTAAAAATCTTAAGAAATCAAACATTACATTTATGAAACATTTGCTAACAAACCAAAATACTAGTGTTGGTGAAAGATAAAACGAAATAAAGTTGTTTGTATTGCAATACCAGTGGGACAGGATTTTAATGCCACTAACATTAATAAAAGAAAAAATGATTTGATACTAATTACTAATAGATCAACTATAGCTGTGGTAACACAAAAGTATCATAATTGCTACTAGTATAACATACATTCATTCCCTCTTTTTTCCTATCTTTATTCCTTTCTAGTTGTATTCATTATTACCAAAAAGTTTGCAAGCCACAAAGCAATAAAACATAAGATCATCGATGAAGTGAAACAAAAGATCATTAACAATGGTAATAAGATGTCAACTATCAATTTTCTCTAGATTTAGCATAAAAACCATAAACAGGGTTACCATGTTTGTCATTTGCCAAGAGGTATGAGTCACTTATTTTGTTTCAAAAGAGAAATCAAAGCCATGGTGTAGCTTCTTCAGGTAGCTTTTAGAATGTCACAAACTGCATGTCAACATGGTAATCAAGGAATACAAATCAAAAGCACCTGGCAATGTTCTTGTACAAGGGTAGGGATGTTCATCAATTAATTTTTTTTGTAGTGAGTTATTTTCACAGTATTTAATAATACCCGGTGTGGTTAAAAAACTGCAGAAATTGAAATAAACTTAAGGTGAAAAGAGGTTACTACTTGATTCACTCTGGTCATGTGAAAAAGCACTTCTGAACATGTGCAAGATTCAACTTTCTTATTTGCTGAGAAGCTGAGCTCAGTTGAGCCACTGAGGAAGTGGTAGTGTTTGCAAATTCATTGATTTGTTAATAACCCTTCATCAAAGTTACAAATGACTTTGGGTGGAAACCAGCCTTAATAGAAAACAATTTCACAGCAAATTTCAAAGATACTAGCATCCTTAAAATTAAATTTACTTGATGTCTAGCAGGTAACATTGAAACTACCTTATTACACAAAAATAGGGTGATACATTAATTATTGTGAGTTGAAAAATTTTGTGTGAATCAAAGTCCCATTAATTCCATATCCAGGTAAATTTCTTTCCTGTTATTATACATCTAGCATTGAATAACCATCTGTTAGTTTTATCAAGCTTCAATTTTTTATGTAACGTTTCAAAACTACTGAAAATAGCCAGAATTTTCGACTATATCTGAAATAATAATATATTATCATATCCGAAAAAATGAGGATAATAGAAAGGTTCTAAAATGGATGAGCCAAAATTTGTTTTTTTTCACAAGTTCTATTAAATATGAAAAACATTTTCCTAGATTGGATCAAGGTATAAGAGACCTAAAAATACTTTTTATAACATTTGAAATTCTTCATTATCAACTTTTTCTGCTTGGAATTCCACATCTTTATCTTCATCTTCTCAATGCCTAATATTTTCTGAGTCATCAACATACTCTCTTGTCAGGGGATACACAACCTCCTTCAAATTAGGCACTAAAACTGACAATTATTCAGGCTCATCCCACGAGACTAATACCTTTATTGGAATCTCTCATTCACCTTGACTTGAAGTCTCTATGTAATATTTTTGTTTTCCCCATTTCTGAATATGAAGTTAATTGAAAATGCGCCTTCATTAAATACCATTCAAACATTTGAATTTAGTTGATTTGCGTTGAAAACCACACATTTCGAAATCCAATCTCACTATTTGGATCAATTTGTGATCATATTTATTTGTTCTCTGTTATTTTGTATACCATGTTACCTTCCTGTAATAAGGTATAAAGCTTGGTTGAGTAAATTTTCGAGCATTTCCAGTTACTCTTTATATACCCTATCTTCTCTAAGAAGAGCCCTAAAGGCTTTTAAAATTTTCAACATTTCTGAAGGGGGCACTTTTTCAAAAATGCACATTTTAAAGAGTGCACTTTTTCAAGAAAACACAGTGTACTTTCAAAACATTGAAGCAAAAAAGCAAAAATAAATAAAATTACAACAAGAGGATGATTACCTCCTTTTACTTCTCCATTGGTGCAAATTGCTGACATAGACAATGTTGTGATGGTTGTTACAACTGAAGCGAGAATGATTATTAAAGACATCAAGCCAATTCCAGCCTGTCCAGTAAGCCATGGCAGCCGCAGATACAGAATCACACCCCAGATATTCAGTAAGCAGGGCACAAGTACTCCTTTAAACCATCCAAATTTCAATCTTGGCAAAGGCAGAGATGCTTTTACTTCTAGGTCAATGCTACGAGATGTTTCCTCAAGAGGTACTTCATCCTATAAAAGATGTATTTCAAATAAAGCATCTTGAAACTTAATCACATCCTTTTCTACAAGATTTACCAATTCTCTAAAGATTTTAAATGTGTATTCTTGAATAGCATCAACTGAAGTTTTTCCAAAGGTTTTTTGCTAAATGTTTTTATCAAGTACGGTAATCAAAAGTAACTGCAGATTAATCAATAGGGCAGGATTCACTTTGCATAACTCTTTTCATGCTGTAGCTCAGTTTAATAACATGTGACAATATATTGTGATCAACATTTGAAGTGTGGCAGGGAAAGGGGTGTCAGAATTTGCCATATTTTTGGAAATAAACTGTTTTGCTCGAAAAGTCTCAAACTTGAGCTGTGGGTAAAAAAGAGAGATAAAAAGAAGCTTTTTGAAAAATATATTACTTGGACTCACCTAACTGCAAAGGGGCAATTTACTCTTGTAAAGAAAGTACTAGAATTCCACAAAAACAGAATGGTTTCCCAGGATACAAAAAGGGTGATTTGCTGCACAGACTTTGTCAGTTAAAAGCCAAATTTTCATAGATTTAGGAAATTAAATTGCAATCCCTGCTGGATGTCTAGAAACCCTAAAAGCATCTTCAAGCATCTACAAGGACAAATTTAGCCAAACTCATTCTCCCTTGCCTGAGGAATAAAAATTTCTATCTTTTCTAGTAACCATCCTCATTCAATCCCTGGACAAAAAAGTGCAAACTTTTAAAAAAAATTTGATGTCTCTCTTTCTCTTGAATATATACTTTTCCCTGCCCTACTGAATGCATGTTTTTGAAGCACAATGATATTAACTGGTAATCCAAAAGCGAACTAATTGCATCTAAGTAAAAGGTCCAAAACTTTATGGCATAATTTCTTGGAAATACATCCAGATCCTAAAAGCCACAAACTGCTGACAATTTACAGTGTACGACACAGGACGCCTCCTATGCTTAAATTGCAAACTGCAGAAAACCCATTGTCAAATTTGTAGGCTGCACATAGAAATAGGGTTGAGGTAGTAAAACAGTAAACCTTTAATAGGCGCCCTATAGGTTTGTAAGGTATCACGAAAGTTCACAGGTGTATGCGGAAAAAAGATATCTAGATAAAGTTCACTTTAAATATCTTTCAAGCTAAGGCAAAGTAATAAGCATATACCCTTAGGCTCACATGAAATGCTTCTATTTGATTAAAATGAATCAAAGAAATGTAGCAGATTTCAAGGCTGCAAAATGAAATGACAAAGATGTACCCAGATGACAGAGACTACCTTTTTCACGACACTCTGGAATTTCAAATACATATAGCTTTTGCCTCAGTCTGCAATGGACAGATGCTGAAATGCTAACTTTGAAATCAAGTACCTTTCTTAAAAGAAGCATTAGTATTGAAAGTTGCAATAAGTGAAGATGAAATGAAGGCATAAATGAAAGTATTGGGCCTTATATGGATGTATGGCCAAATAATATGGGTGCAGGGACAAATGGTTTGATGGAATTTTGAAAGCGTACACTTTTAATTCATTCTAAAACATATAAATTTCACAGTTGACTTAGAAAGCAGAAAGACTGGGGATGAAGGATCTTACCATGTCTTCATCCAAAACATCAAAGCCTTCATGAAGTTCTCTAAGAGTGGGTCGTTGTGCTGCATTGTCACCTAGTGATGACTGGTTTCGGTAAAACATTGTCATGGGCACTGCTTCGTGAGTAGCAAATCCTATTGTTTCTGCAGGGTCAGGGTATCCAAACTCAGTTTCTTTTTCTTTCTTTGATGGACTTTTGTTTGGAGATTCAACATTTTCCACCATAAAACGTGGAGTCTTCTTAACCTTTTCACCAGAGGCATCATCTTCACCATCTTCCTTCTCAGTTGAATTGGCATCTCCATTTGGTTTTTCTAATAAAACATCCATTTCTTGGGCTTCTGTCTCCTGATCCATTTTTTGACTTTGCATTCGATGTCAATATGCTTTTCCTGAGAGAGCCTGCAGGTGATCTGACAGCGTTACACAACTTTAATATCAAAATACAATACTTAATCAAATATGAATAAGTCTGTTCACTCAACAAACACAAAGAAATGGTCGGAAAGCAAAATGAAAAAAGGTTAAAAAAGCTGAGGGATAGCTTCTAGATGATTCAGCTGACAAAAATATGTCTTGTACAGTCACGATTCTATCAACGTTTTGTCAACCTATGTGTTATGTTGACGCTTGTATGTAAGTTATCTACAAGTACCAATTTCACCTGGCTTCGCAATGGTGTTTGCAAAATCAATGCAAAATCGTTCACCTTTTTATGTACACAGTAGCCAAAATTTTCCAGCAACCAGTCTACAATAATATCTGATAAAAGTTGAAAAGATATATGTTGCGGGTATATTTGTTTTTGAATCAATGGTACAGAAAGATGTGCAGATTACAGGCCTATGATGTCTAAGATGAAGTTTCTTACCTCGATTACAGGCTTATGTGCTTCTTGACTATATCCAACAAACAGATCAATATTGCTTTACAAAACATGAATGCTTAAAAAACATTCGTTTGAGAAACACAGTCAAAACTCTACGTTTTGCTGCGATACAGAAACTCAGTTTCCCCACAGCTTCCCAACAGAGCCCGCTATGGCCAACAACAACAACCAACCAATTTGCCAACTTCAAAAGGGTGGCAAATTCAGGCTTTCCCTGTTTGAACAAGATTTTGCCGCTCGGGGAAGGGCGGGGGGGGGGGAGTTTTACATTTTGTAGCCACATCTGTCTCCTATTGAGCAAAATGTTTAAGATACTTTCCATTCCAATCGGCAGATAATTTCCATTGAACTAAATTGAACGAAATCCTATTGTGGGTCGCAACCGCCGTCTTTATCTGCAGTGGCGTCGTGGCCGGGGGCAGGGGGCGTGGCGACCTTTTCTTTTAAAATTTAACGGGTTTCCGGAAAAATCATTGATTTGTCGGAAAATTCTCAAACTTGAGCTGTGGGTAATTCTCAAACTTTTAACCACATAAATTACTTGGACTAAAGTACTTACTGCCCCACCCTCCCCACTTATACTTACATGAAATGCTTCTATTTGATTAAAATAAACCAAAAAATTTTGTAGGAAGTTTTTTCTTTCTGGCCTCCTTTAGAATTCACTCGCCACGATGCCCCTGTTTATCTGAAACAGTCAGACACAAAATTGGCAAGCTATGCAAAATTTTGAATACAGGTTTCTATTGATGTATTGTTCTAAGGAAAAGAAAGTGTATCTTGTCCTTTGTGCAGGAGCTTTAGAGCATTAAGTTGTCGTGCACCTGGATCAAGATAACTGTAAATATTGTGCAGGTTGCTAAGCGGCAGGTCTTCTTTATGGATTGACTGAGCCATCTCTATGGATTGAGCATAGCAATGGATGCTAGGATGGATTCCCACCATGGAACCACCTAAGCTTGTACTCACATATTCCATTTATTTTATCGTACCCTATTGGCTTCTCTTAATCTCGATATTGGTGACTATAGCTAAAATCTTTTGGTCCAGGATTTTTGGTGACTTTAGCTCAAATCTTTTGAGATTGGGACCACGCCCTTCTTGTTTGTGGGACATGCCCACTATATGGGCAAATTATATAACCATGTGTTTTTATAGTTGCTTCGTGTTCATAAGTATTCCTTCAAACATCTTTTTCAATTTCCAGGGACGCCAGAGAAGGGGGCCCAGTGGGTCAACCGCCCCTGTTGCCCTTTGATAGGAGGTGCAAGGGGCTTTTTAATAAAATGCCTTTGAAACCGGCCAATTGCAATGATCAGAGAGATTCATATAAAATTCTGAACTTCTCAAAACTTGTAAAATAATTCCTTATGCCGAAAATTAGCCAATGTTCAAGATACCTACAGAAGATCGAAATAAAATTGCAGTTACGTAGGAATTTATATAAGCTGAGAATTATATTTAAAAAGCCCTTTTACTCAAGCCTGCCCCTCCCCCCCTTGCCGGTTGGTCTTTCCGCCATCCCTGTTTCCTAACACTTGTGGGGATAAAGAATAAACACTTGTGGGGATAAACACATTTTATGGACTGCAAGGAAACTTTGAATCCCGAAATAGCTCCTGTATATAGAAAAGCTATCTTTAATTTTGTTATGCAAGGAATAGTTTATTTTGGAGTTATCCCTTGAATATTGGTAAAATCAGGATGTCCGAAAGCTTTTGAATTTAAAACAATAACTTGCAAATTTACTTTCGTTATAAGCAGTGGCGTAGCGTGACTTTTTCAACTGGGTATTCTTTATTAAACAAAAGGGTGGGGCAGGGTGTGGCTCAATGGGGCTTGATGGAAATAGGAGGGATAATAGGAAGATTAAAAGGACTAGCTATTGACAATTTATCTAATTTTCTTTCTGGTTCGGTTGGCAAGTACTGCACTGTCAGGGCATTACTATGATGAAAACGATACTTTGCTAAAGGACCCTTCAAATATACTCTTCGAACTCATTCATTGCATCAAAATACCACTAACCATTTCATCAAAAGTAATTCAAATCAAAACGTATCATTGAAAGTCAGTAAAATTTTGCTAGTCGAAATATGTCCCAATAGTTGTTGTTGAATCCTCTAAAATTTGCACTGATGTAAAGAGGAAGTAACTGTAAACACCTTCTCTTGATACCTTAATACAAAAGGGCTTTCGAAAGTTATTCACATAGGGCATTACACGAGTTATAAATAGTTTGTGGTATGCAGTGGATGCAGTCTAGACTTTTTCTTCAAGGCTTAATCGTGATATTTTCAATACAAGTTGATGATTGAGAGACTCGAAGGTAATGAGACGAGACTGCACAATAAAGCAAATAAATGGGCTCGAATAATGCAAACAAAATAGGCTAACAATATAAGTGAATGCACCAGGCAACTATAAGGATATTATCCAGGCCTATCTGCATTTAATTTAATTCTATCACATAATACAAACAGAAGCATTCCTGATTGACAAGCAATAACAAAATTGGCATTTCAAGAGGCACAGATCTGAGTCAGTGTAGCATTATGTAAAAGCCTACCTTTCCTTTCCACTTTGCTGTTGGTAGATTAAGATTAGGGGTCAAATGAGAGAATGATTATTAAACAGTAATACGGACACTGCAATAGCTTTGAATAAAGTCATGTTTACTGTTTTCAATGAAGATCCATCACTCCAACCTCTCCGACGTCCATTATCTGTTTATATCGATCTCAAAACGAGACTTTTTTGAACCAACTTTGAGGCTGTACGCTGCATATTTCTCAGCGTACAAGACCATTGTTTTAGCTGATTAACGGCAAATATTATTCATGGAAAGGAGCATTTTGATTGGTTAAAGTACCGTCTAGGGTATTCACTGCGTATTCATGACCGATCTCCATTCAACATGAAGTAGCTCAATCTTCAAAATTAGCTTCAAAGATCTCCCAGCTTCTCTATGCGTCGCAGCGTTATTGTTTCCATCAATTTCGTGATATTTTGTACTTGTACAAAATGCAGAATATCGAAGGTAACGAATTCAACCAGAATCAATAGCCCCAAAACATTTTTTAGTTATTACATTTATACGTCGTTTTAATATTTTTTCTGAGAAATCTCAGGGTATTCACTGAATACCTTGAATACCCGGACGCTACGCCACTGGTTATAAGGAAGTATAATGCTTTAGCTTCATAATATCGAAGTTTCATTCAAAATTAAATGTTCAGCTTCTCGGCTAGGAACAATTCAGTGGGTCAGAAATAGCAAGGACTGTAATTTCACTGAATTGGACTGAATTAAACGTAGCCCTAGACTGCAGTGCAAAGATATTGTTGCAAGAGATTTGCGAAACTTCGATCCTCAAATGAAAGCTCAACATTTATTATCCTGTGTACCTGTGCCCAGAGCGAATAAAAGTGTACAAGTAGCTTAAAGAGAATTGAAAGAGAGAGAGAGGGGGGAGACTCTTTCTTCCCCTCTTCGCAACAATGTGCTTTCAAATGAAAATTATGGAGAGTATATCAATTGTTTGAACCAACTTTAAGCTTATGAGGATTTTTTGCCGCTTTTTTACGCTAGAAGATTGTACCTTGGTATTAAAAAGCGTTTTCAATTTTTAAAATGAATCTTAATTACGTTGGGGAATAAATGTCTGTTCTAAATTGAAAAATTGATTGAAAAGAATATGCCTCTAGCTCTAGTGTAATGAGGATACCAAAAGTTTGCACCTGTTTTGATGCCCAACCTGCGACTGTCTGATTCAACAAAAATCCTATCTAATTGCAGAGCAGGTGCTATTTTTAGATTACTCCAAATTACCATCTTAAAGTTTAAAAGTTTGATCATGGACAGATCAAATAAATACTTGGGTTGATTTCTACCCCTGCCCAATCCATGGTTTACCCCTTTTGATTGAGGCCTTTTAGTGTGCTTTTGAACATAGTGGACACATTAGAGATAGGCAGATAGTTGTAATATTTCATTAATCGGCCTGAAGTAGAATAAAGACATACTTCGAAGTTTTATCAACCCAAGAGCCTTATGATACTTCGCCCATTTTGTGGCAAGATAGCCATTGGATCCCTACTGCATCGAGAATAGTTTTGTTACTGCCAAAGATTAGTTTACAAAGTCTTCCCCGATACCTCCTTTTTGTCCTGACTTTAAGAAGTTTCCACATAACCCTTTAGCAAAGAAATACATAACCTCTATTATTTCATTTACAGATTTCTTGATATTAGTAAATTTTTGCAGCTCCGTATTAGGGATTCTGGCTTTGAATATTTCTTTAAGGTGCATTATTTTTGGCTATTGACTGTCTTTGTCGTCGAAAAATTTAATTACACCATTCTGTAGATAAATTATCTGAAAATCCCTCTTTCAGATAAACTTGACTATGAGCATTTTGTAGACTTCGATATCGTCTAAACATTGAAAATTTCTCCATAAACTTGTTTTTATTCATTACAGCATTAAATGAAGTGAAAATTCGAAAAGTTTACTAAAATTGAAAGACGCATCATTTCATGTTATTTTTCACTTAATTACAGGTGTGGCTGGTCCAGTTAACTTAATATATTGTACCAATATATTGTACCTATAATATATTGTGGATATCGTATGTTTAACGACTTCTGGCCATTAGTTGTTCATTTTTTAGAAAGATTTACAAAGCATCTTAGAAAGCATGCTTCTGTTACAAAGCATGTCCTATTATAATGTGAAGAAGGAGGAGTCAATTGCTGATGTAAGTTTCAAAGGCCAATATACTACTTTTAGGAAAATTATTATGTTTAAAGAGTATTGGTTAATAATGCCACTTGCAGCTCAGTTGATTTTGTCTCTTCTTTTATCTCAGTGAAAGGCCAGGTGAGCCAATAAGGACAGTTCAATTTTGTTCATTCTTTAGCAAAGCATTTGGGCGGGAACTTTTAAAATAGGCTAGGAAAAGGACCTAAGTTTATTACTGGATTTGACTCATTTATACAGTGCATGGATTCTTTTCGATCGAGCCATCACTATATGTAAAAAGTAACGATAAACATGCTGAATGAGAATATTTTTATATCAAACACATTTGACTTTTAGTAAGGTTGAAGAAGTTAACTAAAAGGCCATGTGTTGAAAATTCTAATTTATTTCAACTTACTAAATGAATGGACTACTCAGTGAAAGAAAGTTTTTTCTGGGCAGGCTTGATTATTCAAAAGTTTCTGAGCATTATTTTAAATAATCTGTATCTAGTTAATATTCTTAATTCTAAAATTTCTAAGGGCTCTGACTGTTTTGCGGAATGCTGGCAGTGTTGCCCAGACCCCTTTGGAGGAGAACAGGAAGAAGATACCTGTGGCTACTGATGAATGCAGAAGGTAAAGTGTTCATGTTTGTGTGCACTTGCAGCAAATCAATTATTAATCAGTCTATTGTTCCTTTGCAAAAGAAATCTAAGCTTGGAAGCAACTTTTGTAGATGAACTACATGTTCGGAAGAATGCTGTTTTTCTCGTGAATTTGAAGCAATTTCAGTGGACAGCCTATTTCACGTACCTTTTCAATGGCCTAACTACAAGTCAAATGTAAACCATCGAACATATTTCACAGAGAGAAATGAAATCAAAGTTACCTTCGTGAAATTGCTGTTACATTAGACAGACGTTTTTCAGCAACTAAAGGAGAAAGTTGAATAAAAGGCCGACACAAACTGCGGAATATATTTTCAAACTTTGCAGTTTCAATGCTGCAAATTGCACGACACTTTCAAAGCCCAAGCAGAACTTCACCAAAGACAATTGTTAGGTGCTTTCAATTTTGGTTAACAGTAACTGGCCATTTGGTTGCGCATTCCGCTTGGTTGCAGATTCCGCTTGGTTGCGCAAAATATTTATCCATAAAATGTTAAAATCCTTTTATTCGGTTTACCAGGAGCCAGTACAACTGATTTGAAACAGCACCCTTTTGCGGTTTAAGGCAATTTCGGCAAAATGTCATTTCCGAGCTCAAATTTTCGCCAGTCCGTCAACTTCGACCTGCTCAAGGCAAAGATATTCTACTTCTGTTTTGTTTCAGGTATGATGACATTGCTACCATACCTCTATCTCTATTACAAACATGTTTTGTTCCTGTCCCCATTCCAAGTGACAATTTTAGTGGCAATCCGACCACTTTGTCTCATCATTGGTGCACCAATTTTAGGAACAATTGCTGATAAGACAAATAACTTCAAAACAACTATTCTTATATGCCTGGGTGGCTACATTGCCACTTATGGATTGGTCACTTTGATTAAGCCAGTGGATGGCTTCAACTGCCAGGATTTAATTACTGCAAGAGCTGCTCAAAATTCCAACATTACTTCAATTAATAACAGAAGTAAGGAGTTCAAGTTTCTCCAAGCTCTTAATCAAAGAAAGGAGTATTTCTACCCAGGGAGATTGATGGAGGATTCCTTATATTCTTGGCCATTTAGTATGAATGAATACGAGAAAACAGAGCAGATAACTGAAGGACTGTTTTTCACAGTTTTAGGGATTACAGCTGCAGGTGAATTGATAAGCTCACCAGCATATACATTTGCTGATGTGTATACATTGCAGATGCTTGGTGATCAGACCCACAGGTATGGGTTCCAGCTGCTGCCTGGTGTCATTGGCACAGCAATAGTTTCTGTTATCATGCTACTGTTAACACATGCAAAAATAATGAAAATTTCATCAGCCTGTGATAAGAGTTTGATTCTTGCTGACAAGCCTTACTTGATCCAGTTCCTAGTCTTCATGGTCCTTAGCTTTGCTGTGGCATCATTATTTCATTATCATCTTAACAAACCTTTGAAGCGAAAGAGCAGTAGCAAAGCTGGCATGTTGTGCACTGAGTGCAAGCTCTTTCAGAGTATTTTGATGATAATGAAGAATTCTTTCCATGCTAGCTTCATGCTTGTTGTGTTGTTATGTGGTCTGGCAGATGGTGCAAAAACATCTTTTGCTTACACATTCATTGCAGATCTTGGCACTGCTAAGGGCAGAAATCATATTCTTCCACTTATTACTGCAACTCATTTTATCTCTCATATCGTATTTCTTACACTTTCTCCTTACCTAATTAAAAGGTTTGGCCACATACAGCTGGTGGCCAGTGGAATTTTTGTCTATGCATTGTCCTTTATAGTGTATGCCATGATTAATGATCCTATATGGGTTTTTGTTGTTGAACCTCTAGATGGTATTGCTAGGCAGCTTGCAAAAGTTGCAATAATTACGTATGTTGGCAGCCCAACTGGTATTGGAGCTGCTCTACAGGGTTTTACTCACTCTATTTACCTTGGAATGGGTACAAGTATTGGCACTTTAATATGTGGTTTTCTTGTACACAAATATGGCTACATACTTGTCTTTTCCATTATGGGAGTAACATGCCTTATTGGTTTTGCTTTCATTCTGGCTGCTGATCACTACTGGCCTGCTGAAAAGACAATTGGAGACAGTTTTGTAACTTATTCCATGGTAGTATCTTCTGATAGTGAATCAGACTTTGATTTTCTTTTGAAAGACATTGGCAGCGACTTGCAAGATGGAAAGGCTAACAATGATTCAAGTTTTGATGATGGTACTGAGATAAATGAAAACACTCAAATATCATCCGAGAAAAACTAAGAATAGGTAGACAATTAGAAAGAAAAATAATCAAGTTTATTATTATTATTATTTTTATTATTATTATTATTATTATTATTATTATTAGTTTATTGTTTTATGTTGGTCATGGTAGTATTATCAATGATGATAATATTGCCCAAATACAGCAAAATTTAATAATACTAATGTCAGTTTGTATGATTTTAATTCTGGTCTTATTTTGTTATGTTTTGGTATGAAATCACAGGCTCTTTAATATTTGCAAGGAATAAAATGGCTTAATCAAGTCCTATTATGTCACAGCTGTATTAATTTTATCTCATTTCTTCAAAGATTTGTCATTTGTTTTTGTAAAGATTTGTTCCAGTAAACATTTTGGCGTTAAAATAGCAATTTCATCCTTAATCACAATTCCATTTATAAGCTACCAAAAATCGTTTTACCAAACCACCTTGTTGATATCTTTGTCAGGACACCTTAGTTGATTGATCACAGAGCAGAGAATTTTTAAAGTATGTTCTTATTTCTAAGTTGTGTTTGAATCTTATCATGTCACTAAAGCATTGAGACGGACTGGCCAGGACAAAGTTAGTTGCCATGCCTTGCTATTTATCTATGAAATTTCAATTTTGAAAATGCAATTAACCAGTGTTAAAGTAGAATAAATCATAGGTAGTTTAGTGCAATTTTAAAAGTGGGTAGGGATAGCAATAAGTATCCATATTAGCATTGTTATGTTAAATCATTTGTTGTATGTTAGTTGTTGTATATAGTTCTATATTTAATGTATTGAACGTCAAGGGTTTGGTTGAATATCTCGTTATGAAAAGAAACTTAGTATCTAACAATTATGGGTTATTGAATGTAATCATAGAAAAGATGTTTTCTTTTCTTTAAAATTTTGGAATTAAAAGTTGAGTTGGACAATGCCTCTGTACCCAACAAACAAATAGGTCCTTTTTATGTCTTTCATGTCGGAAACAACCCTTATAATCTTAGATGACTCAAAGATTGTCACATCTTAATTTGTATTAAGGGACTGTAGGTGGGGGGGCAAGTCTTGATGGAGAGCAATAAACAAATGATGGAGAGGAGCAGAAATCTCTTAAATAATGGAAATGTCACTAGGCACCGAGATTGTTAAAAGAGATTCCATACATATACAAGCATGTTCGTTGTACAATGTAATGTGACAATAAAAAAATATGAAAATTCGCTCTTACTTCATCGTACAATTTCAATTTAAATTCAAGTTGTATATAAAAAAGACTATGTTCATTAATGTATGACAGAAGCTAAAAATCTCTTTGAATAATTAATGTATAGAAAATTAATACGTACAAAATCCTATTATATACTGTCTGACAAAGATTCAGAGTATTTTTCAATGCAATCTGTAATTGATGTTACAGTCTCCTAAAGACCTCGAAAGCCTTTTTGAGATCTTTGTTAGGACAATGTTGATGTATAGACTGACCAGCAGCTGCAACCATGTTTACAAAAGAGTTTGCTTGCCATTTATGAAAAGTCTAGGAAGGCTAATACCATGAGACAGAATATGTAAACATCCGCACGTATTTTGATTGTAAAATTTACTACTGATTTCGCTTGATGTTAAAGATCTGTCGATCGATTCATGGCTAAACCTTAAACCTGATGCTTGTTGCCACACATAATTTTCTGACGTCAATGATGTCTCTGATTGGCTGGTGTCATCTGTCTGAAAACGAGACAATTTGAACCTGAGGTGCCGAGGAAATTTGCAGAATTCTTTGGATTTCGCAAATTGAAAGTCTCAAGCCAAAATTGCCTTTTTTGCTCATCAAAGCCGTTACAAATAGTTAACGTGTATATCTATAGATTGTTTTTTCCTATTTAGATTGCCACTAGAAGTATACGTTACAACCCTGTTTAGCAATCCCGGTAGAAAGGTCCCCGGTGAGAAATTTCCTAACAAACCAGACAGCCCCCTTTCCCCTGTAATTCGATTGCCTTTGGCACTTTTCCATTTCCCCCATCCCCTACAAGCAGAGACTTTTGCCCACAGTCAGTCTAAAGTTCCCTCTATGGCACGAAAACAATCTTGGAAGATTTTTAGAGTTAAAAACAAATATGCCTATTTGACCCAGATATGTAGGATACCAGGTATAGATATGTAGGATACCAAGATGGTTAAAAATTTCCCCCATCCCCTGCCAGTTTAAGAAAATTATTGCTGTCCCCTGCCAGCTCAATACATACTTTTTGTGTCCCCTAATAATGATAATAATAATAATGATATATCTCGCCAAATCTCCATTTCGGAGCAGTTGCCAGGAAAGACGTCATGTTCAGTATAGTACCACAGGCTAATTTTCACTTAGGTTTGAAAAAATTCAACCAATCTCTCGATTCCGCTCAGGCGCCGCCCTGAATTTCTTGGCACCGCCCCTGTATGTACGCATACGTATGGTACAGTTATTTATGACCAATGTATTGCTCAGTGAGATGGATACTATTCCTAAATAGCTGGATGAAAACAGTCTTGAGAAAGGGAAAACTGAGACCATGACATTTTGGACACGTCGACTCAGCTACACATCGCCTTGAATACAGCTGGATCAAAGCCTAAACACGAGACTATATTCATATGTAGCTGGTGTTGTTACTTATTAGTTTTACATCGATCATTTACTTCTAGCTTACTATATACAGTATCATATGTACAAAGCAAACTAATTTCAAATCGAAAACAACAGTACGGATAATGTACATAAATAAATATTTTTACAGTGTTGTACTTATTTTAGGTCAGCTGCCTGGAGTATGGATAGAGCCGAAATAGCTGAAGCTGATAGGAGAACATTTGTATTACTTCATAACAGAGAAACAGAGCTTTAAAGATTATCTAATTAAAGATTACTTAGATTTAGACAGCAGAAAGATTGCAAATTAACGTCGATTGAAAACAATAGGAAATACAAAGCCTGTCTATTGATCTTTCAGTGCCTAAAGAGAACATTTAAAGAAGTTATGAAAAAATGTCTAGAGCCTTTGAAGGGTTTTTTATTTCAAGGTCCCAAGATTAACAACGAACTTACAAGCAGTCTTCGCCACTTAGACTCATACCTTTATTTTAAGGGCTAGCTAAAACAATTATGTTTTGATAATTATAATAAATACATGCTTTTAAAAGTGAAAATTTTTACATAATTACTATATTTATTTGTTGCAACATTTTATTGTAACAATTACTATATCGTAGTTTCAGACCTAAGGCCCTCGTTGATAACAGCCCTAAGTGTGTTGAAGAGGTTACCCTGTGTAAACAGTGTTATTTATTTATTTATTCATATTGCAAAAAGTTAGTATATCCAAAAATCAAGTACTAGTTATAAAGATAAAGAGAATTCAACTTTTTGGTGCATGTCATTGAACATTAGGCAATTATAATGTGTTTACCAAAAATACTGCAGATTATTGGACAACTTCAGGGGGTCTATTGATTAAGCTATGACGGACATTTCTGTCAAGGTCTACGCAAGGAGAACTGCATAATTTTGTGCAAATCTTTAATTAAAATATATCTCAGAATAATAGAAAATTCCTTATTAATGTAATATCACCCCAAATATTATGTGATTTCGCTGTCGCACGGTGGCTTTACATAATAGTCACCAAGTTTCCAACCAAATCAGTTTGAGGTATATTTAGGGAAAAATATTATGCTTGAACAAACAAAAGACATGATAGACCAAATTGTTGGAATTTATGTACTTTTGTCAGTAAAGGACTTTAATAATTATTGAATATAATTGAAAATAATTGAATATAACTTATGTCTAATAGAATGAACCAGAGAATCTACTAACGTCAAATGGGCGTTTGAAAGAGCAAGGCGTGTAATTTTGGAGCGTTTAAAATAGGAGCGATAAGTTCTCAGCTTGCCAGGAATACACAGTTACATGAAGTACTTCCCGTTATAATTTCTTTTGTGTAGGGTGGTTTGTTTCATGTTTGGTAGCCGCAGGCTGGCACAACAAGATGATGAATAATTGGTAAAGTGAACAATATTTAACTAATAATCAGAGGAGATAGGGCTGGATGTAATTTTCCCTATCGTACCCTTCAGACTGTTACCATCTTTTCTGGATTTATAATTTTACACGGATGATTCTGTGGCTAGGCCTTCTGCATGGTGTGGCCTACTTCAAACGCTACGTAATAACAGACGCAGCGCAACATCCTGTCAAGTTTTAGCACACACTTGTCTGTCAACGTGTTTTTGCCACTTCAATTGGTTAAACAGCTGAGGAAGAATTGCTTATTTTCACTGTACACGTACCTTAACAGTATTTGGTTAATTTTGAGCGATCAAAATGGCGAGTAGATTAATGGACAGTCTTTTTGGCCTGAAAATTGGATCAAGAAAAGTTTTGTATATTATAGGTTTGACTTCGGTATTTTGGTTCTCACTGAATGTTTTGCTTTTAATTGCCAACAACCAGGCTGCTTTAGAATCGTTAGATTCTCTGTCGTTGGGACTAGGGAATTCTAGGGTGAGAAGAGACTCTAATTTTATGGCAGATCTTGGAATAAAACCACTCGCACCAGCCAACAAGAAGCATTATCCATGGCAGGATGGGTTCTCGGATTCTAACAAAGGGAAGTCAGGATTCTTAAGTAATTATTTTGGTGGTGGAGGAAAATTAAAACAAATATATGATGTTAGCAAGCAAAGAAACAAAAAGCCAGGACTTGGTGAAAATGGTGAAGCAGCTTATCTCACCACGGATGCTGATAAAAAACTAGCCGAAAAGCTTTTTGCCAATCATTCATTTAATTCAATTCTAAGCGACAAGATATCACTTGACAGAACCCTTCTAGATGTCAGAGGAGAAAAGTAAGTTAAGGTTTATAGATCATAATATATATTGTGTCTTCCTATTTTGCTTTCTGAATTGGTATAAACTTGATTTGAAATTTTCTTCCAAAAAGAGGTAATTTGGTGATACTTTGTGTCTACTAATATAACATGCCTCTTCTAATTTTGTCAGTAGTAAAGGTGGAACATTATTAAAAAGTTTTGTGGTTCACACATCATCATCAAATTTTAATTGCCATTAAGTAATTGAGCCATAAGTGTATTCAATTCCATTATTGGTCAAACCATGGCCAATATTTGGCAAGGCTGAGTTAAAAAACTATTCCTGTTAATAAATTTTGAGGTGTTTTAAAGGAAAAGGTTTCAGTCTGCATTCCTTGTAGTGAAAGATCTTCCCCACATCACCATAGCAGATTTCATCTGCACCAACATCACATCTTCAAAGCTCTTCTCGCATCTGTTATTTTTAGCAATTGATCAAATATATAACTATAAGATACCTACAGGGCATCAGCAAGCAGTCTGTGAAAATGAAGCAATATCTTCTAATCTAAAGGGGGTGGGTGATGTTAACAATTTTTACTGCCGGCTGTCGCCCCTAGCCCTTTACGTGTCCAGAGAAGAGAGAAATTTTTCTCTAGACCTGTGCCAGAACTGTAAAATAGCCTTCCCAGCTTCGAAATCAAAGAATGCAAACTGGAAAAGGGGTCTTTTAGAAACCGCCAGGTTTTTCCTTTAATAGATTTGTATCAAACATTATTTATGCACTTTATAATACAAATCAGGTTCAAGCAAAATTTATGGCACCTTATTTCCCCCCTTAGGGCCACCCATAGGTTACCATATGTACATAGGGGTTACCTATTTCCTTTTGCGATGAAATCTCTTAAAAAATTAAAAAAATAGTTATATATATATCACAAATGTTGATATTTATAAAGCAACATATATTTTTTACTTTGTGGTGCAGCATTTGGTATTTCTTATGTGTCACATGTGACTTTGCATATAACTAAGACTGTTTTGTCTGGTCTGAAGAGATCTGACTCAATTGCGAGTTACAACCCCTAATATGATTTAGACTGACAGTTGTGAGTTAGACTGCATACTTGCTACTTCCTATTATATGAGTCAGGGAAAGAATCTGAAAATCAGCATGTTAATCATATACGGCATTAGGTCTGTAATTCTGGACGAGAAAATTTTAAAAAATTACACTAACAAGAAAAATGTATACCATTGGGACTTTTTCACATGATTATGCAGTGCATTGTGTCGAAAAAATGTGCGATAAAACAATAATAAATTAGATATATTTTATCTTGAATTGTTGTTCACAAAGGTGGGTCTTGTACTTAGTTCGTTGTGGTGATAGAGCTGGGATATATATAATAGATTGTTTCCAATAAGACACCACAAAAATACATATTCCGTAAACACACTACTTTCCAAAACATATTACTTTCCCAGGAGATGTCCATTACAAAATCCATACACTGTTTTGAGTTTTGAGAAAAATTGTTGTGTCTTTTAAATTTTGGATAACAGAATATAAATTTATAGTTTTAAAGAATAATTGCGTACATAGCTAAGCAAAATATTTTCAGTAGTAGAGTTTTGCACCTGGTTAATTTCTGGTGATGAGAAGCAATTAATGAAACACTGATTCTATTAAAGCATGAAGCTATTAAAGTCTTCTAGACCAGTCTTCCTTGTTATCAACACACCCATGGAGCAGATAATGCAAGTGATTTATCACATGCACAACAATTGTTATTTGACTAAAACTGCTAAACCATAGAATAGAAATTTCCATGTCACAGAAATATTTGGTGAAGAGTTTAATAAACCTTGCAGATACATTGACAAGCTGCCTTATTGTATGAATTCATAGTCTTTAAAAAGCTAAAGAAACCTTATATGTTAGTAGTAAGTGATATATGATTTTTAAAGCCAGATCAGCAATACTGAGACTTTTATATCATTGTCCCAAAATTATGTATGCTTTTTGGCTGAATAACTAATATCATATTGCTAGCCTTTCTCTCTTTAGAACTGTCAAAGATTTCACATTATTTTGCTCTTTGGCTTCTGGATACCATTTTGTATTGCTTTTCTGTTAATTTCCCATAATCACAAACTAACCTATCCAAGAAATATTGAATATTACTGTCAAAGTGAAATAAGCCAGCTGCTAGCAAGTTCTTAAAAGTGTGGCAAGCCTTTATTTGTTGATAAGCTCTGGTTTTCTCACATCTTTTGAAAATAGTGACAAAAGTCCTTAATAAGGAAGAATTTCACACAATTTTTTATCTGTTGGTCATCACTCAGTATGGTGTGCTCACAATTGTAATTCTCTTGCAATAAAGTGATCTTGAGATAAAACAATGTCATCTAGGCATTTTTAGTTGCATTTTGTTGTTGACCCAACATGTTTTTTTCATAATGAAGAGATTCATTAAAGTTTATCCATTAGATCAATCAGTTTACAATAATACATTGGTGCGAAGTCACAATCCTTAAGTCTGAAAAGCTCAATTGGTTATTTGTAGCATTTCAAAAGTTAATAATAACAAAAATCTCTTATCATCAACTATTACTTAAACCTTTTTAGGTGCAGACAAAGACATTATACTTATGATGAGAAATTGCCCACTGCAAGTGTTGTGATTTGCTTTCACAATGAAGCACTTTCTGTGTTATTGCGGACAATCCATAGTGTGCTGAACAGAACACCACCTCAACTTTTAAAAGACATCATTGTTGTTGATGATGCTAGCTTGTATGGTAAGTGAAATTTGATTCTTTTGCTGTCATTGTGTATGAAGAATGAGTACACTGTGAATGAGAACACACACACACATATATTAATATAAATATATTTTTATATACACTCACTCTCAGTGAGCAAAAGTATTGCACAGGTTTGACAAATGAGTAATGGCGACCGCGTTGTAAACAACAAGGTGATTGATATTGAAACCACTTTTGTGAAGCCATTAGGCATCTTTTTGTAGTTAAAATCTAATCAAATCAATTTTCAAACTGTTGGCAACACTTTCAATTTAAAAATTGAAAAAGCTTCTTTTACAAAAATAAAATTTTTTAACTTTTTATTGGACAGTCTCCCAGCTTTGAAACCTTTGTGAGACTTACTAAAACTTTATCAAGAAGTTTAGTAACAGGCTTTTTTATCGCGAAATGATAAGTTCAGAAAAACATTTGCAAGATCACATTTAGGTGTTGAAGTACCAAGTTGATCATAAATGGACTTGTATTTGGTGAAGTTGGCATGTTTTAAGCCAGTTTATTAAGCCTACTCTTTTACAGCTATTGAGGCACTTGAGTGAACCTGTTTATCGTGGGAATTTTGGTATTTTCATTTAATGAGAGGATGTTGTTTTATGCAATTTGCAGTATTATATTTTGCTGCAATATATCACGAAGTGGCCGCTGCGATTAGGCCCATTGCGGCTCCAAAAATTTCCGAACAAAACATTTAGCAGATTCTCCAACAAAAGTGAGGAAAATGAGCAGTTCTAGACACCCAAGCATAAAGTAAGTACCCACCGAGTTCATTGTATTAGGATATCGCGGATTGGTGCAAAGATGAACTTTTTTATTGTAAATGTTTCACAGGTACTTCAATCATCATGGCTCAATTTTTTGTGCTTTAGCAGCATGTCGATATTGTTTAGAAATAGGCAAAAATCAAGAATTTTCTTACATTTACTATTTTCACCATCAAACCTTGATAAATTTTCCAACATATTCCAGTTAAAAAGTCATCTTTTTAACTTTTATGGAACTTGCTATGGCCACTTGAATTTTGGTTCGATAGAATTTTTGCTGCGATGCTGCCTTTTCTGTTTCAGCCTGTGCAATACTTTGCTCACTAAGTGTACATAAACACTTTTCCATAACTTTTTCATAAGCAAGCCATGCTTGTTTTCCTATAATTAGTGTGCCCATTGCTTGCAGCCACAAAATGATGTCCACTCAGCATCATTACAAAGTCAATGATGCAAAGAAGTATTGTATCATTGCCAGAAGGGAAGTTAGCACCACTTTTAGCCAAAACTATCAATCCTTTGTGGCATAATGTGTTTTAAGATATGGGTATAGGGGCTATAATAGTTTTGATTGGTAAATTTAAAATGTTCTGTTCTGCTGTTTTCTATTTTGTCATCGTTTTGCTTTGCATATCAGGTCCCTGTGGTCCTACCCTGAAGCTTTTATAAGAATTACCTTTGCATGCATTCTACATTTGTGCATTGTATATACTGACAGCCCTTAAGCAAGATCTTGAACGTATCCAGGCATTATCACTTTTAATGGTTTCCACTCCTAAAAACAAAAGCCCTGCAAAGGATAAGGTATTTGGATCTGTGGCCTAAAGCTTACCCAACTTTCCAAGCTTACCAACAGGAGGGTGGGTCCAGAAATATCAGAGCCCTTTCTGAAGGTTGTCATATTGCCATGCCTTGCCTGCCTAGGGCTTTTGGGCAATACCCTTTAGTGAGGACAAAAGTGTTTGTACACAGATAACAACACAGCTATTCACCAGTGATATAAATTCATAGTGCCAGGCAGTTCTCAAATAATAGGCATAGGTAGCATTGTAAAAAAGCAACATTTTGGCAAAAGTGAGCCCCTGCTTGAGCTGAAAATAGCCAATTCACCCCCTGTTTCTGAAAAGTTGGGAGGGGGGCTACATATCAACTATGCCTTCTGTTCTTACCACTAGGTCTGCCTAACCTCTATGTTTGGGTCATAATGCGCAAAAATTTGTGAAATCTATCAGTATGTTATGAGAAAAGATTTCCTTCTCCAAAAGTGAATTCTAATATTTAGATTTTGCCATTCACATTTTGCACAATACCCATGCAATACATTAGATAATTCCAATGTAATTTCAGAGCAGCTTGCTTGAAACAATAGGTAAGATTGTTGACAAATGAAATAAACAAGATTATACTTTGTGCCCTTTCTGCAACAAGCCACATTGCGGTGACTCTATGTTCTAAATTACGTACGTACTGCAAATCCCATAATTCGCTCACCTCTTATAACCCCTCTCGTATAATCGCCTTCAAATTAGCCTCTACCATTGAGTAGGTAGATTATGTTGATAAGCACCCTACTTGAATAAGTCCCCTTCCAACGCGCCAGTCATTTTAAAAACACTGTTTTAGGCAATATTTCATTCTCAACATCGATTTGCCGAATGCTTCGTTTCTCAAAGGGAAGTTGAAACGTGTCAAATAGCTTTTAGAATGATCTATTCAAATGGGACTTTTCAGACAGTTTTTACAAGCTTGCCGGAATTAGGCCCCTTCGTATAAACGTCTCAGATTAATAAGTACCAGTGATGCTATCTTGATGATTTACAGTGTAGACATACCGTAATACTTATGGGACACATACTGTAGTTTTTGGTTTTATGTTAAGCTGAATTTTGAACTGTTAGAAACGCACATTTAGTAAGACTATCACCAGCCCCTCTACACTTGTTTCCTTTTTTTAAAAACTTAAATAAAAGAAAGATGTGGCTCAGATTAATTAAAAACAATTAATTCGAGGAAAAACTAGCATTTTAAGGAAAAAATTGAACAATATTTTAAAGAATCAGAATTGAACATACAGTGCCTTGAAAATGAAATTTCAAATGCTTATGCAGACCTGGTAAAATGAAAACAGATTTTGCAAGCCCGTTCTCAAAAAACAAGCCCGTTCTCAAACAACAAGCCCGTTCTCAAATGATTTTTTTCTTCCATCCGAGAAGTTATTGGAATCTATTGTGACGATGGCTTAAATGCTATATATTCACATTGGGCTTGGCGTAAACCTAAAGAAAAGCAATTTTTCGCTTCACCAATTTTCACGTTTTTCTTGCAGAGCGAATGGAAGCTTACGCATTAGCTTAATCGTGGAATAAAGTGTCCTTGCTGTCGGCCACTATTAATAAATCTCTTACTAGCATAGGATCTAAGGATTTTGAATAAGCTCCTTTCTTTATATGTTGAATTTCTGTACTTTTACCTGCAGGGTTTTCCATAAAGCTCTAGGAGTTTGGCAATTTCATCTCGCCCTGAATACCAAATGTTCTTGAGACACAAATACAGTTATTGCTCTTTGTAGATAAATATTTCGCTATTTATTTCTTCCTTCAGTTAATGTCTTTTGTTCCTTAATATTACCCCTTTAACACCACGTAATGTTGCTTGTCCAAATGCGTTTTCTCCTTAGGCCCTACAGTTGATACTGATTCAAGAAGCACTGCTTAATTTCTCTGTTTATTTTATTCTATTTTTTATTTAACAGTTATTCTATTTTTTTGTCAAATAAGGAGAAAATTCAATCCTCTAAAATTCAATGCTCAGCTTACTGTCACACCCATATAACATTTTATCCCCAAACATTTCAATCTTTGTTGCTTCCCCTAGAAAAGTTTTCATTTGTTGTCTGTCAATACTTTTTATCCATTATCTGCCCCAGATTCTATATTTATGAATCTAAGATTAAACGCTGTGGACCTCCCTGTATGTATTTTTAACATGCGTATATATTTATTGCTGTAGGTTTCCTGAAAAAGCCGGTTGACGACCATGTTGCAGGGTTATCAACAAAAGTCAAGGTTCTAAGAAATAAAAACAGGCAGGGTCTGATACGGTCCCGACTAAATGGAGCTGCTGCGGCACGCGGAGACGTTATAATATTCTTGGATTCACATTGTGAGACAACCCCTGGCTGGATTGAGCCAATGTTGGCAAGAATTAAAGAAGACAGATCGAATGTTGTTGTCCCAACAATTGAGGTCATCAATGCAGACACACTACAGTACCAGGCTGCTGCTAACCCAGATCAAAGGGGAGGCTTTGGCTGGGACCTGTTTTACAAGTGGAAACCGATCCCACCCGAGGAACAGCAGCTTAGAAAAGACGAGTCAGATTTCATCAGGTATGGTGGTCGTGACCTCAATAGGACAAGCAATTATATCCATTGTGATATAGAAAGGCTGCCTTTCAGAGTTACTGAAAGACATTTTTGCGTCAGTGAAGAGGTCAGAACGTCTTTTGGCAAATAAATCGTAGCAAGTGGCAAATCAGTTGAAGAATCTTCATTTAAATGGACGATACTTGGTAGAGTGGGAATGGTGTTGGTACCAAAGTATTTTTGGCACCTTTGAAAACATGCTAGCCTATAAATTGTATTTCTAGTTTACATTTAAGCACACGATACATATGTACTTTTATTAGCCACAGGATACATATGTACGTAATCAAGTTAATTCTTGACGGGTCTGAAAGACAGAACTATAAACCCTTTGGTGTATATGACAGGATGATTCTAATTTGCAACCCCGGTCTATATTCAGCAGGATTTGTATCTGGAAAGAGGACAATCCCCTCCAAGTTTTGTCTATTCTTTTTAGAACTCCGGCAATGGCAGGTGGGTTATTCGCTATCCATAGAAAGTACTTCTACGATATTGGATCATACGACATGGAAATGGACATCTGGGGAGGAGAGAACTTAGAATTATCTTTTAGGGTAAGTCGTGCACATTTGAATTACACGTGGGAAGATTTGGGAAATGTCGTTTGAAGTAAAACTCGTTAAGTAAAGAGTCTAGGGAAAGATAATACTGTGTTTTCGCAATAGATGGCGGAGAATAATTTACATGATTTGAAATGTCATTCTTTTTGGTACTTTCAAAAATGACGTTTACTTAAGAGTTGGTTCCTTAATTTTCTTATAACTTAATTTTCACGTTTCAATGTATTGTTAAGAAATACTGCCAATCTTCCGCAGCGGGAGAATGTTGCATTTCGGGCAATAACATTTTGTTGTATATAATCAAGTTATCAACGACTTCGAAAATGTGATCTAATAGGTTTTATTTGAGATGATTTTTTTGTTTTTTTAAGCATATTTGGTTTTGAGTAGCCGTGTAATTTAATCTACAATAAAAGTGTTCCAATTCAAGTTGTGTTATTGGGTAGGTAATAAAGAAAATAATTCACATGTTTATATCTTTTAGGTTTGGATGTGTGGAGGGCGTCTAGAAATTGTACCGTGTTCCAGAGTAGGCCACATTTTTCGAAAATACACAAGCCCGTACAAATTTCCTGATGGTGTCGAGAAGACTTTAGCAAAAAATCTTAATCGTTTAGCAGAAGTTTGGATGGACGAGTTTAAAGAGCTGTACTACCAAAAACGACCTCATGCCAGGTATGCTATTTACACATTCACAGATTATTAAAATTGATTTTTTGTGTTTTTGAATCGGGTTGTTTGTTATAGTTTCAGTTGATTTATTAGGGGTGTTTTGTTCTATTTTTGATTGGCTTTTCCAGTCGAGCTCATTATTGTAATTATATGTTTTGCTTTGAACGAGGCTTTTGCCGTGGAAGGGTAGAATCGAAGGGGTATATATATGGGGATTTAAGGGGAAAGGGGAAGAGGGGGTGATAGGAAATAAGAGAAGGACTGAAAAAACAGGAAGCAGTAAAAGAAAAAAAAATGGAAAACGTTAAGGAAAAAGAGAGGAATTTTAGGAAGGTCCCAGTCAAGGAAACAAGGAACGAAAGAAAGATGAAATGAAATAAGGCAAATGAAGTGAGAAACTAGATGTTTTATGATATTGTGAAATGTTTTCTTCTTCTGTATTGAATAGGGTTTCAGCTACGTTTTTGTTAGCCAGACCCGTAATTCTTTTTGCGACCATTGATTCATTTATTGTTACAATGTCTTATTGAAGTTATTTTTTGGGGTAGTTAGCTTCATACTTGATGTTACCTAATGGTGTCATGCATGTGAAACCAATTCGATTGCTCTAGGCTAGCCCAGCATTTGCGTTAGTTTTTCTATTCCGTATCAAGTTAACACTTAACCTGTCTTCAAGTATTACAATTTTCTTTACCAGCGCATGTAGTCTTTGCTCAATGGAGTTTTCTTTCATTCAAGGAATATGTTTTTTGGAGACATTTCAGAGCGTGTTGCACTGCGCAAAAGGCTGAAATGCAAAAGCTTTAAATGGTATCTTGACAATATCTACCCAGATTCACAAATGCCAGATTTGTATCCACCGGCAAAGGGAGAGGTCAGTGTTTTCAATTCAACTAGCTGTTTGTGTGATTATAAACTCTCGTAATTGCATCGTTATCCGTTCTTCCTCAACATCGTAAAAATTGCAGTTTTGCTACCGACGATTCTTTAGGTATTTACTGACTCTTTTTATAAATATGGTGAAATTTGTTGAAAATAGTAGAAGCACACGCGCATCCTAATTTGAATTTTCTGATATTCTTCAATCAGCCCAAACCATAAGTAGCCATATTTAATTGTCAGGGCTTTCTTGGCTTTATAGATTTTTTATCTCGTTTATTTATTATTCAATTTTGAATAAAAAGGCCGCCAAGAATTTTTTAAACTTCTTTAATGCATTATGTCTTGACCACATCCTGAAATGGGCTGTTGCAGTGCTCCTTCAATTTTGTGGCAGTGATGATCCCAGCTAAACAAATGATTTCGTTGAGGTTAATCTAGTTATGTCATAGCTTTTGTTCTCTTGGTAATCCATTACGCAATGTTCCTTGTTAGCACCGAATCCAAGCATAATACTAGTTAGCTAAATATAGTCCTTCTTGTGCTAAGAAGGAAGCTTTATTGTAATCATGTAATCTATTATTCCACTGTTCTGAAACGTAGTCATTCGCCACGTTCAATCCCACTATGGCCCACCAATACAGCCAAAGAGAGTTGTCTTCAAAGTCTCCTTTTCATTAAGATAGTTTTATTTAAACTGTAAACCTTTCATCAGTTATTTCCACATCAGTTATTTTAAGTCTTCCCATTCCTTATTATCAACAATACCATATTTTTTTTAATGTATTTAAGCTGATTTCAGAGTTCTGAAATTCGTGGGAATATTTTGTGAGGGAATTCTGTCCTTGTTGCAAACTTCTTATGAAACTGATGACATTATTTCAGTAACAGTAAGCTAGTTGATCATGATCGTATTTTACGCACTTTCCAGATAAGGAATCCTGCGAGTGGATATTGTTTAGATTCTATGGGTGCCAAAGATGGAAATGGAAAACTTGGAATTTTCCCGTGTCATGGTCAAGGAGGCAACCAGGTATTTCTATGTTACCCCTTCTCTAACTACCCATGGTCAAAGATCTCGTTAGCAAAACTATTTACAAAATTTCAATTTTTTTATTGTTATGTAGTTCACCTAATGAAGTATGAGACACGAAAAGCATTGTATAATAAAGGACTCTGTATAAAGAAATAATGAGTGATCAGCATATCTAATTAACACAAGCAGATAAACATTTACACTTCAGATTAGCTTATTTCGTAGATAGAACAACTGTGTAGGTATTGCTGCAGTTTTTTGATAGAAAAACGAAAAAAACTTCAGAAAACATTCGCTGGACTTAGTAACATTCGGCAAACTCACACAATGTGGTTCAAGTGTTGATATTTCTTGAAAGATTTCACAAGTATTGCATATAATCGAAAACAGCTTTTTTTACCGAATATAAATCTATTATATATATATAATTTTTTCCAGTTTTTTATATTTTCAAAAAATGGTGAGATTATATTCGAAGAAGAAAACTGTTTGGATGTGTCGAATTCAAATCCCGGCGCAACAATAGAAATACTTAAATGTCATGGATTTAAAGGCAATCAGGAATGGAAGCATAACAGGATCGATGTAAGTCTTGACATTGATGAAGCATTGCTGTTATTATGATCATTATTATTTTATCTAGTGTTAATATTAGCCCTATGTGAAGCTTTGAGAAGATTTCCTTGAAACTCTCAAACATCAAAATTCGTGCTGGACAAATGTGACGTCGCATTAATTTTTAATCTTTAGTGAAACATACCTAAAGTTAAGCATTAACACGCGACTGAAATGTAGAGGAAATTACAAGTTTTCCTCAAGCATCTTGCCCGAAGCCTAATGTATTTTGGATGTGGGGCTGCATCACTGCTCTGCTTATCTGACTTAGAGTTTTCCTTGAGCATTTCTAGACGGAAGAACCTAGCGGCTTATTGTTATTTCAATTTGGTACTAGCAACCAAGAAGCCAACCCCTTCCCCCCTGGGGGGTATTCCCGGCTAACGTACACCTGATGAATGTCAAATTGGCTTTTTTGAATCTCTAAAGTATTTGCATCTTTTTTGTTTCACATAACAACGAATTACCTCATTATAAATATTCTGACTATCCTTTATGATCATGTCAGTTTTCACTTTTACTTTCACTTTTGGAAAACTTGCTTCATTTTCAAACCCCGCAAACACAAGGAAGTGATTAACCACTCTTAACAAAAATCTTATGCGTGACAATTTTCAGTTTCTGAAAATTATTTGAAAATGAATGAATGAAGACCGGAACATCAAAGCTATAGTTAGACAATAGAAAGTTGATTTGCTGCCAAATATTTTTTATCATATTATCCTAATTTCATTGCTGTATCCGTATCATTTTGCTTCCTTTAAAGTCAACTCCCCTAAAATGCGGAACCTTATAGTACAAGCGTTTTTATCCTTCCTAATCTGCAAAAAAGATCTTATGCTTCTTAATAATCCCTATGCTCATTAACAATATTCTATAAATACTATTCAGAATTGTATTAGTAAGGAGACCCGCGCTGCTCTGTTGACGAATCATTCATGAATTGCTTACCCTTTCAAGCCTTATATGGCCTTTTGGCCTACAAAGCCGCCTTTAATCGTATTACATTTTATCACTCAATAGCCTTAATTATATCAATCTCTTTTCCAATTTGATCATTGCTAGAAATAGAACAGCTTCTGCTTTTTTTGGAACACAAGCATTTGGGTGGTATAAGCTTTTAAAAAGGGGAATGTGTCAAGGAATAAAGTAGTCATATCACAGAGTCTTTCATCTTTTTGTGAAGCAGCCCCAGTTCATGGCAATGCATTATAGTTATAGGGTCATGCAAGAAGCCTTATAATGGCAAATATACCTGGAAGTTAACAATGGTGGGCGAGTCAGCTCAGTATTTTGAATCTAATAATAATTAGTTAGAATTGATAACTGTCATACATTAGATCCAGAAACATTCTGCAGGTCAAATGCATCTGTTTTGCAATTTTCTAGAGCATTTTCTGGCTGACAGGAATTTTATTTACAATCTGCTTATGCCAAGAAAAACAGTCGCTTTACTTTTCGCTTTACTATAAACCTATGAGTTTTCTAGTGGATCTCCAGGGTGATTTTAATAAGTGCTGTGAATTTTGAAAGATGACCTTTTACTGGCTTAAAGGCTTATTTCTTGGCTAAATGGCAGGCTTAATTTCAGACTTGATCGCCGATGGAATAAAAAAATTCATGAAATCCTAGCGGTTTTGTAACATCCACCTTCTGCTGCTCTGCTCAGTTGGAAGCTGCATTCAAAATAGCTGATTTTTATAATGCACAGATCAACTGGGAATGCCGCATTTCTCATTATTGTCAAGTTTTTTTGTACGAAAAGTCTAAGTACATTACTTAAGGAGGAAGTAAAAATCATATATAAAAATAGATTTTGTTTGAATTTCGTCAGTTTGTTAATAAGATAAAATCGAATACAAGCTATATATTTTAAAGATAAATACGGCACTTTTTTGTTGAATCTAGAAGACCAACTTATGTCATTGTGTTTCTGTTCCATTTCAATTTCTTCACTAGGGCTAGTTTCAACGGTGTCGGTTTTTCCCCGTTGACGTAAATTCTTCTTATAAAAGGATGTTTGGGACTAGCTTTCCTTGTATTCTCCAAGAGGCAAATCACTCCTCCAAATGGTGCTCGAGATTAATATTCACTAGAAATGAATTTGTGATTAATTTGTTGTTTTAATGATTAAAGTGATTAATTTTCAATTTTTGTGATCATTCTAAGATTATTCACAGATTCAAAATATCCCCCAAATAGGTTTCTGTGCAAATGAACACGTTTGAACAGGCCAAGATGGGGTGAGATGGACAAACTAAAAAATACATGACCCTAAATCAAGCCATAATTCGAATTTAACTGAAGTATTTCAAAAATCAACTGACAAACTATCATGCCAGTTTGGCAATGTTTGTCATAACATGTTACATAAGATTGAGACAAGCTCATAGCAACCCCTTCGTCGATGGTAACAACGTAACAATAAGCAGCGATGTAGTCGCCTGTAAATTCTGATGCAATAGAATATGACGTCATCGAAAATGAACAGCATCAAATACATCTCAATTTGCAAAATCAGTTAAATATGTTCAAAATTTGGCGAGATATGGCCAATTAAAGATTTCAAGTTTGCTAACAGTTTACTTTTTGAGGTTATATGGTAAAAATTGAACAATGCAAAAATCTTTAGTGGTTTTTTGTGTGATTAATGTAACTTTTTGCGATTAATGTGAATAATTTGTGATTAAAGTTTGATTATTGTCGAGAGTGTGCGTGATTTTAAAAAGTTATCTGCCCCTCCGTATTTTCATGATATTCCAAATTATATTTCGTTGCAGGGGACCCTTATTCACTTGCCAACTGGGAATTGCATTGACAGGGGTAGCCAAAGCAATGGTGATAAGCCGATTATGACGGTTTGTGATGGTCGGGAGACCCAGGTTTGGACTTTCGGATTTTATAACAGCACCGTATTTCCAGCTAAATAACATTGGCAATGCAATGTTATTAGATTTTTAGATCAGATTAATTATCCGTGCAAGCGCTTTTTTTATTGATGTCGTGCTAATTTAATAGCGGGGTTCCTATTGCTAAAAATTTAAAAAGTACAGGTGATTCAATCAGCTGTTATTATTTTAGTAGGCTAAGAAATAAATTGCTGCAATCCGTTACCATGTATGGGAACCTTCAAAGCATAAGACTACCACTCATTACCTATTATTTAGAACTCACTTCGTTCAGAAAAACTACTCTACCCTGAAGAAGGACGATTACACATAGGGGCTCAATAACCCTTTTGGGGACCCAATAGGAATTTGGCATTTGACAAAATCATTGAGGCACTAACCTTCACAACCTCCCTACCTACCACCCTACCTAGCCCTCCTCCCCCCCTACCTCCTTTCGACGCTACTGGACTACTCTAAAGAAAGGCAGACTGCACAATACCTTGACAAAGAAGCTTGGGTTATGACGTAATTGATTACCAACATAGCGTATAAACGCAATAAATGAAGTTATCTCTGGCAAAATATTTTAACCATATTAAGTATAGTATAGCTGATTAAAGATTTTAAGAATTGAAAATGTAATTTCTATGTTTCCTTTCATATATAAACACCCGATTGTACTTACTTTGTTAGCGCATTCTTCTTTGAGTTGTTATATAGTTGCTCCTATGCAGGCCCATCGAGAGGGGGCAGGGGAGCATATTACCCCAGGCCCCGAGCTGAGAGGGGTCCCGAATTGTTATAAAAAGTTCCTAACGATCATAACAACAGTTATAATCAAAGTTTCAATGACGTCATCGCCATCTTTCCTTTTGCCCCATGCCCCAAAAAATCTCGCGGCGAGTCTATTCTAGTAGATATTATTCGTAGCATCAAGAGCAGCGTTTTTGCAACGTTGCTTTATTTTGCATAATCTTTGTTTTGTATTAAAAAGTATCTATTTTGATAAGTCAAGTGATAATGATTTAATAAAACCTCGTCATATGGTAATTAATCTGTACTTTTTGAATCCTTGTAAACATTTTCAAAGAAATTTAGAATTATATATATTTGTAATTGACCACAATATACAGATTATTCACAAAGTTGTTGTCGTAGCTAGATTTTATTAATCAAACTTCTTGCTGAAGATTTAACGATAGCCTTGTTCCTTGAAGAAAATTCCTGGCGCTGCCTCTGTTGCCTTAAAAAAGGTCATTATTTGAAAGCGCTTGTAACACAAGCTGTCCATTCTGGAAATCACTCTGGAAAGGCAATCTGGAAAGGCAATCTGGAAAGGCAATCTGAATCTTTGCTTACCTAAAATGCACAGCTCTTTTTAAAAGCGCACTTCATAGCAGCAAGTGGTCTTTCTTGAGCAGAGTAAGCAAGCTGCGATGCTTACAAGTTCTTTCAGATTCGCAGAAATACAACATTTCATTTACTGTCCTGCTCAAATTTTTTTTAAAAATCTTGAATTAACATTTTCGATAATTTGACAAAGAATCGCTCTTAAATGCGTATATGGAATTTCGACGTCATTGGTTGCAACGTGATTTTCACGTCACAAGGTATTAAAGACTTAAACTCCAAGATATAATGAGGTGTTTGTTCGTTAATTCTGAATGTAATGCTCAGGCGCATCCCCTGGAGTAGTATAACGTCAGACTCCTGAGAGCAAAATATCAAGGTTAATGGAAAAAGTGATGATAATAACCAAGTTTTTGTAAGTTTTAATGCTAAGGCACTGCAGTTTCTAGACCAGTACCACTGCCCTCTGGCTGAGTAACCGTTTTCTTGCATAACATAACACCTAATGTGATATTTTGAATTACACAATAGGGTCTAAAACTTTGATGATCGACACGTTTCGGTATTCGCCTCGTCCCAGGGGGTCATGCTTTCAAGGATAAGCAGAACCCCAAGTGGCACAAATCTCTTCATCTTCTCAAGAACTGCGTTTCTCTTTTTGAACGAAACTGGGTTGCTTTCAATTGTCTCTTATTGAATTCCAAACAAAACGCCTTTATACGCAGTATATAAGAGGCCGGCCTGTTGAATTCTAGCAGTACCCTTTGATCGGGCGAGAACGAGGAGCATTGAAGTTGTCGACTGAAGGAGTTTTCTTTTCGAAGATTCTTGTCACCCTTCTTATTCTGAAGTTAAGTTTCACTGAAGATAGAGAATAGCCGCCTGGTGGGTGAAGATGCTGCTTTTATTATCATAGATACCGTTGCGGTAACTTGAAAGAAGAAACATCTGCGGCACTACCCGCGGAAAAGAGGTCTCTCTTATTAATCTTAAAACGATTTTGGTACAGCGTATCAGAAATTGACGACAATGTTTTCTTTGGCACACGTGTCAAAAAAGCCAAATGCACGGCCGCAGTTGTACCGTAGGTTCAGCTCGTTGAAAATGACGCCGTCTTCATCAATGGTGTTTATCAATGAAGCCGTTAGTGAATCTCAAACAAGCAATAGTAGACGCAGTCAGCAGAAGGACGCTAAAGAGGCAAGCAGTGACGATTCGAAAGACGACGTCGAGGATATTCATGGTGATCTGACACTGGAACGTGTATTAACCGTTTCTGATATCAAAACCATTGCAGATGGAGAGCCCTCGACGAAGGGTAAACTTCCCAAGTCGATGAGCCAAGAGTATCTCATCAGAAAGAACGCTGAAAAGAACGGCGGCACAAATGACACCGAGGAAACACTAGCAAAGACAGCACCTGGGCATAAGCCGAACAAGAATGTGTCTCTGAATCGATGCCATGCCTTGACACACAAACCTCATTCGTACACATTTGGCCAGCCCGTTAATAAGACGCAACAAGTAAAGAGAAGAACATCTTTCAACTTCCTGCGGAGAAATTCAGAACAGCCACAGATGAAAAATAGCTTGAAGAAGAGCTTTTCGAGTGGTTCAAATAGAGATTGTTCCCATTCCAAGATGTTCTTTGCAAGCCAGATTACATCTGGTATTGTAAACTTGCATGGGACCAAACTGATGAGGGCAGTAAGTTTCGGCCACGGCCAGAAGGTGGATAAAATGTTCTTCGAGAGCTACGACTTTCCAATGGAGAACCTTATCTTCGAGGGTGGAGGAAACAAAGGAATGTCCTACGTTGGAGCGATTGAAGTAAGTTTTCGCATTCTTATTTATCAGCACGATAGATTTGACAGAAGGCTTAGAAATCTGCCTGCTTTAGAGAAAGCTAGCATGTCAAATATTTACTCCTATGAGTTCATTTTTTCCCTGGTCGGTTTCAACGATTAAATACTACATCTCTTGTACCGAACAACGCTGAGAATACCGGCTGTTGTCGGAACCCGCTGCACAGTCATTGCTCATATCTGACACAGCTCAGCTTTTGTCGTGTTTACGATTTTTTGGGTCTCTCAGACTCTGGTAGACGCACACCAAGCTGCGCCTTAAGTGTATTTTAGAGATCAAAATTTATTTAAGTAAGGAGGATTTGCTTCTCGATCTGATGCTACTACGCGACCTTTTCCAATGTCTCTTCCTAAGTTCTAAAAGCTAACATAAGCAACATTGTAGCAGCTTAAATACCGCAGTTGTTGCAAGAAATTTTATTTTTTCTCATTTTTTTTGTTTCTGAATGTTGCCTTTTTCCGAAGAAAGCTCGGCACAAACTAACCTGGCTGTCTTTCGAAAACAGTGGTCCACCGGGGTGCCGGATTGCATTTTATTCTGATACATATAGAAATGTATACCGATTTGTGGTTTCCGGGTTTCATTTGGCATCGAAATGACAGTATGGCCAGTAAATGTGACATGCTCTTTGTTGATATTGATATCGAGTCTCAATATTGACAGGATCTCAAATGATATCTGGGCTATCGATTTCTAGTTAATAATCAAACAATATTGTACAAATTGTTGAACGTGAGAAACAGATTTTGCACATTTCTTTCTCTGTTTAATCAGCTTTTCGCTCTGAATGATGCTGCGCAAGATGGCACCCTTGCCCCTTCAACTCCGGCACTTTCAGATCTTGTGTGTCATGATTTTCCAATACTATTCTTCAATTTTTATCCTGTTCTATTCGAATCTACTTGTACAAGGGTTTTCATTGACGCCGTATTTCTTGCTTGTGCACCCTACCTATCGTTAAACAACCTTCTAAACAATGATGTATAAAAAGTCCCTTTCAGAAAGGTTTGTCAATGAGATTTGTAAGTGAATTTATTTTTAGAACTCTAAAGACACCGCATATCTTTTCAACTTGTTGTTCTTGATACCTTCAAACATAGCCAAGCAAATTCGAAACTTTTGGGAAACAAATAATTAGAAAACGACGAATTTGATTAATTCCAATAACCTCTCATTATTTAGTTGATTTTTACTTCAGAGCAAACCGAATGTCATTTTCGTAGGATGTCATTTCTGCAAGGTTGTTCTTGCTGAATCTAGATTTCCTGTTTTTTGTAGCAGCCTTCAAAATGCCATTTACTGAGAAAGACAAAAACAATTTTGTTTCAAAATTCAGCTTTTGAAACTAGATAAGCATTTTTTGTCTCTAGATGATTTATTCGCAATTTACAATATTTTAATATTGTTAAACCTTTTTATGATAGAAATAACCGAGAACACCTTTCTTGCATCGTCCCATCGCAGCTTGGCAAATTAAAAACTCAGCAAATATTTTGCGAAAAAGGTTTTTGTTTCGCAAAAACTTGAAGGAGGGGGTGGTTGACATGACCATTAAAGTTCAAGCCTGAACTGTCTTTATTTGTCCAAAAACAATTTTGCTTTATTATATTTGACCATGTTTTCATTTTGCTTCGATTACTCCAGAAAATGTAACCCTTGCGCTCGTTAGAATAAAATGATGTCACTTTCTAAATGTCGAAATGCAATCCTGTGACGCAATGCATATATTATAATGGAGCAAGAAGATAATGGCTCCTACAGAACAGCAGGATTTCACTGTTTTTGATGCTATTGCTCGGACTGGTTGCCTAGTTAGCAAATTCCAGTTAGAAATGTCCGGTTTTACAAACCCGATGCGTGCTTAGAAACACAATAGCAAGAATGTTCCTGCAACACGATTTTCAATACGGATAAGAAATTTAGGTTATCATTGAATGCTTGCATCCGATTGTCAATCACATACCTTGTTCACACGCTTTGAAAACGCGCTCTTCATTTGATTTCGCCGCCTATCCTAAGCAGTTTAATAAGTTTAGCGTTTCTTTAAAGGCAATCTGTCTCGTTGTGGATTTGTTAACGAGAACAATAGCTGGAACAATAGCCTAAACACTATTCCAGCGCTCCGCCATATTTTTTACAATGCGATAATTTAAAGGGGGACTGGAAACAATAAAAAATCCCCTTGTTCTTATAATCAATCAACGTCGTGACAGATTGCCTTTAAAGTCTTCCAAAGATTGTGATTGCTTTCAAAGCCCGTTTACAATTTACATGAGCCCAGATTTGTATTTTCTGAATTCGATTTTGTTCTCGCACGGGATGCATTAGAAGCTTGGTGCCCTTGCGCTGTGAATTTCACCCGTGCATTATTTATTCATAAACCAGCATACTGTATTACTAATTTTCAAGGCATCCAGTTTGGCAAAATTTAAAAGCCCAAGAAAATTTCACAGTTTGGAAGGAATTTATTCTCAGTGACGTTAATTGTATTCAAAACAAATGCATTCCCACGCATTTTGAGTTCTAAACTGTTTCAAAAATCTAGGATCAAAAGTCAATGAATATTCAATGCAGAATCGTTACTTGAACAAACTCAAGATGTCAAGATGGCTGGTTACAATTTCAGTTCTCCATTTCGATATGTAGAGGTGTATAACTTTGTTTTAGTTAAGAGGTTTAGATCACCTCTTTCTTGTAGATACATTTAGAAAGTAGGGCTCTGATTTGAGTCACAATCGCTTCATTTAAAAAACTTGATAACCACAAAAACCGACGTCGAGGGCGGTGACCCAGAAAACCCCCCGTTCTTATTCGACGACATTTTTAAACAAAATTAAATGAGATTAGCAAAATCTTGCCACAGTATCTATCTATGGGCAAGTTTGGTCTGACGAAGTCGTGTAGGAAAACAGTCTCTCATACGGCTGGTATTACAGAACCATAGAGTAAAGATGACGATTATCAATCGACCATTTACAATGACGGAAAGTTCTTGCAGTGTTAAAAAGCAGCGAAAATTCAAATTGCAAAGGAGACGAAGGGATGTTGCTGATGAAACTATAAGAGTTTCACCCATTGCTTCTGCGCCTTTGACGAAAATGTTGATGAAAGCGATTCAGTATTCGGAATGCCAAGATGACACACGCTTCCAAGAATTCGAGTATAATTTCGAAAATTTGTCGTTCGAAGGTGGCGGAAATAAAGGAATGGCGTATGTTGGGGCACTAGAGGTGGGTAGAATGTTTCCTCAGTCTTTTTTGAGATAACTTTATCAACTTTTACCACGGATGTTTTTGATTAAGCACTAAGAGCCATCGTATGGGCTGCTCAATCAGCGAAATATTTGCTGAATATACAACTTTCTAGGTACAGGTTAGTGTTCGTTCTGTGACATCTCAGTAAAAGTGTACTGGAAATATTCGTGAAAATCTATAGTCAGGTCAAGACTATTCTTTTTATTGCAACCTAAAAATATTTTTGATTAGATGTTATTGCTCGAGACTTCGTCCTCTTCGCTCAATTACTTCTATCTCTTATGGGTTTTACATTTCAAATTATGTTTACTTTTAGTTTCTTTAAGTTTTAGTTTGCTTTTTACTTCTTATTATTTTATTTAAGTTCTCTTAAGGCTTTCTTTTTCTCCATATCTCTCGCTTAACTTTATTTCAAATCACCTTTTCAAGATGGCAGAACATTTCTTTTTAGATAGCGACAAATACAGTTAAGACATTTGAAGTCGCTTTTGCCATAGCATCTGATTCTAAGAAAAAAATGAACTCCAGCTAAGTTTTACATACACTGTCGCGCTGACAATTTCCTTTTCAACCGTTAACTAAGCAAGTATAATCCAAAGCAGCCATCTTCAATTAGCTGCTTAACAGTTCTATTTTCTTACTTTTTAGTTATTTCTGTTTTTACTCTCCGATCACGAAATCACACCTCGCGACAAATGCTCAAAAAGTTGATAAATGTGTTGATAAAAGTGAAATTTCATACTAAAATTTCTACAGCTTCTTCCTTTTTGCAGATGGAATTTACGGATCGACCTACGTCTTTCTATAGTTTTATTGATACAAGTTGATGTAGAAACAATTCCCGCTTAATACTTGTGCTTCTGTAACCAAAATGTCGATCGGTGCACATCAGCGTTTGGGATTCCTGGTAGCTTCTAGAACTTTCCTGTTTCAGGTGATCAAGTAGGGAATTCTAGGACCTTGTCATCGATCAATTTTGCGCGACAGTACTGTAATCTCATCTCTCCCTCTTTCGCTAATCTCTGTTTTCATTTGCGGATATAAATCGGTAATTAAACATCATGAAAGGGAGAATAAGAAACAGCAGTATTAACATTGCTGATCTTGGATTTTAGAAAAATTCTTCAGTGACACAGAGACGAAGTTTAGAGGTCCTGGCCTGAAAATAAACCTTAAATACCGCCCTGTTTATAGGTACCACAAATACAGTAAATTTCCGATCATCGAACCTTCAACGGATCAATGAAATGGTTCGAGATAGTGAATGTTCGAGTTATCAATGGTTTGGGTTATCGAGAGTTTACTGCATATGACATTTTAAGATATTTGAATATCAAGATATTCCACAGCAAATTTCATGGCTAAATGTTTCAATTCGGAAGAGTTATTTAGAAGAAGTATGGAAAAGAACTTTGCTATGTTTGTTAAGATGAGACTGGGAATAAATATCATAACGATAACATGCTTTCAAAAACACAGTTCTTACAATTAGGAGCCAGTTAAAAGTTATGAAATCTTTCCTTCTGGCCAACTACATTTGGATGTAGATCTTTGGCTGAAGTAGGTTGATTTTTCAATTTCACGTCACTGTTATCAATTTTACATCAATTTCAATATGCGCTATGAATTTCATTGCTTTTGATTGAACCATAACATAATGTGGAATAAACGCCGATTTTTCAACTTTGTTTTATTTGTAAGGATTTAATA